TTGTCAATGTTCAGCTCACGTCATTCTTTATTTCAGTCTTGTTGAGCTTCACACTCTTCAACTTCAGCACAACAGAATACAGAGTTTGGGTGAGTTCTGCTCATTCCGCTTGTTTGATCTTCTTCTGTCATTTGCTTTACCAATGAATTTGCCACTATAGTAGCACGTCTCTTCCTGCCAAGGTCAATGTCGCTCCTGTCAATGTCAAAGGGTTACCTAGTGGTTTAACCACTCGGTGCCGGGGTTCCCGGTACCATACCAGGCACCATGGGTTTGTACGCATAGGTGGAGGTTATCTGTCATTGTTTTGAAACAGTATACCACTATTTGCAGCATTCAGTGCCTGCGGCTTATCAGCTGGGACAAAAGTGCTTCAGCTCTAGATGAGCGATACAGTACCGGTGCACGCTAATGTGGCTGCATTTGACTAGACACCACTGCCATTCAGCAACGCACAAGACCAATTTCAGGAACAAAGGAAATTATGCAACACCACACAATGTGGGCTCTCTTTACTGGGCAACAGGCCCGGCTGCAGTACTCGGGCGTCAATGGAGGTCGCCTGTCAGATTAGAGTAGCCACCAGACAGTCATTCGTGTGGGTCTAAGCATCCAGTAAATGAAGTTATGAATTATTGAAGAATTTTGAAAATGGAAAATCTTGAAAATCGCCCGGAACTGATTCCGCATAGTCAAATCCCACCCACCAGGAAGTGGTTAACGGCCTTCTGTAACAACTCAAACTCTTAATATTCGACATTTGATTATCAAACTTTACTATCCAATTCCCAAAAGTGGGAAGGCCTTAGGAGGCCGCACACTGCGCACTGGCCAGACCCATCATCCAGTTTCTTCAAGGTGAGATATTTTCAGTAAGACTCATTGTCCAGTCAAATGTCTTCTTTGACTCTGTTCATTTCCATTTCCTGTGTGTAACTTGAACAATAACTGACCCCACCCAGGTTAACATTGAAAAGCATAGAGACTTGATGATTGGGTGTATAAATGTAGCTGTTGCGAGATGGCACAAAAAGTCCATACATTGTAAAGAAAATCACAGATCTTGCATACCAGCATAAATGTGCTTGCAGTCTAGTGCAGGTAACTCATTGTACAATTGAATGCTGTTGACAACATACTGCTTATAACAAGGAACTGTGTAGGTCTCAATCCTTTGTTCATCACTGCTTTCAATCCTGATAATTGAAGGTTCTTCTCATATAAAGGTAATGGGCAGAGTCCAAAGGACTTCTTGTTAATGAGGTTTGACTGTATTGGCCCGGTGGGATGTTGTTGCCAGGTTGCAAAGGTTCCTTTCTACATGGAGTCTTCAATACTGCAGTTTTGACGTATGGTGTATCATTTTATTATATTCGATGCAGGACAGTGTCTGTCTAGTCTCAAGAAACTCAAGGTGCTGCGACTTGATAGCAACTGTCTCAGGAAGCTAGAATCCAGAGAGATCGCCGCTTGCTCCCAGCTAACATTTCTTGACATCAGCAGCAATAAAATTGAAACCCTAACTGTAAAGACCTGTACTTCTTTTACCATTTATTGATTTGTACCATAGTTGTTATCAAGTCAGTCACAAGTCAGTCAGTTCCAAGTCAACTCACAAGCTGAAATGAACAGTGACAAATTTGGCATTCCTTTCTCCTCATTTATCCCTTTTTATCTGACCTGATTACAGATTGTCTTGTGGACTGACTTTCTTGTGAATGACTTGATTCCAACTGTCGCCTTTGTTTGCCGTCAACTGATTTCCCTCTGCTATTTCTGTTGAAAACATAAACATTCTCTGTAAATTATCAGCAATTGACTTTTTAATAGTTTTTAAACTGTCGATTGACATTTCAGTTTTGTAAAATATAGTACATGTGACTATTTTTTCTGTTCAAGTAGAGTTTAAATTGTCTATCAGCATTGGAAGAGCTACATGCAACCCACAATGGTCTGAGAGCTGTGACAGATCTAAGCAGGTGTAAAAAGGTGGGTAAGATCAGAAACAGTAATCTTGTCTCTTCCAGGCAATAGCATTTAAGCTAAACACCATCGTTCATCCAGTAACTCCCGACCTCCCTAAACATTTTGATTGCCCCCAAAACAAACTTTAGACTTTTAGCACACTGTTCGCAGATTAAGTGCAATACATTAGGAGAGCAGAACTCATAAGAGCAGAATTAACTGTGTAGAAAAAGTAAAATTTCACGGTAGTCACAAATAGGCTGATGTCACCTGTATGTTACCATGGAGAGTATTCACTTTAAGTTGGTTACAATAGAGGCCATGTTTTTACATAACAAGGATGGTCGTCGGGGGGACCAACTACCTGGGTGCCAATTTCATGCATGTTTGGCATAGGACCCAAGCGTAGGCGGATGGCATGTTTGACGTAGGAAGCACATGCAAGTAATATTTGAATGGGTGGTCTTCACCTGTTCACCCGATGCATGCTTGGGTCCAGTTAAAACCCTTCTGGTTAGGATGTACTTCAACTCCAAGTGGATAGGTCTGGGGTGGGGTTTTTTTGCAAGTTAATATGATGTATTTTTATTTTCCAGCTGAACGAAGTGAATTTGTCCTACAACAAGTTGACGGACATCTCTGGCTTGAAGGGACTTCCTCATGTTACTGTGAGTTCCAAACCATACATATGCACATCTACACGTACTCAATTTTTTCCATCAGACTTTGTACACACTGAACCATCACTGTGTAGAACTTATTCCTAATTTGTGGTGAACATGAGGATTGCATTCGAATGAACTGGCAGGGTGTGGAGTAGTGCACATGTCTATGCAGTTTGTCAGTCACTAGCCATTGGCTGTCAGTTGCTAGCCATTGGCGATCAGTCACTAGCCCTTGGCTATCAGTCAATAGCCATTGGCTGTTAGTTGCTAGCCATTGGCTGTCAGTTGCTAGCCATTGGCTGTAAGTTGCTAGCCATTGGCTGTCAGTTGCTAGCCATTGGCTGTAAGTTGCTAGCCAGTGCCTTTGACAGGTACACATGTTATCATCAGCCTCAATTCTCACACGAGGATTCCAGCTCAGTGTTGGTTGAGTTTCTTCTCAGGAACATTGATATTAAAGCAGTGTGAATATCAATATGGAATGTTGCCAAAGGTTTTCTCTGATCCAAAGGTTAACCCTTATCAGGGCTCGAAATTGGGCTAATCATCAGGGGAGCAAGTAGCTCCCATACAATATTAAAGACATAGTGTCTTTTCAAGTAAAAAGAGCAAAGACCCTAGTCCTTACTGTTGCTTTTGTTTAAATTAATGACACTGATAACTTACGGCTTAGGCTTTGGCAGAGATTAAAACCTTGATAGAATGCCTGCTGCTCCAGAAATACTGCACACTTTCCTTATCAGGGGTGTGAGTGGCTAGTTAAATAAAAAGCTGAAACTGCTTGCAAAAAGCTGAAATTTAAAAAATTTCATTACTTTTGTACAGACCAGGTGTACGAAACAGCTGACATTTGGGGTCAACATCCAACCCAAAAAAACTGAACTCTCACACCCCTGCTTTATTCACTACTGTCAGACTCAGAGTCACAATCCTCAACGTGCTTAGTGACGCGATGCCAAGAGTCAGGCACCAGGCCTTAAAAATTTGCGTATGCACACAGACATAAAAAGGAACTAACTGCAGCAATCGAGCATTTTTGAAATGAGTGGATTAGGCTGAGACTTTGGTTTCGCTGGTTCCAGCTCTTTTAGAGGAACGTTCAAAACCACATGTTCAAGCTAGGACTGGAACCAGCTAAACTGAAGTCCAAGCCGAATCCACTCATTTGGCTTCAATTTACGCACAAGTCTAGGGGGTCGTGGTCACGGCCAGTTTCCAGTAAGTTCTATTCAGACATGGCCACTGTGTTGTGCAGACCATTCAGCGAGATCGTGACACTGGCCGCGGGTATGCGTGTGTACGTTCCTGTGTGCGCATGTATCACATGCAAGACTGCAGCGTGTGCTCAGTGACATCGTAAAAAAAGTGTACCATGTTATGGTTCCATGACAAGGCTGATCCGAAGTGAAGTCAAAAAGTTCAGGTAGTTTTCATGACAAAAGTAGAAACAAACGGTAAACATGTTCAGGTACATGTATTTTTCCTTACAATAATGTAGTCAAATGGGTGTAAGTAGTTGCACCTGTCTTTCTGATGTAGGGGTGCATTTCATTTGGCACATCTTACCTACCTGCGCCCATTAATATTTAGCCCTCAGCAAGGTGCAGCAAATGTAAAATCCTGGTACACTTTGTTGTAATTAGGGGAGTCAACACCAGTGAATGAACTGCTCATGTTGAGATCATTAGAGCTGGTCCCAGCGAATAGCGGCACTAGCGTACTGTTTGATCCTGTGGTGTCTGGCAACCACAGAGTTTGAGATCGTTTGACCCACATTGTCTGAGGCCATTTGACCCAGAGATGTTGAGGCCATTTGGCCTTGTGGATATAGCTGGCCTGCTGGATCTTGGTGCAGTACAAGTGATGCAGATGACATGTCTGGCAGGGTTTCAAGCTGAGATGAATACAAAAAATATAGGTAAGGTCCATATAATGTAATGGAGGGACCAGGAACCAGTCTCCATAGATCCTGTCGTCAGGCAGCTTCCTGGTATGTCTGCATTAATATCCTAGATACATGTATAAATAAATTACAAGACATCCATGTAGACATGAAACAACAGTGTCCTTCAATGCCTCCTTGACACAAAACTCGTTGGTCTCATTTCAAGTCTATGCACAAAAACAAATGCTATCATGGCATTTTCATCAAAATGACTGGTATTTCAGTACTTCCTGACTTTGGACTATTTTCAGATTCTGAATCTGTCACATAACAGCCTGACAACGGGTCATATGAAGGCCTTGGGCAAAGCAAGGTGAGAGACAAACAGTTTTGTTGCATTACTCAAGCTCTGTCAAGCTCTGTTTTTTGGGGGGGGGATATGTTTTGTTTTAATGGCTTTCAGACATCTAGAAATCAAGATGTGAAAATAGACCTTACAGACAAATGTTAACATAACTTAAAGATAGCAATAAGACAGGTTTTGAACTTACAATTTTTCAAATACTGCCCCGGATCTGTACCAGTTGAGCTAACCAGCCTGATGTTGGTAGTCCCCAGGCACTAGGTTTTAAGTATTTTTATTAATTTGCATGAAAAAGAGCAAACTACTCTCTTCATTTTGGTATCCTGATAGAAATGGAAATTACCTGGGTGGAAAGTGTTTAGGGGCTGCAATTGATTTACACTTTTCAAGATTCTGTCGAAGGCATTCAACTGTAACAGTTGTCATGGCGACTTGAAACTTGTTTGGTTAGATTGGGTCACGTCTTATTATAATGCTAATCTCTCCCATAGGTCCTTACAGAATTTGGACGTGTCAAACAACCAGTTGGCTGAGGTAACCTGCATAACGGAACTATTTCCATCATTAGAGGTGCTTAATGTGAGTGACAACAGGATTCTAAAGTGGACCTCCATGGTAAATAGTTATCATTTTTTGTTGTTGTTATTGTTTATTTGATGTTTTTCTTGGCAGGGGACCAAGGACTGTTGAATACAACTGTCATTTTTTTTACTTCATCATTCTTGCAAAACAGTTTGCTCAACAGTTCAGTCCTAGGCTCATTTAAGATTTTTGTACATGAACATTGGTGATGTTATTTTGCCCTTGTTGTATCTGACTTGCCTGAGGCAAATCCACACACGCAATCTGAGTTTAATCAGCAAAATGGAAATATGAAGTGTTACGCGACTGTTGTTATAAAACTATCCCAATTCAATTTTGGTTTACCAGATGTGTCCCTTTATTTTCATTCCCTATCTAATGTCAACTAAAGTAGTTGAAAAGTCAACCAGGCGTATCCACAGTGTCTACATGTCTCCACCTACACTTGCCCACTTCCACATGTTTGTGCAGTGAAGCTTTTAATTTGCTGACAGTTGATGCATCCACGTAATGAGCTCGGCCAATTGGCGTGTCATTTTTTCCCTTTCACGCAGTGCTCATTAGCCAAGTGCAGCAGTCTGTCTGAGCTGTATTTGTCCGGAAATCCATTCTGTGCAGAGGACGGCGAAAAACCTAGGTAATATCAGTACACCACGTGAGGTGTTTTCCTCACAAAGGTTTTAAATTCAAGACAGAGAGCATTTCGAGAAATTGCAGTAAAGGGTGCATTGTGTGAATTTGTTTTTTCACGACTTGAAGTTTAAAGTAGACTTTTCTTCTTACCTGTTCTGGAAACTAAAACTTAACCAGAGCATTCCAGCCAGTTTCTCCATGTTGTAGAGGCTTAAAGCAAGTGCTATTTATGTCCTTAAGCAAGAGAGCTGACAACAAGATCTTCAGTGTTAACCACAATAGTGTAAAATAGATTGTGGAACGTCTTTTTGGTCATTACCACTATTTGATGAATTCAGCCAGAGATGCCTTCTTTAGAGGATTTTTGGACCGTGTGAGGTCTGTTTTTGAAACCAGTTTCAATGCCAGTGCTCCACTTCTCTGTTCTCAGTTACCATCATGACATCCAGGCGATGATACCTAACCTTGAAATTTTAGACGGTGCTCACATGACAAGAAGCTTAAGCAAGTCAGCCCCTGTAATGAGACCCATGTCAGCTGTGTCTGGTAGGTTTCAATTTGACAGAGACAAATCTCTTCTAAATACATTTGCAGTGGCAAATTTTTCCAGAGACAATTTTCAGAACCATTGTGGAAATCTTGCTAGAAAGTCCGTCAACAACATATCGTCATTGTTTTCACTTCAACAACCCCTTGACATTGGATAAAGACATTAAGCTCAGCAAGTGGGAACATCGAGGGAACGAATAGAATTGTTCGTTGGGAATATCATAATGCTTTGGGAGATTCTACTGATGCCCACAAAACGTTTGGTTTTTTGCTGACAACTTTCTCATGTTTGTGTTTTTCGTTTAATCAGCGCTGAGTGCCAGACAGGTTGAGAATCAGCTGAAGAGTGTTGAGGAGGATTTGGCATCATTGGGAGCAAGTCTTACAGCAAGGTAAAGGCCCCATGCAGATGACACTAAACCAATGATACCATAGTTGCAAAGTCCTTCACGAAATCTCTTGAGCATGATTCTAGATTATGGTCTTACCTTACCTTATTTACAGTATTTGTTTCCTACAATGTGTAAAACACTAGTCTGTATTTTATACATCTGCTGTAGGTTTGAGAGTGTGCGGTCGACCATGGACAGTCTGCCCCTAGACCCACCTTCCCCTAGGCCGGGCACAGCGTTGAGTATACACAGCGTCTCGACGTCGGATGGCTCTCGACCGGGCAGCAGATGCAACAGGTATTAAAATGGCCAACATGTCACTCAGTAATCATGAGTCCGTAGCGAGGGCACTTTTGCCACTTAGAAGTGAAGGGGTTCAGAGGTAGTAACATGCCATAGGAAAGTTTAGGAAGTTGATTCTTTTCCCAAATGTCTTACATGGAGGCAGTGTTGAAACCTCTGTGACAAAATCTCAGTTTACATATAAACTTAATCTCAGTTTATATCTTAGATCAAAGGTTTTTTTTATAGTGATAAGTCGTTAATTCCTACAGTTTTGCATTTGGTAATCTTTTGTTTTCTTAAAAGTGCTCCCAGTCAGAGTAACATCCAGATAAGTTCTGATATCTGCAAAGTTCTAATTTCCAAAGTAAAATCTCAAGAATTGGCTCCCCCTAAAGTTTATTGTAACTTAACTTCAAAAGCTAGCTTGTTTTAATAAAGGACTTTTTGGGCAAACTTTCCTCGAGTAAGATTTTCACTATAGTCACAAAAGCGCTGTGTTTATATCCATTTTGCAATAAGTTTTCTTGATCTTTTGCAGTCGGAACCGGATCCTAGAGGCGCAAGTTTTCGCAAGCAAAAATTTTTGACTGCTGAGGTAGCTGTCTTGGCACTTGCACTTCATTGGATACCACAAAAAGAACGATGTGCGACTAAACCAAAAAGCAACAAGGGAAGGCTGTTAAAGTGACTAGATACAGGAACATCACAGCGGGCTGGCACAGAAGGCTCTCTGCTTAGCACCTGTGGAGCTTTTTAGGGCTTGGGAAAATACCAGTGTGCCAGAAAAGACACCCATAAAGTACTCAAAGGGAGTATCACAGGCTGGTGTAGTGGTTGTTTCCTCGAGGTTCACCCCTTTGTTCCCGGGTTCATTTCTCAGCCAGGTCCACACGTGGATTGGGTTTCCAGTCCCTACCTGATCCCATGGGTTTTACTGAGAATATTCCGAGGATTAACCGTTTTCCTGCCACCTCTGAGACTGTAACTGTTTGTCATTGTCTCCTCGCTGCAGTTTTGTTAGGCTTGCAAGCTACAGTAATTAGGGTGCTTTAAGATATCCTAGTTTGGTTTCATTACTGGAAATGTTAAAATAACTCCCAGACAAACTTACAAAGAAGTGTCTGAAAGTTTAAACCCCCTTCTCAGAATTTTCAATTTAAGAAAACTTCAAAGTCGCCATTGGTACATTGGTTCAAACATCAAATGCGAGGCTCTATCTAGGACTTGTAGCAGAGCCTACAGAGCACTTAATCCAGTCCTGGCAAACAGACAGTACGTTCATCAAGGAACACTGCCTGATGAATTTCAGAAATGCGGGTATCAAACCTGCTGTCAATTTATGAAAATGCCCCGTTATTTGGCGAGAGATGTAAGGGCAGAGAGGGTGGTTGTGTGTTTTGGGGGCCTAAAATGGCAGCATCGAGCCGCCGTATACTCCCCAAGGAGCTGAGGTGATTCTAGGTAATGGGCCCATTGAGCAGGGGTAACCTTGACATAGCACCCTGAGGACCCTTAACCCCTCTATGCAAAGATGCATTCTTGCCAAAGTTGTCCTATCAGTCAAAATCAGTCAAATGGCCCCCATGTGTCTCTTTACTGGGGCAAAGCAAGTGGAAGGAATTTTTAACTGTCTGTGACTGTTGCAGCAAAGGAGGATTTTTAATGTGGAGATGTGCACTTCGCAAATTATATCTCAGGGGTGAGATTTCTCAGCTTTTTAGCTGTTTTCAGTTTTTTTGTTTTGGATTTCAGGTTTTTTCCCCTCACTGGCTGTGTACAAAAGTATGGGAGATATTTTCACAGTTCAGCTTCTGTATGCATCTTTTCAGCTGTTTTCAGCTGTTGTTATTTGGTCAATCTCACCTGACACCTGTTATCAAGAGTGGTCCAATGAGGTTGGGTGTGTGGTGGGTCCAATGCTAAAACATGCTGTGCCCAGAGTGGATAACATAAAGAAGGCAGGGTGTTTCAAGTCCTACACCCCATCATAGATTTATTTGCATCCACTAAAAAGTACTCACTGGTTTAAAATTCAAAAAAACGATGTCAAACTGAATTAGGATTGAATGCAATATGCTTGGCATACAGCCCATTTCTCCCCAGAGTGAGGATCTATTATGTTCAGTTTGAACTGAAATTTTGTAAAGTTTTTGAGAAGTTTAAAAATTTGGATTTTAAGTGTAGAAAGATTGTATAGTTTAATAAAGTATGTTTACCACTGTAAAGTACAGCACCTCAAAATAAAGGTTTCCTTCATGAAACTCTGGCTCATATTACATCTTGAATTACCTTTTTTGTGGGGGGAGTATTCTTATTACACTTCTGTTATCCAACCCCTTCAGCAAGAGGTTCTAGAGTATAAGATGCATAAGTACTCAGCTATTGATATCCAGCATGATACGCGGTAAAGGGAGACCCCCCACCGTGATGCACAAGCTGTATACCCTAAGGCTATTGTACCTACTGCACCCCCCCAACTGAAAGGAATTCCAAAGATTCCATCAACACAAAAGAAGACACAATTGAGAGGGGGGTCCCTTTTGCCGCATATCTTGCATCATGTGCAGCTATTTCATTTTGTTTACCGCTGGAACAGTACAAGGTTTGATTTCTGGATTTCCACTTTTGATAGAAAGGTATACCCTCTAAGTACAGTATCAGAAAGTACTGGACTTTTAGAGGGGAAAGAGTAGAGTAGGTCAGCAGGACAGCTTGGTTGCTTGACTGGTGATCTTGGGAAGATTTGGTATAAATTTGTCTTCAGCATCTGGCATTGTATTACCAAATTTCCTACCGTTGCTCTCGCTAGCATGTGATAAAAACCCAATTTAAGCCTAAGAACAAGTCATTTCAATTTCAAAGTTTGCATGTAACTTCAGATAAAAAAGCTTTCTTTTTATTTGATATTTCTGGTCTTCCAATCAAATCAATTTTATCCACCTGACATTTGTTTTGCTAATACAAAATGTTTCTGGTTAAAAATATCTCAAAACTATTGAGTATTCTAAAATAACCCCAGAATGGAAGACAACTACCTGAATTATGCAAAAGCCTGTAACTCGTTAAAAAGATAACAATTACTCTGTAAAAAATTTAGAATACTACCATTTCATCTTTACAGTACATCAAGTATAAAATACTTCATTTGCTAAAATACATTCTAATCAATATTAAATACTGTTTATGCAAGCAATTCCACAATACCTGATACCATGACTGACCCAAATATATATGAACTGTAATTTAAACATAAAAGTTTAATCCTATACAAATGTCAGCATATACCTGAATGTCCAATACACCATTTAAACATTTACAAACATTCCTTCAAATTACTCAATATTTGAAAGCTTTTATTTTCAAATGTACAGAGTTCTTACAAAAATACCATTTTTCTCATTTTCACATGAATGACAGCCCCTCAGATTAAAGTAAAAAGACTTTGTATAGAACATTTTCAATTTCTGCCGCTTGAGTAGACCTGTGTGCATGAGGATCTACATAATGAGCACAGTCGACTGCCAGCAAATCCTAATCAATACTTGGATTATTTATGGGCTTGGCCAACCTTGGTTTATTGTGTTTCTAGCTATCGTCAGTGGTGCCTCACTGCAACGTTCGCCGGGTAGGCCAAGTTCATGAAATTTCATGTCGACATGCCTGAAGTTTGACTATTAAGAATCGCTGGCACTTCCTTCTAGTCACAAGATGCAAGAAGGTGCTTCAAGAATCAACTCCTGTAACTAGCAGTCCTTGAACGATCTTGCTCCGGGAAGACTGTCCCTACTCCCGGTCTCCTTCCTTCCGGCTCCAGCAGAAGCACAGACAGAGTAGGCCTATCAGGAAGAGCGTTAAGAGCACCAACAGGACGATAATGATGATCCACTCCATCTCCAGGTTACTACCTTGCAAGGCACCCGACCCGTTCTGGATGACAAGCTCTACAGAAGGGAAAGTTTGGAATGAGAACAGTTCCCCGGTAAAGAGAGAGGTACCAAACAATTCAGAGGTATGTTTGCTATCTCCTAGTCTACCAAATTGGTTCCAAAGTCAGAGAGCATTAAATCCATTCATTAAAACTTTATGCTTTAGCTGGAAAAAAACTCATGTTCCATATTATTCCCACTCATCCAAAGAAGCAAAGTCTCTCAATCCGCTCTTACAAGCCATGTGACTTTTAAGCAAGTAATTAACAGTGTCATACAGTTTTTAATTCAATGAGGAAATAGAGATTCGTTAAAGTCAAGAATTTTCTGCTTTCTGAAAGTCAAATCTGCTTTCTTCCGCTTCCTAAATTTTGTGTACAAAAACTGTGTGTGACTCTACGTATATACTGTAGGCCTACATTTACCGTACATCTACAGGTATCTTTGGCATAATGATACATGTAGGGCCTACACGCACCATGTCACTGTGATCATGGACTGGTCCCCGTCCCTACTGATTTATTCATCAGCCATAAGACGTCTGGGCTATATGACGGGAACGGGGACCAGTGTGATCTTTGTGGTGCGGAGCTGGAGGAAATCAATACCGAATTCTGCGATATCACAAAGGAAAAACAGGAAGGGAAACGCTACCAAATGTTACTTTCAAAGTGAGTTAATCAATGAAAATGAGTTGTCATTCCTAATTTGGGTTGATATTTATTTGATTAATTGTGCAGAAACGATCAAAAACATTTATTTGTTTTATTTATTTATTTATTTCTTACGAGAATTGCATTTTCCGCGTCCTATACCCCAAATCCGCAATTTTTGCGGATTTTCCGCAAGGCGGAAAATCCTTGACTTTAAGATTTGTACCCGGGTCATGGGGTTGGAAGGAGAGAACAGTGCAGCTGCACCACCTGACTCCCCCTAACGCAGGTAGTACTTACTGGTATTGCAGAGGTCTCCAATGTATCCCTCAGGGCAGGTACAAGAGAACGACCTGAAGAGATCCTTACAGACACCACCATTGATGCAAGGGTTGGATGCACACTCATCCACCTCTGCGAAGCAAAGAGATGCGCAAAAAGTCATCAGTTATTCAGAGGTTCCTAAGGCACACGACGCAGAGCATTCAAATTTTGCTTCATTAAGCCTCAAGTGTCAATGGTCACACAGAAATGGCTAGAGCTTGACTACACACCTATCCCACTGCAGATCAAATAATCATTACTTTTAATCTGTAACAAAACTAACATGTGAAAGGTTGAAGTGTCTCATTGCCTTAAATCCATGCAAGTGTTTTCAAGTATTTTGGCTGCATATCGTTATTCACCACATGCAATCTTTTCTTCAAATCAAATAGAGAATTGTTTTCATTCGTTGACAAGGTATTCACCTGTGGAACGCACCCCAGTCTGGAATGTTAAAAAAAGCCTTTTTATTAATAAACGAGTCTTTTCTGTCCATATCACACATCATGGGTACATGTTAGCCATCCACTTTTAATCATATCCCTTTTTTGTACAGTGTTGAGAAGGTCAAGGGTTTAAATGCCCCTCCGGTCAATTTCTTCGTCCATCATTATACATGTAATCACTTTTGAACTCCCATACAATAACAAGAACAAAAAACAACGGGGAGGGGGTGAGTCAGGACCCTTTCTCCCCCTCTGGTTCCCAGCCTACCTTTGCAATACAACCCCAGCTCAAACATTCCTCCGGTTCTTACCCAGATTGCAGAAGTGTCCCTCGTACCCCTCAGTGCAGAGACACATGTAGTCATTTAGACTGGTGGCAAAGCAGGTACCGTTGTTCTGGCACTGGTGGTTGGCGCAGGGATTCCTGACTGGAGTGGACAAACAGAAAAATTGGCAACGATGTTCCGTCACATGATTGAGGCATTTTTAAAACCAAAGGAAGTAAATAGTTGCTTATACAGACCAGTAATTTTACTGATCTATACCAACAGAATTAGTTTTCAAGGCAAGATATAACATAACAAAATGAACATAATGTCATTATAAATTAAATCTGCTTTTGACTATCCTGAAATCTTCTATTCTTTCACTGTAACAAAGCTTCTGGAAAGCCCTAGAAATATCTCAAAGGCAAGACCACTAAAAGTAGGGGAGGTTACTCTGAAAGAAAAATACAGTCAACTCTCATTACAACAAACTTACAGAGAACAGACAAATTACTGAGTTATAACCAGGGCACCGTTATAAAAGGAGTGGAAAAACAAAGACAAACATAAGAATTCAAGAAACTGGGATTTACAGAATTTGTTCTTCAAATCGAGACTGGACTGTCCTTATCTTGTTACAGTGTTAATAGAATGCAGTTTAATGGTTGGTGGCAATGGGACTGGACCCCTTCAGGAGGGTGAATCCTGATCCCTACCTGCCTCACAGAATTCTCCCAAGTAGCCACTGTCACAGCTGCAGAATTTGACCTGCTGCTCCGTCATCACGCAAATGCCGTGGTAGTTACAGAAGCTGGTCTCGCATGTCCTAGATGTGGCTGCATAAATCAAACAAGGGTGAATCCAAATCAGGCAGAGTTTTGCAAGAAATCTACTGCACTGGACAATTACTTTCCTTGGTCACGATTTTTGAAAGTGTAAAATGTTGACGTATTGAAATGTTGAGTTCATTGCCATGTTGTTGAATCATGCTTTGAATTCCATGACTTTTACCAATAGGAAAAAAAACCTTTTGGGAAAGCTGGTTCGTGCTCAATGTGAAAACAAATCCGATGCGCTGATGTCATGGCATAATTAGTGCCAAATCATGCTTCAAGTTGATGAAGTGACTTCACACTTACCTGTTCTTTCAAGCTCATATAAACCATTTTATGCATAAGAGTTGGTAGGACAGCACCGTGTTTAAAACATTTATCCTACCCCCAAAAAGATTAATTCCAATGGATGTCATTATTTCCAATATGGCACTCACGGACTTCGCAGAACTGGCCAACAAATCCGACAGGGCAGCTGCATGTGAAGGCGAAGGGGCTAGACTCCTGACAGATTCCACCGTTCTGACATGGTAACGTCTCACAAACAGCTGAGAAGAAAGTCAATAGTCCAGGGCACATTTCAGTCATGCAGCCATGGTATATACAGCTACTGTCATTCATTATTCTACAACTGAATTCTTCCTATGCATAAAATCAATGAACGTTTTGAACTCTGAGCCATCTTCATATTGACAGGGACACAATGTCAGCATGGCACTTCCAAATATTCAAAACAATGATGTCACGGCAAGCACAAGATCTCACGCAAAATAATTAGGGATTGAACGAAACAGAAAGCATAGCATGAGAGTGATATCAGATATGCAGTGTTAATCTAGTGCACTCATTATATAAGCAGGTCACATGTACTGAAATAACGAAAGACTTGGCTAACATCGTATCAGCCTAGGCCCTTCACGGGTCATTATGTGGTCCATTGTATTCAGCTTGTTGCATAGCCTGGGTTAGGCCTTACTAGTGTTTGTGGATTTTTTAAGAAAGCTTTGCGACGTACACTGCAGAGCCCAATTTCAAAGCCCTGCTAATTAAGCATGATTTAACATTAACAGAGGCTCCGCCTCATAGACTGTAAGCAGTAGAAGACACGCTTACCCCTCGCAGTAGTGACAAAGCAATGGAAAGTCCATGTTCACGCAACCGTAAGCATAACCATGCCAAGCAACACCATGAATTAGTGCTAATGGTTAGGAAAATTTCCTGATAATAAGCATGACTTTTCTGGTAATTGTTAAGCAATTGGAATTGCGCCTAGATCTGTTTTACTTACGTGTTTCACAGTTGGTCCCTTGCACGGCACCAAACGGACACTGACAGATGTACTCATTGATGCCATTCACACAAGTTCCTCCATTCATGCATGGGCTACTCTCGCATTCATTGACATCTGAAAACAGACGAAACAAATAATGTAGAAATCCATCATCATGAAAGATACTGTCATTTGTGATTGCCACTGGAAAGCAAGAATGACAGAGAGCCAGTCATCATTTTGAGTTTATTTTCAAATATTCAGTTTTTGATCTGAATATTCGCGGTGCAATACAAGGAAAAACAAACTTAGTTTCTTTGTTACCAAAGTACCCTTCCTAAAGCTTAATAATTCAACAAAAAAGGACTAGTTCTGCTTCTGGTTACCAACTGTAATAATTACAATGTTTATTTCATGCATCAATAAAAGTTTTACCCCAAACCGTGCACAATTATGATGCATCAATAAAAGTTTTACCCCAAACCGTGCACAATTATGATGCAGACATCAATCCATGGCTCGTCCTGCGAAAACACACATGCACAACCACGATGCAGTTGGTTGCCGGCTTGTTACGTACAATATAACTATTCACACAAACACTGCGATCGGGAACCACTGACTGGCATAATAGTCTTGAATTCAGACAGTTCACTTCACCATACATGCAGTCTTGGTACAAGTGGCGCTGCTGAGCTCTGGTCATTTCGAAGATCATCAAGGTATGCAGGCCCAGGCAGCGTGTGCCGCATCTGCGCATCATATGCGAGTTTGGCAGCCTTGTTTATAAGGCTACTCAAGGACTGAGCTACATGTACACATGCATGCCATGAATGCAGTGTGCGACCGTCATTGAACTTGGAGACACCTCTGAGGTGAAAATAAATGCATTCCCGTTTTTGTTTACTTTTCCAGCCTTTTCTGTCAAGCCAGAACAAAGGGGAAAAAAAGGAAAAATAGATTTTCAGGGATCTGTTTAGACAATACCAGAAATCCAGATAAAACTAGAATAGTGGAATAGTCTGCTATATGGTTCCCTCATGGGAACTGGACCCAAACGGTTTCTTCTTGGCACCAAAATGGTTCTGACAAGGTATCCATATGGCTCTGGTACCCATGGTACCCATATGGTTCCTATAATCGGCACTTTTATGGTTCTTTATGGTCCTTTCGTATACACTCACCAATGCTACACAATTGTCCCTGAAAGCCTGGCTGGCATACACATTGGTAGGTATCCCCATTAGCTTGACATGTCGCACCATTCCGACAAGGGCTGTTCAGACACTGCAGGTCAATCACAGCTGGATACAGAAACAAAGACAAACACAGATTAGGAATAATATTGCATGCAAGAGAGAAAGTTATCATCAAGTTTGAGATTTTTGTCACTGTGAATTCCCCGTCAATTAGGGCCTGACTTGTGACTACTCGCCCGAGATAACATTTCATAAGATTTCCATGAACGGTTTTTCTCAACAGTGATATCCACATCACCCACATACCATTCAATTTGTGGTCACTTAGCATGTATTCCCCCCTCAATGAGCCAATTTGAAAAGTACTGCTTTTTCTACTGAGCACCAGAGCAAATTATTCCAGTGTAAATACTACCCCGCCCCCACAGGTACAGGTACCAGCCGTACGCAACAGTTGACTGGTCATGTGCGTCATATCTGTAGCTTACGTCAAGCTAGCACCCTAATTAAGCTACAAGGCTGCCTCAGTAATTTCTGCTTGAGGCCGATACAACTTAAGGCATCAAGGTATGGATCGATGGTGTTTGAGCAATCTTGTTGACGAGTTGTGCAGTGAGCTTACGCGAGTTGCAGGTGGGGCCGGCCCAGTAGGGCATACACACACAGGTGAAGCGGTTGATTCCATTCATGCAGACGCCGGAATTCAGACAAGGGTTGCTCTTACATTCGTCAACGTCTGCAAAAACACATCGAAAACAAGTGTAATCATCTTCACAGACTACAGACACAAATGAAGAAACATCTACCTACGCAGAAGTGCGTTCTAAACAGTGAATCCGAGACCATCACAAGTCCTTCACAAGTCATCAAGTCAAATTCAAGTCACAAGCTCATTAAATGAGCTGTGGCAAAAGCATTCCTTTGCCATTGTTCACTTTGTTACTTATGACTATCTTGTGAAAGGACTTGTCACTGGACATGTGAAGTTACTTGTGTTGGACTCAACTCCAACACCGAATGGATTGAGGCAAAATGTGTCTTCAAACTTTTTTTTCAACTGTAAACATTTTGGCCATTTGTGCTGTTTTGATTAAAATGGGTTTGACATAGAATTCCACAACACCAAGGTTCCGTCATGAGTCCTAGTAGAAGTCGCCCACATGCTAACTACCAAGTGCAACTGCCAACAAGGGAAAAAAAGCAGGTATATCTATTCTCCTCTATGGATTAATTCTTGGATTTCTATGATAAGTTTTTACAATGGTTGATATTTACCAAGTTCACAGAAGGTTCCCTCCCGTCCTGCAGCGCAGTCACAGGTGAAGCTCAGACCATCTGCTGTCTCCGTACATAGCCCTGAATTCTTGCAAGGAGAACTGTCGCATAACCCAACCTCTATAATGAGAATGCACGAACAAAGCCAGTTTGAATACTACAAAAACGGCTCTCCGCCCCATGACAGAAAAAGTATGTGGATAGAAGTACAGAAGTCCACAGGCTCGGGTGGAAATTCGAATTGCCCAAAAAAGCAAGCTTATCCAATCATTTTAGATTATATGACCCAATCGCAACCACCGTTTCATATTACTTCGGTCATACACGATGTGCAGAGCATAGCAACACAGTGCAAAACCTACACAGGACAAGAACACCCAACCATAATTATGAATCTATGACCCTATTTTGACAGCAATACCTCACTGTGTCTGTCACTTTACGCTGTGTAGAGCATACCACACCCTATAAATGAACATATGACCCCATTCCTACCCATGTCTCTCACCGTGTCTGTCACTCACCCTGTACGGAGCAGGACGGATGCCTGAATCCCTCAGGGCACACACACCTGACCTGTTTGTTTTCGCTGACACATTCTGCTTCAGGAGGGCAGGGATTACTGTAACACATATTGGGACCTTGGAAAGAGACCAACGATAGATATAAATGTATATCTGTGATACGAAAGTCACTTTTAACACAGAGTGCTATAGAGTGCTGAAGTGAATACATCACAATTACATGTATGTGTGTAAAAAGCATTAGCGCAAGAACCGGCGTGTGAACCAATACGCACGCGCACTTCGTTCGTTTGCACTACCTTTCCAGGTTCAAATGGCGTCATACATCGGTACTCTCCAGACAGGCAGTTTATGCCAAGCTGAATACTTCTAAACAAATACACATTGCAGCAATCTTAGCTTTGTCACAACTGTAAACATCTTTTCAAATTGCACTCTTTGTGATTACTGGACAACCTATAACAACACCAATGATCTTTTACAAACTGTTTGTTTGAATATAAAAAAGTCGCAATCGTCTGCGTAGAGGGCATTAAACTCTTGTGCAATATGCCTGCGTAATATGCTCCAACAAAATGAGGGTACAGTGGAAGCTAAACTTACTAATTTCAGTTTGACAGAGAGGTCCGGTGAACAAAGGCATGCAGTAACATGCAAACTTGTCAATGCCGTTCAGGCACGTCGCGCCATTCAGGCAAGGGTTACTGCTGCATTCATCGGTTACTGCGGAAACAAGACATGGCATACAAGGAATCAGTCGTGGGTATCAATATTGGGTATCGATCAGGCTCAGTGCTGGCAGGGCTTGAAAGAAAAAAAGACTTTTCCTTTATATGAGTCGGAGTAAAGACATGGTTGGGACAGGAGCCCGTTGCCCAGAGCAAACGAACACAGCCATATTCAATTTGAGCTGCATTCCTTTTAATGTAGAGACATTGCGAACTCACTGCAAACACTGCATGTAAACCAATCACATGCACAAATTGCTGTGCACACATGATATGTCTTTCACTGGTTCCCATAGAACTTGCAAAGCAGTGCCGTACGGCTGCTGCTCTTAACGGCCTACAAGCTGCATAGGGAGCCACTGGCTAGTGGCTGAGGCACTTCCCATAGACATATGCATTCCTGACAAGCCACAGCCAGTTGATTTTGACACAGTCACACTCACCATCTCTTTCACTTTCCACAGTAATACGGACTGAAATTCCTGTCTCCGTCTTGTCATGATCTGAGGTGAATGTCATCCACAGTTGATTCGCCTCGGTCTTGAATGCGATGGGAACCTTGTCCCCTGATGTCTGAAGCACAATGGACCCCGGGTCGTTGAGGTCCGAGCCCATGCCATATTTCACCAAATCATAGTTCAGTTCAGTCAGGAACTCCACAGTATCGACAAGCAGAACAGCACCCTCGGGGCCGGTCACCATCCAGCGACAGTACTGGTTGTCATCATAGTTGGCAGGGAAGTTTGGTGTGTGGATGATCAGGGTGTCATTCGGTTGTGCAGCCAAATCAAGGACACAGCTGCCCTCTATTGTACAAACACAGAATAGGAAATTAACTGGCTTACTTTTATTTTTAGAACTGACTTTTCATTTTGTCTGGCTGTAACATCATAAGAACTTTCATTGACAGAACTTCTATTGACAGTGAAATTCTAAAAATCAGGGCTGTACCCACGCCACGACTGAAAAATTCTTAAAACACTGGTTCTGAAAAAGAGAATATGTAGATTCATTTTAATTTTGCAGTTACAAACTACTTGATATAAACAAGTTGCCACAATCGTACAGCAACAGACAACTGTACTGTGAAAAATGAACTTAAAATTCTGGCTCTGAAAATGTTTGCCTAGATGGAAATCCAATTTAACATCCGCAACAGTTTTCTACCATGTGCAGAATTTAACCTGATTTCGCAAATGTGCCTTATATGCGATGGTACAAACTCACGTAATTCACAGTTTTTGCCACTTCTAGCTGGTGTGCAATCACACTGGTAACCGTCCACAGCATCAGTGCATGTCCCGCCATTCAGACAAGGTGAACTCGCACACTCATCGATGTCTAGAATAAAAATTGAAAAGGGACTCGTCAGTGAAAGTATACCTTGCATTAAGAGCAGTGCCAGGCAATTCATAATCCTACTTTCCTTCCGTGTGATGGATACTTCAATGTGCTTAATGGTCTGATACCTAAAATCAAAACTGAGGTACAGCAAGCTGATTTTGATGGGGGGGGGGAGATGTGAAGAGCACTCAGTATTCGTTCAGAGATGCAGTTTATTTTTGTCACTGGTCAGCTGGCCGCCAGGAAACCAAAATGGGCTTGGAATCCTTTCAACACATTAGCACTGAGCCGACAGTACTGGACAATAGGCAGTATCTTTATATGGTGACACAATAAAATGCAATGTCAGTAGAGGCCGCTCACGAAAGAAGGACTTTGTAGAAAATATTGGTAAGCACAGATTTGGGTACTAAGAAATTGAGCCCGTGTAAATGAAGGCCGCTTACGAAAGAAGGACTTTGTAGAAAACATTGGTAAGCACAGATTTGGGTGCTTAGAAATTGAGCCCATGTGAATGAAGGCCGCTCACAAAAGAAGGACTTTTGTTTGTAGAAAATATTGGTAAGCACAGATTTGGGTGCTTACCAACGCCATAGAGTTGAACCTTTGCAAGGGCATAGCTACAATCAGTGGCTTGTAGCAGCTGCTAAAATGTCATGCAGCGGTATACAACTCCCAACTCCCAACTCAAAGGGATTGTTGTACTTTGAGACTTAGGGCAAGAAACTTTACTGCAATAACCTCTGTCCACCCTGAAGTAGAAATGGATACCAGTGAGGAACAGTGATAGAGGAATTGAAACCAGACTCGGAGTCGAGTCCAATTTTTTTGGACTTGTGACTCAGCTCGGACTGGGCTCATTTTGGACTCGGATTAGATGGACTCGACTCCATCACTGGCTGAGGATTGATAACAGACTGAACGGTTTTCAAGCTGATGCACAATGGATTTCATGGCCAGATGAACAGGAATACCAGTGAGTTTAGTATTGCAACAGTACATGGTAAAAACGAAGAGCACTGTAGGGCAATCAAAAACATCCATTGTTAATGCTAAAATCAATCCTGTGAAGGTGTTACAGCGCCCTCTGTTGTTCACAAGTGTCTAGTGTTATTATGGGATGCCAACACATACATGTTAGTGACAAAACGAGGAGGGTTGTCAATCTTCACTTCATTTCGTTTCTGGATGGAAAACTTTATGAGGACCCTTTATAAAGTATTAAACCTTAAGGTTTTTTTTATCAGAACGTTGTATAGAGATCTTGGAATAAGTGTTTGTTTTAAGCTAGTTATTTGTGGAGTTTTTGCAACTTCAAGAAAGATTACGGTTGTGAAGAGACATCGTACACAGTATAGTCATAACCCCCAAAGAATACATTGAAAACTTCTCTCTTAGGCCCAGTCCTTTCACACAGTATTGTCACGTGAAATATTCTAGGAGGTGGGCAAGTGTACAGTTTAACTAAGGGCCCCAAATACATGTACAGATACATGTATATTGGCACACACAGAATCCACAAGCATGGCAGGGAAATCAGGTCTACCAGGACAGTTGTACAGTGACTCTCACACGCTGAACATGCTCACACTGGAGTCAATTGCTATGCCTTTCTGAACTGATACCAATCTGGCTCATTAGAGAACACTTTGAGAGACTTGTCTAGAATGCTCCAACCACCATGTTACTTTTGCAGACTCTAAAAAGTTGTGTTTTCACTCATGTTCCCAACCTGATCCCCATGGCAACAATTCTAAGTTTGATCTCTCAGTGATCTTGTTGATGTCTAAGCTTCAGTACTCACTGTCATCACACAGTCTTCCCTGCCAGCCTGGCCGGCATGAACAAGCAAACTCTATCACATTACTGGTGCAGGTTGCGCCGTTAGCACAGGGTGAGCTGTCACAAGGATCTACACCTGAGAAATTATGCAGAGTCAAAACGAGTGTTAGAGTATATTCACTTTCTATCGAGCGTGGCCAAGTGAAATGTGTAGTCATCAAACTAACACACAAACTATAAGGATGAACAAAGAAATTGACTGGGGCGGGATTTGAACCTGCTCTCAATGAGAAGAAAGCTCCCTTCTGCACAAGTCTGCAATGTTGACTTAGAGCTTAGAAAAGGGCTAAAATGGGCTAAAAGCAATTTGCTCATGAAACTTCAAATATTCCAACTTCAGGGAATTGACGTCACAAATACACACCTGGAAATTTACTACCAGTGAAAGTTTACCCTCTGAATTTCATTGTTTTTATTGATCAGAATTGCAAACCTCATAGCAAAAAGAAATTCCCTCTTTACCCAGTCTGAAGAGCACAGTTCCCATCACAACAACTTTTCCACTAAAATCAGTCTTTCTGTTAAGAATTCCATCTTAACTCAATCTTTGAATCTCTAGGATTTTACACCCAAATCTTGATGTGGGATTTTATGGGCCAACACAGTGCAATCTGTTTCACCTATTTCACATGTTGGCCCTGTCCAGTTGACATCACAGGTACAATTGAATCCATTGCTGCCATCCGTACATGTTCCTCCGTTTTGACATGGCCCGCTTGCACACTCATTCACATCTGAGAGTAAAGAATATTCTTTCAGTTCAAAATCGTTGGGTAAGTTTACATGAACGTCACTAAAAATACCGATTGGGGGCCATCTTTTCAGAAATTATCAGTACCAAAAGAGCAATACTGAACATTAGATATTTTGCACATTGGCCATTTCAAAGTCTCCTTGAGGCTTTTGGTTCGAGACGGAGACCAAAGTTTTCATTCAAGTGGGAAAGTCAGGTTTGTTTGCAGGGAAACAAGAGGATTGCATTAGGTTTTGTCACTGTCAAGGACGTCAAAGTCTTCCTGAGGTAACAAGTTATTATTATCCACTTTCCTATGTTTCTGTGCGTCGTGAAGACATACCGTATTCACAAAGATTTCCAAAGAATCCCGGCGGGCACTGGCAGACGTAGTAGGTGTACATGTTGACACATTCCCCACTACCCTGGCAGGGGTTGCTGCTGCATGCATTGCGCTCTGTCTCACAATGATCACCTATCCAGCGTGATGCACAAGCGCAGGTGTAAGAGTTTGGCCCGTCGATGCAGGTGCCGTTATTGAGGCAGGGAGAACTTGCACACTCGTCATCATCTGAGAGCAAAGTCAAACAGGAAGTATATGTTTCAAAGAAAGTTCAACCTAAAACACTGGGTCCTCTTTTTGGACCCTGTGCCCGAGTACGTCCTCAGTGGTGACGAAAAAAAGAGTTTGACTGACACTTGGAAGCCACTGCTATGCTGCAGTATGCAAACTTTTATACCCAGCCTTTCCCATCAAGGTGATGGCTGCATACCTGAATTTGTGTGCAGCTATAATATGATTTTAGAGGAATTTTTCGAGTGAGGGTTATCACCAAGACGAAGAGAACGCTCTAGCTCTAGGAAATCACGACCAAAACAAAGGTTGGAGGAATGCTCAAATAATGAAAATGAGGTTTTTGTTTCCTCTAGGTTTTTATAGCTCCCAAAAAACAACGCATTGCTCACACAAGGTAGGTGATCTAAACATGACCTCATGTAGTTCATGGTGTCCCCTTGTTCCTAGTTAACTCGGAGCCCTCTCTTGCTAGCGGGCAGAGCCTATGACTTCGTATTAGACTGCAAAATATTCACTGATTAAGGAGTCTTTTTTACATGATGTGCTCAGAACAGAGGGACATACCGATTGAGCAAGTCGGTCCACTGAATCCAAGAGGGCATATACAAAGGAAATTTTCTCCGTTATTAAAGCACTCAGCTCCATTGAAGCAGGGGCTGCTCAGACATGGCACCTCAGCTGAAAGAAAAAAGTACATCAAGTAGACCTTTCAGACAAAACATGGTCAGAGTGTGTTGACCTTCTTTTTTAACAGTCGGTAATTCTGTGTGATAGCGTTCATCCTCGCTCCCTAAAGTTCCACACTATTATGCAATATGTTGAAAAATTGTTGAGGATGAACTTGCGTCAGGCATCTTGTTTTAAAACCATGAAAGGAAGGTGTAACACACAACCAGACCCACAGCGGAGGATTTTTTACTAGGGTTAGGGTCATTTTGCAGGTTAAACCTCAACCACTTTCCTTTGTATAGAGGGCTGAAAAAGAAATACAAAAAACACCATTTTACCACAGTCAGGAAGTCTCACGCTTCACTTTCTGATTAATCCATACGAGGACAGACTTTACAAATGCCAATATATTATTACCAACAAACAGCTTTCACCCTAAAACAGCCGAGGGGCCAGAATCTGTCCCACTCAACATTTTTTCTGATATCTCCACAATGGATTTTTTTCAGGAGCTGAGCCTTCAGGATTTTTAGAGTAACTCTTTGTGGTAATTTTGACACCAATTTTGTGAAAGTTGACCCTACCATTCTTGCGAGGCGCCAGTTTTTTCCAGACAGGTCAGCAAAAACTGTATACTTTTGCTACTGTGCTGCTCAATGCATATAGTCTGGTACACGCTTAGCCTTGAACTTGATCGTAACAATGAAACCGTTTGTTTGATTGACTTTAAACTTCACATTTGTAACGATAAGAAGTGTCTGTACATGCCTGCCACGTTTTAAAAACTCAGCCTAGCACAGTCAAGTTCTTGGGGGAGCAGTGTCTGCCCCCACCTGGCTGTGAGAGGGGCCAAAATATAACGGCTCTTTTAGGGTTAAATCTTTGTGGCTGACATTTTCTACATCTAAAAAAAACTGGCAAAAAGAAGCGTGATCAGAACTGAATTGTAAAAAAAAAATATAATTCTAAATAAGACATGATTTAGGGCTTGGCTTTTGCTCCATTCTTATTTCATTCTAGCTGACCCACCCACTTCCTGGGTTGAACAACTGTATCCCATGACACAGCTATAATAAAAACAGAGAAAACATACAGTACGCCCACCTGTTTGACAAAGGATTCCTTTCCAGCCAGGTAGGCAATGGCACTCAAAGTAGGTCCCGTAGTCATTGCATGTACCGCCGCGCCGACACGGATTGGATGCGCACGGTGTGAGGGCTGCAAACCGAAGAAAAGGATGTAACTAATTCATGACAGAAGCACAAACGCGTCCAAAAAGTATGCAACCGGGTCCTGACTACTGCTGACAATACTGCATTAGTAATCGTCCTACTGTGTTTAGAACACCAATTCAGAAATGTTTGCACAAATTTAAACTGCCTAATCACAGAATCCTCTGTACGGGGATACGTGCATGCTTACAAGCTAAAACTCCTTGCAAAATCTTTGAAATGTGTAAACAATTTGTACAAAATTTTCTACTAAAGTCATGGAAATTCCAACCGGTGAATCAGCATTTTGACCTAATTTTTAAGTTAGTGCATTCATTACTGTAACTACTTCTTATACAATTTTAATACACGGAAATACATAACAGAACCGGAAACGTATTCCATTAATCTTCACAGTCCTGAACCCTTTTTAATATAATTGATCAAAATTTTGACACAACCTAGGATTTTAGGGTTGGTATGGAGTACCATACTACTGAAGCTTCGCCATGAGCATAGACTGTGAAATCCAAATGATGCCAATGCAAAAAAAAAAAAGTAAACAGTTTGATGCTTGATGTTGAATTTTAACTAGGCAGTTCTGAGTTAATCTCTAAAAGGGTGTAGTGTTACGTGCGTATGAAGGCAACGCACCTGTTTCACAGTTGGCACCTGTCCAGGTTGTTGGACAGAGACACTGATATGCGTCTGATGTACTCTGGCAAGTTCCATTATTCAAGCACGGTGAACTGTCACAGACGTCCACAGCTGAAATCAAACCGATTGAATACAGAAAATTTAGGGTTTCCTTAAGTTTCCTACAGGTGAATCTTCCAATCCACATTTAAAAACAATATTTCTTCATTAAGAAACGTGAAGGTCATAGTACAGGTATGCAGGTGTCATAGTATGTAGGTGTCATAGTATGTAGGTGTCGTAGTATGTAGGTGTCAGTATGTAGGTGTCATAGTGTGTAGGTGTTATAGTATGTAGGTGTCATAGTATGTAGGTGTCATAGTGTGTAGGTGTTATAGTATGTAGGTGTCGAAGTGTGTAGGTGTCATAATATTTAGGTGTCATAGTGTGTAGGTGTCATAGTGTGTAGGTGTCATAGTATGTAGGTGTCATAGTGTGTAGGTGTCATAGTATGTAGGTGTCATAGTGTGTATGTGTCATAGTATGTAGGTGTCATAGTGTGTCGGTGTCATAGTATGTAGGTGTCATAGTATGTAGGTGTCATGTCTGACTCTTATTCCATCTGTTAAAACATATTCTGGTCAAACTGAGCAATCAAAATGAGATTAAACAATTGGAAAAAAAACCTGACCTGTTTCACAGTTTTTGCCAGTCCAAAGGGCAGAGCAGAGACAAAAATAATCTGTCTGTAGATTGAAACAGACAGCCTCGTGCTGGCACAGGTTTGGGTTGCATAGATCAATGGCTGGATTCAAGCGGGTAAAAAGAGAAAGTTGCCATTTTTAGATTTAGATATTACTACAAACTGATTGCAACAGAGGTTGACAAACAAGGTAAATATTTGAAGAGAAATAGGCAACATGTTCAGAAAATGCAACAACAGACAAGCTGCAGCACCTTTTATGGTCTTTCAACTCCAAATGACAAAATCAACTTGCTGCAGATAGTAATAACACACTTGTCAATGGGAAATGGATGAAGCCACCAGTCATCAGAGGCTTAATGTAGACACAAATGATAGTTCAAGCAAACTTTTAACATTCAGATGTGGCTTATTCGTATGACACAGAGTGCACATGACCGATTTTCGACAGGATGGGCACAAAAGTGCTATGACATCATATCTGAGAACAACACTAGCATCCGTGAATGTGAACACAATAGCAATGTCCAGGCTACAAGTTGTCAACTCTATCCATTAAGAAACATTGTTTCTTGCATGAAGAAAGGAAACTTCTTTGTGACTTACCAATGTTGCAGTCCACTCCTGTCCAACCCGGAGTACATTCGCAGGTGTATGAAGTGTGATGGTTGGTGCAGAGGGCACCATTTCTACAGGGGTCAGGATCACAGGCATTCAGCTCTGGAAACAAAACAACATTATCATAAAATAAAAAAATTACGATCTTTTCATATTCCATCCAAAGTTGTTCCTGTGATGTTTATACAATTGCTGTGGACTCTTACAAAACCAGCCTGCTGAAAGTGGCAGGCCTGGTGGTCAAATGGTGAGACATCAGCACTAGGGAGCACAGGGTCGTGGGTTTGAGTTCCACCCAAAGCTCTTGAATAGCAAAGGATGCTCACCGAATGATATCTAAAATTAGAACGGCAGAGGGAAAAATCTAACATTCAACCAGATCTAACAAAATGAGGCTTGGAGCCATTCTCGAGCCCTTGTTCCTTTTTTTAGTTTGCATTTGGGCAAAATGAGCTCTTTGTGTTGTACGGAGTGCTAGGCAAGCAGAGACACAGACAAAGGACTGACCTGTCTCACAGCGTTCCCTAGTCCATTCCGGCACACACAGGCACACATAGCTGGTCTGCTGATTCAAGCAAGTAGCGCCATTCAGACACGGTGCAGAGGTGCACAGATCCACAGCTGAAGATAACAGAACAATAAACACAAAGGGTAGCGACTATGGAGGAGACACTCAGCCCTTCTGGTCAAAAAACAGGCTGAGAAGGGCCGTCAGCTTTATTTTCCAGGGTTAACTTGTGTCGTGCAAGTAGCACAGATCTCACAGCACACATAACTGTCTGTTTTAGTGCGGGGCCAAATAAAGCGATGTGTTGTATTTGATCCATGCAGGTGCAGCTGAGGGCACCATGCAGAATACCAAGTACGGCCGAGGCAGGCATATTTACGCGCACACTTGTTCACACAAGTTCAAATAATTTGAGCGACCGATTGCCAAATTAATGAACAAAAACTCACAGCGTATGCTGTAATGAACTAAAGTACCTATGCAATGGAAAATGCAAAGACATATCAACTATCGGTTAAAACGACAATTTTTCACACCTCCCAAATTGCGAGTGTGGCTATCCTCCCTTACCTTCGTTACAAGTTTCACCCATCCATCCATCGGGGCAAGCACAGGAGAATGACCCAGGGGATAGAATGGTGCAGGTCGCTCCATTACCACATGGACTAGGGTTGCATTCATCCGCAACTACAATAAAATTGGGGAAAATAAAAAAATTGGAACCCTTTTGATCGTGCTTACTACAATGAAAATTTGTAATTTGACAGGTTAAGATTGAATAGTTGTGTAGAACTCAAACTTTACCAATGTCACAGTTTGTGCCCGTCCATCCGTCCGCACACTGACAGATGTAGAACGTGAGGCGGTTGTCACAGGTTGCTCCATTCAGACATGGGTTAATGGGGCCACAGGCATCGAGTGCTGCAACGGTGAAAATAGTCAATCAAGGGATCAAATAGACCAGAGACCAGAGAAACACTCAAGTCAGAGTTTGGATCCTCTCTGATACACACACGCAGAACCAATTTGGAGTTATTTAAAAGCCAAATCACAGGTCACGTAGCAATTTAACAAATGATAAAGGAATGCCTCATCACTGTGCATACAAGTAGCTCATCACTTGAGACTAACGTGTAATAGAGACTCTTTGTGGTTTGTAATGACATAGTGACTTGATTACAACGCTAGACTAGTGCATCACCAAAAAAGCTAGCAGCCTAGAAACTAAACCAGTCCAGATCTTTTATACTTATCGGAACGGGCAGCTAAATCCTAATATCAACCCTACAAGGAAGAGTTTCAAGGGTGAGAAAAGACTGGTTTATATAAACTGAAAATTTCACTCACCTGTCTGACAGTTTCTATCTGTGAAGCCCTGGGCACAACTGCAGGTGTAATAGGTCCTGTAGTTATTACAGAGCCCTCCATTAAGGCAGGGGGAACTAGCACACCGATCAATAGCTGCCAGGAAGGGAATATTAGCACATTGTATAGGTAAGGAAGTGTGTGCAATAGTATTAATATATTTTCTGATGTGAGAGATGGAACGTTCCATTCCACATGGTGAAATAGACTGAATGGGAACATCACTGCATCACCAATAATGTGGCAATGCCGTGGCACACTTCTTTTGCTAGGAAATGGAACTTCTGTTTTTAAAGAGCAGCTGCCCTGTGCACTGGGATGAATAATTCACTGAAGTGTGATTTACAACTCATCAATCCAGTGACTGAGATTTACTCAGGTATTGCATTTATACACAGCACAACTGAAAGAATTTTGTACTCAGGTGATGTAAATTTTAACACATGGCCCTGGAAAATTGTTGATATAACTTTAGTACTGCTGTGGCCGTGGTTTCCTTTATGACTGAGAAGTCATTAAACAAAGGCTTTCATTTTCAAATGGAAACACTTTTAACTTTGGCCTCGTATTACTTGGAGAGAATGTTCCTTTAAGAAACGGGCCACACCTTGCAAAAGTCTCAAAAGTTGGAGGCTGGAGATAGTGAAGTTTGACTCAAAAGTCCAAAACCCATGGTCTCGACAGTCTCCATACACGAGACCAATGCAGTTCATTCTTTGAACTCCCCCCCCCCAAGGCTGTTTAAATTAAGGTACTCACGTATTTGGCAGTTGGTCCCGTTCCATCCGTCTTCACAGGTGCACTGATAACCATTCATTAAATCAGCGCAAGTTCCGTTATTTAGACACGGCTGGCTGGTACATTCGTCGATGTCTGATGGCCATAACATTTAAAAACAAGCCAATGACAAAACTTTGCACAAACAGGGCTCATTTCTTTTCATGATAAGGTTGGAAGTAATACATAATGAAGATTATGGAAAATGGATTGAGACCTTACCTTTAGATGCTTACGTTTTAAAAAATGCACTCTTTGGGGGGTTAAGTGTGACGTTATGGAGGGCATCCGGCATTCAATCTAAGAATATTGTGCAATGTTTCCCAATTAATTGGCTTCAATAAAATTCCAATGGAACAGAGACCAACTACAATGATTTGAATTGAACTTAATGCAAAACTTTCAAGGAAACCAGAGTAAAGTCCCCCAAATACCCAAAGGGAAACCAAGTGGCCACCTCCTAGAGTGGAAGCAGGAACTGAATAGACTTACCAACACCACAGTCATTGCCAGTCCAGCCTGGGGGACATACACATTGGTAGAAGGTCCCATTCTTGGAGCATGTTGCACCATTCAGGCAAGGGAGAGAAGTGCATGGATCTAAGGCTATCATGATAAAGAGTATAAAAGCTTCGTCAGACAAATCTTTGAGTCATGTTAGACAACAGGGTTGGGAAACTGAAAGTAAATTAAACATGAAGATTGGAGGTTTCATATTTCATGGGTCTTTAAGAGAGACCATCGACCATTGTTCTCTTTATCATTCTTATCACCAGAGCAAAAGTTATAGTAGAAAATGTCCACATCTCACGATGATAATTCAGAGAAAAAATTGGTGACCCTTTTTGGAGAACCCTTTTTTGTGAACAGACCCACCTGAGATGGAATTGCATGCCTGTAAGCACAGGTGTTCCAGTTGCCTTTTTTTTGTATCGATACAAAAAGAGGATTACAGATTTTAAGAATGTATAGCTACCAACCTAGTCATCTTAAAAATTACTGATTGCTTCGGTCTCTGGCACACCTGTCATGCTAGTCACCACATAAAACACAGTGACTACGAACATGAAAATGCACAGATTTGCAATTTTCAAGACAACATACCATGTTTTTCTTTCAAAATCCAAAAAAATTCAAGTTCTTTGGGCAAATGTTTGGACCCAAAGTAAAAACAAATACATTGAGCCCAGCCAATGTTACATTACATGTTCAAATATTCACAAATCATTTTCCCAAGATTTACCAAGCAAGTTTTGGATTCTGTTAGATTGAGGAATCTCAAGACCTCTAGGTATTAGAGTTTCATGGACTAGAAAATATTTTTCATCGTACCGAATTGGCAGAGATCTTCGGATACCCCTGGGAGGCAAGTACAGGTGAAGTAGGTCAAGAAGGAGTTACAGGATCCACCGCTCTGACAGGGATTGGATGCGCAGGGGTCCACGACTAAACAGGAAAAATTCAGTCACAAGTTACCGAGAAACTTTCTCTCAGTCTGCATCCTTTCAAAATGGTCTGAGCACGAGGATTGACAGACCCAAGGGTTACATGGCATGCACAGGTCCACAGAGGTCGCAGTGTTGTCTTAGCCTATTCCTGTGCCAAGCAAAATTCTTCTGAGAACTGAAGGAGAATGCAGGACAGTCTGAGAGTCTAACGACCTTCACATTTGTCTTCATCCAATAGCATTATGAAATACAAATTGATCAAAAGTTTATTTGCTTGTTTGTTTTTTTATTTGAAAATCTCTATAAATATATTCCAGAGCGAAAAAATCAATTATACATCAAGACAGGAAAGAAAATTGTCCAATACAGTGAGTTCTGAGAGTTGTCAAGAATAGCACTATCAAGCCACCAGCAGTTAATTCTCGCTGTAGTCCGATAGCATCATGAAAAAGTTGAAGACAAGGTTTCATAGCAATCTTTGTCGTTACTTTACAACTTTGACATGATGACCAATGTCTTTTTTTCCTCTTCAGGTACTGTTTTCCTTTACTGCAGTTAATCAGCACATCCACTCATCACACAAAAATCTTGGCCAAAAATTGGATGGACTGATGCCCCTCATGCATCTATCTAAAAGAACTTGTAACCTCTTGAGACATCTGCCTGCTCTAAAGGCATAAAGTGACAGGGAATCAACCGATCGCTACTTTGCAGAAAGTATCAGATACCTTTCGAAAAATGTCAATATTCAACCTACCAACATCACAGAGTGGGCCAGCCCAACCCGCTGTGCAGTTGCAAGTATAGTAGTTGGCGTAATTGATGCAGGTAGCATTGTTCCGGCAAGGGTTGGAGGCACACAGGTCAGTGACTGCGGGGAAAAATGACCAATAAAACCTCAACAACTGTACAGTTTTACCATGTTTACTAGCTACCTTGCTGTTACAAACATTCTATCACACTGATAATGTTGGGAGCATATCTTCCTCATTTGAGGGAGTAGGACTTTGGGCTACAGTTTGTAACACATGATCAGAGGGCACAAGATTCAAATCCAGCTACTTGCCATGAGCTATGTCCTTGGGCAGGGCACTTTACAGGCATACCAAAACACTCTGTGTAATCATGAAACTTACCAAGCTCACAGTTGATTCCATCATAGCCTTGAACACACTCACAGGTATAGGTGGTTCTCAAGTTGTTGCATGTGGCACCGTTTTGGCACGGTAGACTCTCGCAAGGATTTAATTCTAAATTAATTCAAGCCAATTAAGCTTCATTAACATCTGATATCAAGGTACGGTTTCACCAATACAATATCCTGCAGTCAGCAAAACTTTCATTCAACAATTACAACAAACAGTGAACCCAGCTAAAGTTAAAATTACAATGCAGGCTTTGGTCCTAAAGTGATAACACGCGGCATTCCACGTATGAACAATACAAGAACTGTCTTAANATTTGTGTGAACCAATCACATTGAGGGCAGAAGATTAACTTAAAAAAAAACCTAACCTTGCTAGAGCAGCATAAACCTGCTAGCAATTATCTGAACGTTTCTACTTCCGTTTAAACCCCTTCATATAAATTCATCACCAGCTCTTTGGAATGATGCTGCCAAGCACACACTCATTTTTACAGGACATCTGGAACTCTCCACGGGTACTCTTGCTTTCTACTGACCGCTTTACAGCCATAAATTGCCATACTTTCCCACTTTGTCCTTTTGTCCAAGGACATTGGAAAAATAATTAGGAGACCACTGGCTTCAGGCAAGCACAGCTGCAATCACTGGTGTCCTGGAGGTCACTGGTTCACATTCCAATAAATATGACCCTGTACAATTTGAAATCCAAAATCCAACGCGCATGGCAATTTGCAGGAAGTGACGTCATCTGAGACACACCTACATTTTTCACGTACATGACTTTTGTGATCACCAAAGACATTGTTTTCTGCAAGTGAAACCTCAACTTGGCTTATTCTTTTACTCAACCTAATGGCAGAAGGAACTCACAGATACAATCTCTTACCTGTATCACAGATCACACCAGTGTAGTTCATGGGGCACATACATTCATAAGCACCCAACTGATCCTTGCAAGTTGCTCCATTGAGACAAGGATTGCTTAAGCACTCATCCACTTCTGTAAAGAAATAATTTTTCTTTAAAAATTAGTCCTTTCAGATTTCCATTTTTAAATAAATGACACTGTAAGTTAAGCAAGAAGACCTTTTAACGTAAAGAGTATTAACTTGGCAAAGAAAACTGTAATAACAAAAAGTTGTTGTGATAAACGTGGATGAAAACAATTTTTCTATATTTGTACATTTCCAAAGCCAATTCCAAGACATACTCTAGCTGTTTCTTTCTAAGCACTACTTTGCTTGGAATTCTTTGTCTTTGTCCAGTTTTCCAGATGCCTACAATATATCCCAGTTCAATATATCCCAGTTCAGTATGTCCCAGTTCAATATATCCCAGTTCAATATATCCCAGTTCAATATATCCCAGTTCAATATATCCCAGTTCAATAAATCCCAGTTCAATATATCCCAGTTCAGTATGTCCCAGTTCAATATATCCCAGTTCAATATATCCCAGATCAATATATCCCAGTTCAGTATGTCCCAGAACAAGCACCTTTCACATTAAAAATGATACACCTTCCTTCGAGAGGGATTCGAACTTGTAACCACGACAGCAATCTTAGTAGTCTCCCAAGTTGTTAGTGTCTTTGCCCAAAGGATACGATTCAGATGTACATACATGTGGCAGGGATCAAAGCGTAAATTACAAGACATTTGGAAAATAATGTTGAAAAGCAAATCGCAAATGGCACAGGTTATTAACTGTAAGCATCACAGTGCCTTACCTAGCTCACAATGGATGCCTGTGTAGTGCGTCAGACACTGACAGATATATCCATTCACTCCCTCGATGCAAGTTCCATTGTTTAGGCACGGGCTGCTCAAGCACTCTTCAATATCTTTACAAAGATGCACGGAACGAGGAATAAGCTTAACATTTGCACTGAATCAACTTTAACACAAGAAAATCGCATCACAATCCAATCTGCAAGGAAAGCCCTCTCTACAAATGTAAATGTAAACGACGTACATGTTTACCTGCTTCACAGACGATTCCTGTGTAGCCTGGCAGGCAGACACACCTGAATGCATTGTTTCCTTCGAAGCAGGTGCCTCCGTTCAAACACGGCTGGCTGACACACTCAATCGTTTCTGTTGAATTGAATTACATCAAACTTATCAACGATGTGTAAAAACCACTAGTGCATGTGAAAGTAATAGCATACATTTTGCATATCATGTTTTTAAAGGGTTCTTCAACTTAAGTTTTGGAGCACAATCTTTGTTCAATAGATCTGCAAAATGCAGTCCAAATAAACACCACTCCCAAAAAAACATGCAGGTCTGAAAAATAAGATTGACAATGGAGTAGTTAAATGAATCGTGTATATATGAATGACAATTATATTTAATCTGGGAAACACGATTCAAAACAATGTATTTGACAAACAAAATCTGCTAAAACTGACATCATACAAGCAGTATTGTACCAAAGATGTGAAAACAACAAACTCATGTCAAACATGGGCAAACAGGTCAGAAAGAAAGACAGTCAGACAGAGCTGTCAACCATGTGACTGACCTATTTCACATTGTGAGCCACTCCACCCTGTCGGACATGAACAGTTGAAGTGAGTGTAGAGATTGGTGCAGTTTCCTCCATTCAGACACGGAGAGTTGACACAGGCATCCACAGCTTAAAAGCACAAAATAAATCCTCAAGACAAGCACTAAGCGTGGGGATGCACTTCAAAGACACAAATAAGCCTGTCTACTTTTGCCACAGTCCCACTCATACAACTGCAAATGACTACATGTACATGTACATGGAAGTGCTATCAACGTTTTGGGAATAAGCTTGTGCACGGTCATTTGTGTAGAACTTCATCACGATAAATTAGAGTAAGATTTCTATTTACACCAGATGCAGCTTGATGAATAACACTGTTCAAAATATCAGACTTAAAGTGTAGCTGCAATAAACTATTCTTTGACACAATTTTTCCGCATCGTTGTACTTTTCTTCAATGTATGAAAACTCTTACACACTCCTATTTGGTAAAATACATTGAAAGGTGCACACTTTTAAACAATTAAAATTATCCACATTTTCCCAGACAACTGAGGGTGCTGTTGCTGTGAAGTCATCTAGGGAAGACATGTTTTAGTGCATAGGTATTTCTGTTCAAATTGTGAAGCCAAAATTTACCAACTGAGAACATTTCTGAGAGAGTGATTGATGGTTTCTTATTGCTATGCACATAAACAACAATGATTCAGGAAAGAAGAGAAAACTTAGTTTCCGAAAATCTACAAAAACACAGGACTTTTTTGTATACAAACCAATGTAACATTGAGGCTTCTTCCTGGGATGACATCACAGTTTTGCTCATGAATATGGAAATACTCATCAGCATAAAAACCAAAAAGGCATTGAAATACCCTTTGAAATAGTGAAACCAAACTTGAAAATAAGGTTTATTGAGGCACAAAGATGCATTTTACAGGTTTATAATCAAAAACTTCGATTGCAGCGACCCTTTAAAAAGCAAAGCAAGAACGTTTTAATTCTCTACATGAAGTAACTTCTAAAGTTGCATTTAAGCCCTGTATGTCTCCAATATAGGATAATTAAATTCAAAGTAGAAACCAGACTTCAACACTGTACACGTTAGTATTGTGGTTGAGACCTCTTCCGACCATCACAAGACCCTACAAGACCATCAAAAGACCAGCACAAGACCTTCTGTCTGAATTCATGTCACAAGCTATTCAGATGAACTGCAACAAAAGCATTCAAAAAGTTCACCTCATCACTCGCGACAAGTCATGCAAATGGTATCATGCGTGGTCTTGTGTCTGGTCTCGTAAATACTGACGGCATACTGTGTTTATATTATGAACAGAAGTGCTCAACCACACCGACTGACACTAATATGCAAGAAATGTACAAATATTTGCCAAAGGATCCAGCTCTAGGGTCCCTTCAACAAAGATGGACTCACCAATCTCACAGTTGCTCCCTGTCCATTCAATGGAGCAGAGACATTTATAGGCCAATGAATTCAAGTTCCTGCAAGTGGCGTTGTTCATACAAGGGCTGCTACCACATGGGGTCGTATCTGAGGGAGGTGGATCATTTATGGAGTAAGATATTTACACGTTCAATAATTTACTGTTCTTTATCACTTTCTGAGCAACCACAAGCTTTATCTTTTGACTGGATTGCTGCATTCCTTTTTCCAAATTTTTTTAATTAAGAAATTAGCAAAAACGACATATATAGGTGACATCAAGCAGTGCCCCCTCACAGGAGGTTAAGTTTGTCAAATGTTTCAATGTATGTTCTGGTTTGCAGGGATAAATTAACAAATATCTTTCACCAGTCTTAATTGACTTGCCTATTTCACAGCGGTCTCCAAGGTAATCTTCAACACATTGGCACTCATAGAAGCCAAGGCTGTCCATGCACGAACCTCCATTCAGACAGGGATTGCTGGCACATTCAGCAATATCTGAAAATTCAAACAAATTTTTGTCATCAACTGAGGCATTTCCGTGAACCTGTATCTAAAAGAGACAGTTTCCATGTGGGCATTATTTCTGTAAAACAGAAACACAAAAATAAAAATCTTGGCTTGGCAGTTACCACAGTACACGTTTGTTCTTGACTCGTGAGTTTCTCATATTTTTCAAAACTGTACTTCAATATCTGAATTTTTATCTAAAAAGAGAGTGCCATTTATTCGGTACATTTTCTACATAAACAAAGTAATTGGATCCTGTAATTAGATGATGCCACATTTGTTTTGGTGTACCATTATCATTTGATCACAAAACGGCAGCTTTCCTTGACAACATGACAATCTTTCTATTATGCACTGAATGTAGACGTTTATTACTTCGAATATGACTGGGTTTTAACATGTTGACATTATAATGTACAATCATGGCAATATGAGGCAAAAAAACATTGGCAAGATGTTTGGATGGTTGTTTTGGTGGTCAGTCCCCAATACATGTGGACTTGACATCTGGGTGATTATCCCCAACAGTAAAGCAAGCTTGCAGTCAGATGGTATTCAGCTAGTAACTAGCTTACGGCAACCTCTATACACTTGCGCAAGCTTACCAGTCCATGAGATTGCTCTTTAATGGTTAAGCCTCTTTTGTTCTTTAATGAAATCATGAACCAGCTTGTGAAGACTGCTTTAGACAGTAAGAACATAAATCAATCAAGACAAACTGCTCGAAAAGAAAAGCATTTAAAGAAACAATGCACTGACTTTTCCGTAGAACCACTGTTTGGACAAGTGTAAACTCTTCTTCAATGTATGAAAACTGTCTCAATCTTTTGGAGTTAAGTGAACAGTAAATCGCACTTTTTTGTCCATGAATATACAAATTCATATTAGCAAAAACTAAAAAGGCTGAAGAACAAAGAGAAATAACAAAATTAAAACTGAAAAAAAGGTCAGCTGAAAGGCAAATGTGCATCCAAAGGTATTAGTAAAATATTTCTACTACATGGTGTTTTTACGGAACCACCGTTAGCAGTTACTCACCCATTTCACAAGTTTCCCCTTCCCAGCCAGCAGTGCAGTTACAGCTATAAGCATTCACAAGATCAATGCAGGTGGCATTGTTCTGACAAGGGGTACTGCCACACTCGTTAATATCTAGAAACACCAAAAAATACAAACAAGAAAGCGGTCAATGATACAGCAAAGAATAGGATATTAAGAAAGAACAACAGGTAACCTGTTGTGTCCTTAGCACGGCCAAATCACTCAGTCCTTACCTGTTTCGCACCTGTCCCCTGCATAGCCCAGCTTACACTGACATGAATAGGAGTCTATTCCATCAATGCACGATGCTCCATTCAGACAGGGGTTACTAGCACACTCCTGGATATCTGGAGAAGAAAAAAGAAAACTCAGTACCAACTCAGTTGAATAGGTCAGATCAAGTCAAATACAGAGATGAAGTGACACCGTACAATTTTCTTTTAGAGCCACAAAAGGTCAGGGTAACAGTTGCCCTGTTTGGCACAGGCACAATCTTGCTAAATGAATTTAGATGCCTTAAACACAAGCACTGTGGAGCAATGAAGCAACTTAGCATGTATGACCCAGATGTCAAATGTTTGTGCAAACTTCAGTGCATGATACGTATCGAGTTAGCCAAATAACATTGGAAAAAAACTGCAGCGTGCCAAACTTTGCACAGAAATGCACATTTACATTTGTGGCACAAAGTAAGTACTTAATTCATAAAATATGCATACAAGAGCATAGATGCAAGCAAATGATGGCAAGTATTTTTTCGAGATCATGCAAGAGTGGAGATGAAAACAAATTTCCAATATTTACCAATTTCACAGTTTGTACCATTGAATCCTGGGAGACAGGTGCAATTATACTGGTTGACGCCATCACTACACGTTGCTCCATTCATGCAAGGGTAGCTGGCACACTCATCAATATCTGTGTATAATAAACACATCTTACACAGTTGATGACAGGTAGAGTGCCTTGCCCCAAATGTTGGTCTCAGTAGAAGCTTACCAACTCACAACAGAAATATTTTCAACACGATGCCATCCCCACCTTACCGCCACAATGTCCACAATTTTTAACAGGTTTTTGCCTTTACACTGACGTATATATTCATAACACTGCATGCTCAGCATTTGTCTGAGAGCTTGTGAAAAAATTCACAACCTTACTCAGATGGGACTCACGCTTGCTCACTAGTGCAGACATCCTAACCACTCAACCACCGAGCTTGCCGAGGTCGGCTGACAAGTCCAAGCCAGATGTGGTTTTGCCCAAAGACTGGTTTTACTGTTTTGGCCAGTGCACTATGCAGGCAAAATGCTCTGGCGAGCGCAGCCGAAGAGCAGTACCAGTAGAGGGCGCTATATTCACAAGAGTCGAACTGCCAGAAAACCAGTCTTGTAAAATTCGACAGACTTACCAAAAAATTCTGAGCATACCTAAGTACCATGAACTATTTCTAAAGATATATATTTTTTGCAAGCTCTGACACAAACACTGAGCATACGGTGTTATGAATGTACACATCAGTGTAAAACCTATTAAAAATTGACATCTCCCTAACATGAAATATACATCTTTGGAAACTGCCACAAAAGCATTAGAACTTCATAGAACGGTTAAGGAATGGTCACAGTAACATCCAAAAAGTTCGGTGAAGTTTACCAAAACAGTAAATCATTTCATGTCATCACATCCTTCATTTGAGGCATCTGAGGGCAAATGGATAAGTTCTCCAGCAGGTTTGTTAGCATCTGAACCTCACTTGTTACAAAGTGTGTGCAATATATTGCACACACTTTGTCAAAATAAAGGGTTAATTAAAGTTGTCAAAGAAGTCGCCTACGTGTTAAATCCTACATTACCATTTTCACAGTTCGTGCCATTGAAGCCTGATGGACAAATACAAGCATAGGCACTGACTCCCTCAAAACACAGGCCTCCATTCTGACACGGGTTACTCTCGCATTCCAAGGTCTCTAGACCATGCAAAAGCAAATGGAAAAATATGAATTTCCACCAATCCATCCGTAAACTAATCCTAATTATAAAGAATTATTTACAACATGTAAGTATCAATAATTTATTATTATTATTATTACATTCAATTTATATAGCGCTCATTTCATAAAAAATGTTCAGGAGTGCTTAACAAACAAAAAAAATACCTATTAGAACAACTATTTACAAAGACCCAAAATAATTAAAATAAACACAATTTAACATAGATTACAAGTTTAAACCAAACATGGTGGGACTTCCACGCGCGGCCAGCACCAACTCTCCCTCTAACGAGCCATCATGCGTCCAAGACTCATTTCAATTCAGAACAATCAAGTTATAAACTTCTGCATTCTCCTTCCAAAGTTGAGTATTCGTTTTTACAGCAGAGTCTCTGTACACCTTTCATAGAGTTTGCAAACCTTTGCTTCAGTCTGCAATCATTAAGAGTTTCATCAACTTTAATGATAACTACCCTGGATCGGTAAATTTATTTGATGGATTGCAACAGCCACTTTTTTCTCATGTGAAGCTGCAAATCACACCTTTAGAAAAGGAATAGTGAGACAAAGTATTCAGCTTTTGATAGATTCTAGACCAAACTAAGGAGTGTAAAGATATCCTTGTTGTAACTTTACCATTTTCACAGCGTTCACCAACAAATCCATCGGGACACTGACAGAAGTAGGAATCAATTCCTTCAAAGCACAGAGCACCATTTAAACAGGGGGAACTGGCACATTCCAGAATCTCTGAACATGAGAAAGATTGACCAAAATGAAAATAGCGACAAAAATGGAATATGACTTCCCACAACTCTGTATCATGCTGCCTGAGCTTGTTTTAAATGTTTGTATCTTGGCCATAATTGGTGTTTGCTTTCAGCAACATGTTGAAATTGTTCCCCATTGTCCCTGATTCAAGAAAGAAGTTTAAATTGAATCATACTTCTGAAGGTTTTTACATTATTTCTTCGATATTGTCAATATTTGTATTAAAGCAATCACTTATTTCTCAATTTGGCAACTGATAATATGGATTATATACATGTATTTCATGTAAGTGGCCAATTCTGCAAAGTTGATAAAGTCCATTTTGTAAAGTGACTGTTTCATTTGTATATTCTCAGAATGAGCGTCTTAAGCAAGGTTTTTTGATCCAATTCACAAGTCTACCTTCATCACATAACGACCCGGTCCAGCCATCTGCACATTCACATGTAAATGATGAAGTACCCTGAGCAGTACAGGTGGCTCCATTCATACAAAGGTTGCTTGTACTGCATAAACTGATTTCTGCCGAGACATTACAACAATGAAAAATTGATTTTGCATTCAAATATACAAAGTATTTGCACTGACTGTGACGTCCTATTCGATAAATCCAAAATGGAAAGATTAAACAAGTTGTGGTGTAATTCCTTTAACTGGTCCAAAAACTTAGAATGTTTGGTCTATATTATGAGAAAGCTGCCTTCAATCCTATTTTTTCCATGCTACAGATGGGTCGTAGCATTTGATATACCTGGAAAGAGCTCCCATTCCTTTCCTGTGAACCAAATATTTCAATTCGTGAAGACTTTTCAAGGCAGGCTACATCAAGACTGTCGGAATGATCTTTCAGTGAAAGATTTCATGCAGTTTTTCAGCACCAGAAAGCACTACCTGTTTCACAGAGATCCCCCGTGTAACCTGCAGGACACCGACAGAAGAAAGCCGACGGTCCCTCAAAACACTGGCCTCCATTCTGACATGGATCACTGGAGCACTTCAACACCTCTGTCACGGTTTCCAAAAAATTATGATAGATGGCATTTATTTTTAAAATGGAACTCCAATATCCAATTTGTTAGGTGCCTAATTTTGCTTGCAAAAGTTCCAGATGAAAAAAAAAACAAGTGTTTCAAATTAAAGTGCATATTCATTCATTTGCACTCCTTATTGGATGTGAAATCAAATTTCAAAATCAAATACATGTACCATATCAGAAACCTGACAAGGTTTGCAGGTGATCAACTTCAATTTGAGCGTAAAAACTTCCTGAAGGAATCCACTACAATCTCCATCATCACCTTGGTGCAAAGTTTTGTCATTTTCAGGAAAAAAGTACTTGAGTCAAGACAGTCACCTGTTACGACTCATCTTGAGTTGAGTGACCAAACTTTGTGACTCAAGTCAGACTCAAGATGAGTCATTAACTCGACACATTACAATTCTACGATCACGGCACACATTTTAGTGGCCTTGCCAGTCCACAGTGTATGTCCAATCTTTGACATGCTAAGGATGGAGTGACTCACCTTGGCACGAATAGCTACCAGACCCTTCAATACACCTGAAGCCTGGTTCACATGGATTGGTGGGCCATGTACATTCCAAACCATCTGGATAGCAAGACAAATGATACACAAATTGCTGATCGAACTTAATGGCTGTGAGCTAGCTAGACTGGTCACCTGACCCGTTGAAATGGGACATGCAACAGTAGACCAGATAGATATTTCATTGGCTAATGTTTTTGTAATGTGATCAGCTGTAATGATGAATGCTAACTCACATGAAGTTTGTTCAGCAGTCCTGAATCCTCCAAACCTAAAGGATTTTAGCTGTGTCAGGGTTATTATTAAATGTATTCAACTATAATTATCAGTCACAATAAAGTGTAACACAATATGAAAGTACAAACTCATTTTCAACTGATTTTCAATTGATTCACGCCCATCTCAGGAAAAATATTTGTACAGTCCCCAAAGAACTGAAAGCTTTGCACGTGGCTTCGAAACCAGCAAAATTACTAAACTCTGTAGGCTGGCCACAAACTATTGACCATTTGACAAAAATACATGCAAGTCAAACACTGGTCAGACAGCGTTTCTTGCGTGAAACTGCTCCAAAGATTCCACATTCTCTATTTACCTGTTTTATACTGGATCACCCACCCCTCCTGAATAATGTTGAAGTCCGAATGCCACCTGACAAACACCTGATTGGTCTGCAAGGTGAGGACTAGCGGCTGGTCCAGCTGTCCGCTGTACTCCTGTCCATTTGATTCGTTGCTTCCCGAACCAATCAGGAGATAGTCTTTGAGCGTCTCCGTGTGCATGTAGGAGATGTTGAGGGTGATATTGACAGCTCCGGGCACTCGGATGTGGTACAGACAGTCTTCAAAGTTGTCATGTTGATCAGGGAAATTTGGAGACATGAAGATGCCGGAAGCATTGGAGAAACTATACTGGCATCTTTTATCTGAAAATGAAGGGAAATGTAAATATTAATCACATTTAAAGCTAACGTTTTTGTTAGGGGTGGAATTCTGTAAAGTAAACCATTTTTCAAAGATAAAAAAAGTTGGGGTTATGCTTTTCTAAATAAATATATAATGAACAATAATTTTCATTCTTTTCCCAAACCCCAGCACTACATTAATTGAAATGCCAAATGCACACAAAACATCCCATTACTCAATTCAAAAATTTTTAAAAATTAATCCCCAGTCTCATTTCTGACTTTCAACACTATTCATGCATGTATGTCATAATTTTTTTCTGTTTTTTGTGTTAATTATCAAGCAAAGAACTGAAAGAAAAGCACATTAAAGAACAAACCAAATATTCAAAGAATTCCACGTAACTCACTTGATATCTGGGAACAGTTTGCACCAGTGAAGTTTGCCGGGCACAGACAGACATATCCTGGGTCGAGGTAGGCATCTAGGCATGTAGCACCATTCTCACATGGACGCAATGAACAATCTGGAGATACAATGTAATGTACCGTAGGTTTAACCATGGAGGAAGGAGGGAATTCCTCCATGGTTTAACAAGTTGCATCCTGGACAACAAAACTTGGTCATCAGCACTAAAAATGTCCACTCTATCGGCACAAAGGTTTATATATTACCCTGGATCAACGGGGCTCAGGAATCTGCCTCTCTGGAGAGGCAGATTGAGCTTCTTGGGGTAGATTATGGTGGCAAATGGTCCATATTTTGGACTGACAGCACAAAATATTTTGAAAATGCAGTAGGCTTAACATTAGATAACTTCATCATTGAAGACTTAGTCTTAAGTACATTGTTTTCTGCATTTTCATATCTTTGATTTGTTTAGCTTCTTGGGAAAGAATTCCTGGGACTGTAACATTTTGTTTTTTAGTTCCCATGTGGGCTACAAAAAGTGTAATACTATTACCAGTTGATTACCCCCTCCCCTTGCTGCCCCTCCCCTAACAATGCATCATGCCTAATTTCTCGTGAACAGACATGACAGATGAATACTCACTGCAAACAAAACTAGGCCTATGTCACTCACAGGTAAATGTGACCAAGGACAGTCGCTCTGATCAGTGACAGTATTCACATGTACAATAATGGCAACCCTGTAATGGAGCAACGGATTTCTTCGTGGCCGGCAGGTACGGCCACCATGCCAGGAACAGAGAAACCAAGGAGGCCAACTAGTACACATACGGCCGCGGCCGTACCCGGCCGGCCGGGTGCATGTTGACGCGTCCCCGCCCAGCCCCATGCATTCTGACTCGCGCCGCATGAGCTGAGCCTCAGGACCTTCAATTATCGCGATTAGAACGTGGAGGAACTTATTCCTCCATGATTTGATGCAGTTGTCGCCGAAAAAAGTCACAAAGGAGGCTTCTTTTCAGCAATAGATGGGTCCTGTTCTCAAGAAGTCGAGTCTACATGTACGCTTTCAGCTGTGGAAATAATCAAAAGTGCAAAATCGAAAACTCCCGCACAAGTGTGATACCGCCCCCTATTGACTTGAAAGATTTACTTTTTGCGAGATTAACGCGTACGCAGTTATTAGTTCCCTCGTTCGGGCAGTGCTAGTGGCGGGCCTAGGATGCAGGAAAACGCATGTTGCTGCAACTGTATAGGCCCACCACAAATGGAACGATTTTTTCAAACTCTGATATAAAAGATTCAAATACAAAAATCTTCAATTTTGCTGTGACTCAGTCACTTAGCCTGATAAGGAGTGAGGCTTCCCTCCCTCACGAGTTTCTCATTCTCCCTTAGAAAATTTTGAGCGCTCCAAACAATCAAGTCGAAACTTGAAGGTCCCACCCCAAATTTACCCCTTTTTTCAGCGATTTCCAATCAATTGATGAACCAACACCCAATAGTGAACATTCTCAATCATAATAATGACGCTTTTGTGTGGGCAAATTGTACGAAACTGTTGAGACAAAATCCAATAAACCATCAAGTCAATCTTCAAATTGCATGGGTTTCAAAACATATGCAGCCTCCGCCCATGTGCCACGTCCCGCAATTTTTCTTTGATCGTGGTCATTTCTTGATTCCTTCATGCTTTGTCATAGTTTCATTCGACTTCCAGAAATTAATTTCAGGGGAAACACATTTCCTCATTGTTAGCCTTACCACTGTTCCAAAATTTAACTATTTTGTTTAACTGTAAAAAAAAAAGGGGGGGTTACAACAAAATCAAAATTCCTATAAGACCGGAAACAAAAACAACGTCAACTTGCATGACTGAAATTATTTTTGAAGAGCTTGTACCCTTGACTTGCGTGACATTCAACACCAAGATTTATGGGTCTGTTGTGTACTCCCACAACTATTTCAAGTCACAATGCATAACAGTACCGTGATGAGTTCCCAAGTTGCCTACAATGTAAACACAGCACACGCACAATAGAATTAATGAAGTGTTGCGTGGAGACTCAGAGTCGCACGCAAAAGAAATCAGGCGCACATCTTTGAAGGTAAAGTTACCGGACTTTTGATTTTAAACTTCATTGAAATAATTAAAGATTCGGTAAGTCCTTTTTTTTCCTAGCTGTCCTGTTTGTATAAAATCCATATCCAAAATTTGTAGTTGTGTTATGTACTGTGCAACGAACTATTCCTCCACGAGAACAACGCTGTATGGAGGCATCCGAGTTGTTGATGTTTTTTGCCCTCCAATCTCTTTCCGATGGCGTTTTAATTTCAACCGTGACGGTATTTTGACGCAAACTTTGATTTCGGTGGCTTTAAGCAAGGATGAATCCAGAACCGAAGGGGGGGGGCAGGACAACGTGTTTTCGAGTTGGGGGCAGAATTTGAAATAAGTTATATAAGGGCCGAAATTTCTGAGGAAGTAGGCCTAAGGCTATATTTTGGGGCTTTTTACATGTGTTCTGAAGGAAAGGAAATGAAACAGCCCACCAAATACACCTTGCTCTTTTTCCCAAAATGGGGAGGGCTGTTCGGGGGGGGCAGGCCCTCCATCTACCCCCCCCCCCATCCGCCCTCACAGCTGTATAGGTCAACGTGTCTTAAACTTACCACTCATTGCTTGCGATGCAAACGTGATAGTCATTAGCACAACGAGGTTCAGTACCTGGGCTGTCCGTCTTCGCATTTCCATGTCTTTTTTGCAATGAAATCTCCTGGTTCTTCAAGAAAAAAAGAAAGTGGCACGAGTTCTTTCAGTCTCAGATCCGATCGTGTTGAATTTAACAGTAGCTGTCAACATCCAACATGTGTATGATGACAGACTGTTTCCTCCTAACACCGGCGAACCCAATCCGAGGTCGACATGATGTATAGATCAAATCATTGGAGTCATCTTGGCGCATCAGGTCTTATAAAGAACCTTTACAAGTCGAACAAATTACTCCCCGAAATCAGGAAGACCCGCTTGCAGAATCACCCTGTGTGGAAACAGGACCCGTGCCGTATCCTTGGGAGACGCTTCTGTGATGTTCATGGCATGCAGCGCTTACAGAAACCAATTCATCATTCTAGCCGTTACGTAGCGTTTGACAAAAGGATTCGGTGAGAACACAATGGGCCTGAAGAATGTGGGTGACTAACTGCGGGCCCACCATGGGTGCCAGAAAATCCCTACATGGACAAGGTAGTGAAAGCCTTTGAATAAACTGGGGAACCCAGCACCGTGTTCAAGGTACTGGGAGGGGCGTGGTTCATATTGACCTATGAGGTTGATTAGATGAGTGTGTCGGCTGTTGACGAGCCGATGGATATTACTCTATTGACCACATGTGATCCTTGGTTGTTTTCAGAACACTGAAAAAGAAGTTAGAATATTATTGCAGATGTTAATTTAACACTCACAGTCACCTTCAGAATAAAAACAAACCGCTACCTGTTATTTTCATGCATTATTGCGGGTCACACGATCACTTTCGCGGTGCACGGTCGTACTCATAGTGTAGGAACATTAAGTAAAGTGTGGATGTGCGGAGTTGTGTATTGTGCTACATCTGGTTGCAGAGTAAGAGTTTCTCAAACTAATTCTCATCGAATGTAATTTCATTCATAAGTCCTGGGGAATATTTGTATTTCTGACTTCTAAAACTGAGAGCCTTCAGTTTACGTCTACAAATAAAATGCTTCCTGAACTTTTCGGACAAAGGAAATTAATGGCCTTACAAATGAATCCTTCCTACTGATCTCCACGACCCGACTTGAAATTCCAAGGCTTATTATTGGATTACATGTAGGCTACTCACGGAAGAACAAAACACACACATTTTATACCATGCATGGAGGTATAGGAAAAGATTGTCGCAGGTTTCGGGGTGCACCAACGTATATAATATAGGCCAGAAATAATCTGCCGAGCTCATTCAAGTTATTAGAAGTTATAGGCTCAAAATATTCTATATTAGAGGATCCTAAGAGCCATGGAAATCGGATATTGAATAAATATGGCACTTAACCTCTGGCCCTGACTATGGGCTTCAAATTCTGAGCAATTTGGATGCAATCAGATCCGAAAGTGGCACTATTTGAGCCATTTTGCAGAGGGATGCATTTTCAAAATGACTACTTTTCCGGGCAGTGAAATTTCCCTAATTTTAGGAGTGGTCTGCTTTGGGGGAGAATTTCTCAAAAATTCACTGGTCATCCTACTAAAAATTGAAAAGAAAATGAAAGAGGACATGTCGAATATCATTTTTCTGTACAGCCTGAACACCTGTGAGAGTTGTGAGTATTTTAAAAATATTTATGAAGTATGGGGATTTATCACTGCTGTCTATGGGTATTTGCTGCGGTGCACCCTTCGGGATGAAGGCAAGGAGGCGTGACAGAGAACAGCAAAACAGCAGAGGGCGCTACATTTGTCACAATGGCGACTTACGAGTGGTGAGAACTTTTCATTTTTGGCACAAGAACAACTGCAATTTACGATGCGAAGTGAAACCGATAGCATACATGAGTACCTTAAAAGTGTTTGATGTGTGGTGTAAATGTTAGGCGAAATCTGCATGAGAACTTGCACCTTTGGCATGGATCTAACGTTTGGCATGTTTTGTTTGGCTTTGTAAATTTGGCCTACAAGTTCAACATATTCGATGGATCGCGCTGCGCTTTTGGAAAGAGATCCATTCATTCACGGATACACCGTATGCTCTAACCCTCGTTGTGCTTAAATAGAGAATGAAAGCTTTCCATAAACATTATTAACATGCAAGTAGCTTAATAGGTTAAATTCTTGCGGTCGGAGGTTGTTTCATTTATTGCACTCACGTCTGGGCAAAGGAGCAACTCTCCATTCACTTTGTACAGGGATTTGCTTTTTTCCTCCATTTTTGCTGCAACATGATAAATACATGTATAACTGAAACCTTTTCGGTGTTGGAGATATTCATAGTGCATAAATAGTAAAACTTCAGGCACAGTTGATGTAAATGTTAAGAGTTTGAGTCAATAATTCAGATTTTCCCCATTGGCCTAGACGGCAACACAATTTTTGCCCCATTGAGTTTCGATTGTGAAATATGGAATAGCCACCAATTGACCAATTAGAAAGAAGAATCAAGGATCAGGGACATCATCTCAACTGCGAGAATACTTGTGACCTTTTAGGTGTCTTTAGACAGTTTATAAGATATAAATTCAGAAATAACATACAATTTCAAATATCTGTATCTCGTATACAATGTGGAACTGGAATTTGTAGGAAGGGGAGTGAACCAGAATTTCTCCCGACCCGGGGGGGGGCTGTCAGCACCCCCCTCCCCATTGTAACGGTGGATTTGAAATGATAATGATACTGTGCAAGGTCATTAGTAATAACAACCACCTCGTGCTTCAGTTTTCATCTTTAATGCAAATCTAATCCGACATGTACCACAGGTAAGATGAAAATATAAAATCAAGGTAAGTGTAAGGATCTTCAGTTTCACATGTACAAGTCTGAAATAGGGATTTCGTTTGGACATCGCCACGTTATTGTGTGGGTCGAATAAATTTTTTTGGCAAAAGCTTTACTGCGGATTCAAAGGTTTAAAGTCAAGGCCCATACATGTAGATTCCACAAATCACATACATGTATTTATTCTTCCTACAAGTACCCCTTTGGTATTAATCACGGTAAAAAATGACGGACACACAAATATTAGAAAAACAGCATATTTGGAATAACACTGCCACTGGGTCCATGAATTTACATGTACATGAAGCTAGTTTTGACAGTTGACAAAGTTAAGTCAGGACACAAGATGTAAAGCTGAGAAGCTAATACTTTTGTTATTCTTATTTGGTAGGCCTTTATTGAGGTATTATCCAAATTGGGAATTATTCAAGCAAATCTTAGTTGGGTCATTGTTCATTGGCCTTGTTGTGTATGGTTTGGCATAGAAAGACCCTGTATTATCAGCCCAACAGCCAGATTGTGGAAAAAAACTGCATTGAATTTCCAAAATGTTCTCATCTATCCCAGGCATCCTCGACCCAGGCATTATAATGCCGAGCGGAAGGCTGGAGCTCTCCAGGCTGAGCCTACAATGGACCACCCACTGAAACCAGTCACGGTAAGTAGCTAGGCCTACTGGTAAACCTCCCACTGTTGCGGTCAAGACTATCAGAAGTCATCCAGTCTCGAGCTAATCACAAGCTACTCAAATGGACTATGGCAAGGCACTTGTTTGTCACTTTTCTGCTGTCACTGAAGACGTTAGATCCGCAGAAAGTTATACACTTTTGTGGACTGGTTTTGAGCAATTGATTGATTGTTAAGACCGGAAAAATTCTCTTTTCTTTTTGTGTGTCAGTCCTCTGTGCAAGGCAAGCCTATAGAATCTGTTTAGCTAAGAGAAAAAAAGACTTTCCGATTTTTTTTTAAAGATAATATAAAATGGAGAATATTATTTCTATTTTAGTTTTTAAGATGGCAGCCAGCCTCTATTTAATCTTTTTCTTACTGTCAGTGTTGTCACTCTACAAAGACACAAATGCAAGGATTTCAATGGAGAATTGAACAAATCTGAAATGGTTTCTAATAAATTATTCAGTTTGTAGCTGGGTTTTACAAGAACTTATAACCACAACCATTTCTATTTGGCACCTCAAACTAAATCCACATTGCCTCCAAATAGGAAGCAAATGGAATGCTAAATCTATTTTTTGACTTTGGCTAAACAGACACTTGTAATTTACTTTTCGCCATATTCAGGTTTCTGAGGTGAAGAAGCTTGGTCGCAGCAGCTCCACATTGGCCAAGCAGCAGGCAGCCAAGGCCACGCCCAAGGCCCTGCCCAGCCCCGCCCTGGACCCCCTGGCTGACTCCATGGATGGTTTGGATCCCCTTTCACAGTTTGCTGCAGCGGCGGCTGCTGTCAAGGTCGTCGACCCCTTGTCTCAAGGTGGGGCACAAGGCATTGGAACAGATGCTGTAAGTAGACAGAAATAAATTTCATACAAGCGTAGCAGATTGGCTTTATTCATGAGATGATCAGTGTGGATCAAACTCCCCAAATCTACTTTACTTCACTGAACACTCTGAAATGCAAAGGCGCCCGACTATTTTGTCATTAATACAGGTTAAACCCTCACTTTAAAAACAAAATTTTCATGTGGACAAAACACATATTGTATTTTGTTTATGATTCACCCTGTTCATTATTTTTAGTATTTCAATCCATGAAATTGCCAGGAACAGGTGTAGCTCTTGCCGGGCGAGTGGGGAGCTAGGGGCCAAAGAGATTGCAAAGCGCACAAAATGTTCATGTGGGCAAAAAAGGTGAAATTGTTCCCAAACCTACTAAATGTGTAGAAATTTTGGCGGCATTTGCCTCTATTGTAATTCATGATGGCTGACTCAGGAATTAGGCCAAGAGAAGGAAGTTTGTCTTGAGATCATTTTGACTGTTTTGGGTTGTGTTTTTTGTATCTTACATTTTTCATATTTTGTTGATGAGTCACCCTATTAATGTGAATTGATGTGTTCCAAGTTTTTTTTGTATTTCAATCTATGAAATCACCACGAATGGGCGAAGCTCTTGCCATGGGAGGGGGGAGTGGGGGCCAGAAGAGTTGACAAAGCACACGATACACAGACTGGCAAGCCATGAGCAGCGGAAGGGAGGTCAGCTCCGAGGCATTTTCTTGGAAACTGACTGCATTCTTCCCCTTTCCAATTTTGTTCTTTCTTTTGGCTCTCTTATCCCATCACCTCCTTCAATTGTCATTGTCATTCTCTATGAAAGAGGAAATGCACCACACATCAACATCTCCACTGGCTCTACAGTGGCAGGCTGGCCAGTTTGCATCTGACCACACATTTTTGTCAAGATTTACAAACTGAAGATCTGAAAGCTTTCGGTTCTGATGTTTGTTTTTTTTCCCCTTTGGGAGCATTATGTATTTTGGATCACTTCTTATTTTCCTGTTTTTCAGACGGATGCTGGTGGATTTAAGAAGAACCAACTGGATGACTCCTTTGAGCCCTGGTCCAGCAAGAAAGCTACCATCCTCAGCAAGTACACCACCTCCGAGAAGCTCTCCATCACCACGGTAACCTCAGCCAAAGATTTCCCTCCTTCCAAAATATCAAGAATATCCCAACTGTTCTCCCCAAAGGTCATCTCGAATTTCAACCAAACAAATGACACCCAGAAAGAGTTTGTTTCCAGATGTGGTTGGAATTCAGTCAGCCTGAGCTGACCCACACACCAAAGCTTGCTCAATTTGAAGAATTTTTTCCATGTGACATTTCTTAATTTACCTCGCATTTATTGGTCTTTATTTCACAGAGCTTCCTCTCCACTGCAGGTCGAGAGAAAGGTAAAAGTGTTTTATTTCCTGTATTTGTACGTCATGCTAGATCAGATCACCACCGAGCAATTCATAAACAGTACATCTAGTTATATATGTCTAATGAAACCCAACAGGAAACTCTAAAATGAGACATTAATAACTTTGGATTTATATAGAATGTATACGTACCTGTTGAGTTTTCAACTCAAGTGTAATAGTTCAGCAACTTTCCTAACACAGTACTCAACCCCTGGTCAGATATGGGATCTTTTATGCCATATGGTACAAGCACAGTCCTTGAGGATAATGTACAATGCTCTATAAATGTCTGCTTACATAAGCCACTAAGTGTATAATTTCCACGTTAACCACAGGTACTTCAGAGAAAAAAAGGCTCTTCTGTCTGCTTGAGACGTATACATCGTCATCACGTCTGGTTAATGTGTACAAAGCATGTACTCATTTCACTGGTGTACACCCCGAAAACTGACCCTGTGTTTCCACAAATGATAACCACAAATTGCAGGGAACAGACATGATCTCTAAGCACCACTAAGCCCTCAGAAGTAAAAATGCAGAATACTGTTACTAATGTGAAATTGTCTCATGGATAACACCATTTTTTGTGCTCATTCCGTGGAAAAATTAGTCACACATGTACATGTGTCAAACAAGCATGTGCATATTGTGTGCCTGTCACTCTTAAGATTAGCAAACTGCAGTTCTTGAACTATTATAAATCCCATCACTTACCAATGAGAAAACCTTAAGGCAAGTGGTTTGCGGTGCCACCATGTAGCTTGAAAGGTCTGACGGACAGAGCACACTGTCTGAAACTTAAAGAGATCTTTCAAGCTTCATGGTGTCACCGCAAACCACTTGCAAACCTTCGCATCTTATTTAAGATATTTTTAGGCCATGCGTAGGATTTCTAAACAAACCTATTCTATTTCCGGTAGCAACTGTCAAGTCCCAACCAGCAGCACAGAGCACTGTCACAGACAAAGTGAAGAACCGACTAGAGCAAATTGATGATTTTGAAGAGGTGAGGCAGTGGAACTATTCGTATTTTGAGTTCAAAGTGGCAGCGTTTGGTCTAATCAATCCATTTGTAGGAGAAGCAATGCGTTGTCTGTCTTCATTAATTTAATTAATGGGCCAGGCTTTGTAGAATATGCCCATTTAATTACATCCTTTTCATTCAAATATTTAGAATTGAAACAGTTATTTAAAAATATCCATTTTTGTTCCTGTCAGATATGAGAGATTTGTGTTTACTCAATTCTCAATTGGTCTTGAGTGCTCTCTGCTGTGCATACCATTGATTAGGCCGCTAAACACTTTTTGCGGTACTGCATGGACTGTGTGTTATGATGTGGCATAAGATTTAACCCTGTCTATTTCAGGGCTCCGTGAAAGAGATGTTGAACTTGAGTCAACAGGATTATGTTCATCGGATTAACGAGTTGAATCAAGCCCTCATCAGTGCTTGGGACCAGGACCAGAAAGTGAAGGCACTCAAGATAGCCATACAGGTTAGTGATGACGTGTGGTGAATCGGACGCAACGGCTGTACGGGGATGCAGGACCCTGTTGCATTTTGCCGTCAACAGCGCTCTTTAGCCTAAACTACCAATTCTGAGATAATGGCAGCCAGTCCCATTGCGCACTGCCAACATGTTGGATCCTATGGTAGCTGGCTGGCTTGGACCTTGTGGTTGTTTAGCCCTGAGATAGCTGATGTACTGCACCCTGGTGCAGCAATTAGGCCCCTCATTCGTGCAGGGTCTGTAACCAAGACACTCTCTAGGTAGTTAGGGTTAAAAAGTCGATTATGCATGCAGCAACGTGTGATCACGATCAAACAGCAAAGTTGCTGGTGAAAGACATGCAAGTAGGTGATAGAGTTAGGCTCAATAAGCCAGTTCAGCTTAACACTTTCGGTGCCCATGAATATTCAGTAATGTTACCCAAGAGTGCCCTATGTTTTGGGCTTTTTGAAATTCTTCGCTTTCACTATCCATACTAAAATCAGAAGAATGATTGGTTTCTCCGTTCCCCTGATCATTATTTTTCTTCATCACCTTCTGACTCATAATCTTGGTCTGATGGTTTATCATTTGAACCCAAAAAGTAATCCTTTCGCTGTCCGAATCAGCAAAATACTCACAAACTTCTTCTGCAGAAAACCCCGCACGTTTACTGGAGGCTGCCATCTTCACTACGACGTGCGCCCTGTTTGGAACCAAAAGAAGTCAATGAAAAAAAGTCATACATGAAAGAAAATCCACACAGACATCGACTGATACGCCCTCTTGTGACTTTTGACTCTACATAAAGTTATGAACAGGAAAAATTGAGAAACTTGAGATTGTACATGTACGGCGTTGGCATTGAAAGTATTAATGTCTTTGATCTTTACTTCATCTTGGTTGACCCTTTAGAGTCATCAAAATCTGAACTCAACTTGACTGTTAAAATTTAAACTCAAAAATGAGCATTTTTCAAACTTAAAAATTGTGCAATTTATCAGTTGATGTATCTTATATTGTTCTCTTGTTAAAGTTTAAATCATTTAGTTGAATTTTCAATTTCTAACAGTGTTCCAAGCTGTTGGCAGACACATCTGTAATACAGTTCTACCCAAGCAAGTTTGTTCTGATCACCGATATCCTGGACACATTTGGTAAGAACTACTTCCAGTTGATAATCCATCTTTTCTTCGTCTCATTCCAGTAATCAAGAACATCTCTTTTTACTTTTGCAGAAACAAGTATTTTAAACGATAACATTGTCATGGATACCACGGTTCTTGTTATCATTTTTACCTGAGCCATTCTTATCACTTATGTTATCACAGTTTAGTGCATTTTCTTTATTATTTTCACTGCACCGTACTCACCATACTCACTGTACTCACCGTACTCACCGTACTCACAGTACTCACCATACTTACCGTACTCACCATACTCATCATACTCACCATATTCACCATACTCACTGTACTCACCGTACTCACCGTACTCACCGTACTTACCGTACTCACCATACTCATCATACTCACCGTACTCACCATACTCACCATACTCACCACAGTCTCCACCACAGTTGTTTTGCTTTTGCTGCAGGCATTTTTGTTATCTTCATTTTCATCATCACCACAACGATCATCCCTCAACGCCATCACTGTTATTGGCACAGTGACTGCCGTCGCCACTACATTGACAGTCTTCACCATCTCTGCCATCATCCTTACAACATTCACCCCATCATGCAATCACCACCACAATTAATGCTGTCATTGTTATCATCGTCATAGTCACCACCATCTCCTGCATCAGTGTACCAGTTACACCACCGTCACCTCTACCACCACCACAGTCATCACAGTCATCATGCAACCCTAACCGGTGACCTCGTATTGTCTTAACCATTTCCTCTATCCAACATCAATTGTATTTATATTCCATTCTTTTCAGGGAGGCTTGTCTACGACCGCATCCGCCGCAAGTCTACCTACATCCCCTCCGGTGGCACCACCCCCCAGATGCTCCCAGAGGACTTTGAGCCTCACCAGGTCCCTGACTCGGCCAAGGAAACCTGCCGTAACTGGTTCTTCAAGATCGCTTCCATCAGAGAGCTCATCCCAAGACTGTATCCTTGGCTGTTTGTGAAAAATAAAACTGACAGTTTCAAAACTGTTCTTTATCCCCCTGCAATGCATTTATAAGTCAAGTTGTACTTTCAGAGACCAGTTCTAGTGATCAAGAACACAAGCCATCACTGAGATGGCAAGGCATTCACGCACAGGTTACAGGTACTTTTGTCATGACTCTTCAACCATTCGGGTTTTGACAGCGTCTCAAACTGAAAACCTTCAACATGCATATGAATATTGTACCACCACATTAACCACTTCCTGCTGGGGCAGTTATCAATGTTGATGATGCTGGGCTTTCTGTTTTCAAAATTCTTTAAAAATTCCTATCTTCATTTTCTGGACACTTACAAACACGTGAAGGACTGCCTGGTGGCCCCTCTAGCCTGACAGACAAAATCTATTGTCGCCTGGGTTTTCAGCCAGGCCTGCAGCCTTGTAAAAGAGTCCAGATGGTGCGGTGTTATACAAGTGTCGTTTGTTCACAATCCTGGCTCAGTGCACTGCTGACCTCTTTTCATACTGCTGCCAGTGTATCCACTGAGAGAGATTTTTTTTTTTGGGTAGTGGGGAGAGACTGTGAATTAACCTTAACTGGTTCCCTACAGCTATGTTGAGGCTGCAATCATGGGTTGTTACAGCTTTTTAACAACCGGGTAAGCGGAATTTAGTTTATCTGCCCGCCTTTGGAGATTTTTTTCTTTTTGGGCATTGTTTGTTTTGTTTTGTTTATTTATTTATTTATTTATTTATTTATTTATTTATTTGACAATCTCCACGGGTACCATAAAATTAAAAACAGACAATAATACAATATAGCAGGATACAAAATACATGTATATCCGAGGGATTGTCAAGGATAACCCAAAAAAGCTGGAAACAGGGTATTTCCATTGTGGTCCTCTACATGAAAAGACATGAACATCCATATGCATATATATATAATTAAAACTAAACAGACTCATACAAGGCGTTATATCAGAAAAGAAATTAAAATTTGTCAATAAGAAAGAGCAATTTAAAATTAGATTACATATGAAATTGAAACCCAGAAAGTTATCAAACACATGTATATCACAGAAATGAGACAAACAAACCAGACAACGTTCGACCAAGTCAGAAGTCTTAGGTGTCCGTCATGGTGTATCTTGTCCAATGTAAGCAGAATAGAATGAAATTAATCCTGCTGGTTAAAACCACTTGCAAGAAAGACCATTAACCTATGAGACTGTAAATTGACTTTTCAAAAGGGTTTCATGTTATTTCAATCTATCAAAATTCATCTTTCTTGGTTTTTCCCAAACATAACTCCCTGGTGTGTGATCGGATTCAAATTAATGAAGTTGTTGGCAAGCAAAACTGATCAGTTTTGATTCAGTTGTCTCGTTTTTATTTTCAGCGAGTATGAGCAAGCATTGCTACGACTAACAAATCAAATGAGAGGCATAGGAGATCCCCTGGTGGCCATCTATGCAAGGGCATACCTGTGTCGGGTAAGAAAACTTTCCCCAAAGCTTAAGGAAAAAATTAACTCGGGGACTCTGAAAAGTAAATTTCCTTTCAAATTCTTGATTTTGTTGCATGTTGAGTTATTACCCTATTCACAGCATTGGGTGTACGAATAAGATCCGCACAGAGGCCATAAAGTTTTAGCTCAGTTTCCGTCACTGTTTCCTCTAACGTGATGATGCTGTATATATAGGTGAACCCAGCGTTTTGCATTTGTACTCATTTTAATCTCATAATCTGTGTTTGTCTTTCCCTACCATCACACGTACGCATTTCAAATTCTCAACAAAACTAATTTCAAAATGCGTATTAATAGTTGAATGAGAGGGTTTTAAAGTAACTTTTGTATAATGCAGCACTGATCATAAAATTAGAATTGCATGAATAATTATGATTGGTGATTAATGAGTTGCTTCCACATTCTGTCAGAAGTTGTCTGATTCATTAATGTCCAGTGTGATTACAATCTTGACAGGTTGGCATGGCTGTAGCTCCTAACGTTCGCACTCACCTGATCAACAACTTCTACGATTTCCTGTCTTCGTACTCTCAGGTACATAGCTGTCCAGTATTTGCTTGTTTAATGACATACCCGGGAACTCATTTTTGTCAGGAGCACAACGGGAACACGGCAAATTTTCAGAGGGAAGTATCGTGTTCTCAAAAGGAGTGTTCCGGGCCGAATCGGAATGTTCCATCTTCTGATGAGGCATTCCTTTAGCAAGTTACAAGCAATACTCTGCCCAAGTGGCTGCAAATTTTTTCCTTTGATTACATAATATATGATGACAATAATATTATATATGTCATGCGTTCCATTCCTGGCGAACTCGCCATGTGCTTCACACCATTTCGTCCCAGCTCACTAGGATCGGGAACAGTCCTCAAAACCATCTCATCTCTCTAGGGAGGATGCAACCATGGGTGAACTATTTTAAGCAGTACAACGTCAATCCATCACAAATGACCGTCTCAGCCCTCACAGGTAGCTACTTCTGCTCCCTGAGTGTCAAGAGACGAGTGAGGGTGTCAAGTGACATGCCCTAGGTTACAGCTTGTGCCCCATTGCACCTTACATTTCAGAGGTATTCTTTATTTTGTTGTAGCTCCACAGTGACAGCGTTCAGAACGTCCTAGCCATCCAACGTGTGGAGATGGCCGACTACTTGTCTCTCTACTCGCCAGCACTGGATTGGATATTGCAATGCATTGCACATCAGGCCACGGAGGTAAACCTCGAATAAAACACCTCAGTTTGTCCTGCCGGATTTCAATCTCATGGCTTTCCAAATTATGTTTCTTGTACGCAAAATGAGATCAGATCCCCTTTGAATCACTCTGCCACTTGATTTCTTTCCACTTGCTTTTTTGACCAGGAGATCTTGACTGAGATTCTTGGCAAATGCAAGAAGCAGTGCAACAAGTAAGTGAACAAGAACATAGAATTTTTCTTCAGAGCACTGACCGTTTTTTCTTATAAACATGTAGCAACCTTTTTTTATCTATGTTAAGCCACTGAATGTAACAAGACTTCAGACTTTGGACTTGTAAGAAAGGTGTTGTGCTGTTAGCCCAAAACATTGACCTTTGGTGCCACTTTTGGTATTGGCCAGTATGGGCGATCCCCACATTTCTCTCGAATGTTTTTTTGTCAGTTGAAAATTTGTCACCCACAATATGCTCTTTATCTAGATATTCAAAATTTAATTTTGACACTAGTGCCCTGTTGTTGAACTCCATCATGTCTGCCTTCAAGCCGGAGTTTATTGCCAGCAGGGCCCTCGGATTCACTGATCTTATCAAGGAATGTGAAGAAGCTGGATTTCCCAAGGTACCAACACTTGCTAAGTGTTCTTGTTTCAAATACTCAAAGCACAAACCCTGATGAATGTTTTGCCACAAAACTTACATTAAGATCAAAACTGAGTTAATTGGTTTTCTGAAGCAAGTTGGTTTGCCCTGTCACCTAGTTATCTATGTTGGTGAGTAGAAACCAAGCATTTTGCAAGCTTAGAGGCTGAATTTTTGGGGTTTTATTGATAAATCTCTGTACCTTGAAGGTAGCATTGTCTGACTTTCCTTCTGTTCAGTGAAAAAAGGTCTGATGTTTGGTTGTTAAAGGGCAAATAAAGAGTGGGTATTGCAGATATTTACCAGGAATAAAGTGAGAAATTACTTACTGGTGGTTGGACCAGTTTTTGAAAGTTTTGATGTAGCTGTTGTGGTGATAGTCTAGGCAGGCCTGTAATTACAGTTATATGATTAAAAAACACATTAACCAATAAAGTATAAAAATCCTCAAAAGTCTTTCACCATAGCCAGTACAAAATTCCACTTGACACAGTATTGCATTTTTGTTGGTGATAATACTGTTCCACCTTCAACATTTGTATTTTGTCAATTTTTATGGCATTTACAGCACCACCTGTATCGATCTCTGGGTACCAACTTGGCGCTGAGCGATCCACCCCAGCAGCAGAGATTGACAGTGCTGAATGAAGTCTGGAAGACTGTCATGAAGCTACGCAATCCAGAGGTAGGTAACTAGACTGGTTGAGTCTTACCTTTGAGCGGGGTTGAACTACCAGGGTTAAATCTAACCACTGTTGGAACCATTGATGTATTGTACCTGAGTACATTCAATTGTTGGCACTGATATTTTGTCGGGTCTGTATTTTATCAGACATCTGACTCCATTGACAATTTGAACCAGCTTTACATTGTCAGGTACTTACTATTTTAGTTGTGGGTTCAATGCAAGGGGAGTTTAGTGCAGTGCATTTACCTAGATTTGTATTACAAGGGTTTTCATTTTAACAGCAGTATGTTACCAGAGCTCCATTCATTAATCATATTTTGCCATGTTTTCAAGTGACATCAGTGAGTTACAACTTTAAGTTGGCGACACCCTAGGTGATATCAGAAGTTTAATATTTCCTGGTTTTAACAATCATTAATAAGATGGGGGCCGGTGTAGGGTCCTGAATCAGCAGGGTACAATTTAATTAGAGGACTTTGTTTAGTGTGTAAAATCTGATGACAATATGTTGTTGTGGTTATAATAGTGATACACGGGTAGAAATGGATTTTTTCAAAATAATCTCATTTGCAATTGAGTCCACTCTGAGCAGAGATTTTGAAGTTATTTTAAGAATTTCTCTTTCTCTTTTGTTCCTTGTTTCAGGACTACATCGGTTGTGCCGAGATCTGGATTGAGTATCCGTGCAGACACTTCACTGTAAGTTGCCAACTATCTGTCCGTTTATTGAGTCTTTCAACTTTGGATTTTAGTACCGAATTGTAATAATTACATGATATTTGAGAGAAGAAAACATTTGACATAAAATCTGTCAGATATGAAAGTGAAAGGTTTGCCTCAAGTTTGCAGTGTGACTGAACAGGGTTGCAAAGTTCCAAATGTATCTGGTGCACAAGGGCAAGTGGGAACCAGTTTAAAACTGGTTTCCATTTTCCCCATTTAATAAATTATTCATTAAAATAAGTGGAGTAAAATTTTGCTGAGCAAAACTATCTGGCTTGGCAAAATGTGTTCTATGAAATTGGCCTCAACGGTGGGCATTGTTAAATCGACTGATATTACAATATTTCAATTTCTTATGCAAACTCTCTTGGGTAAAAAATGTTCTTGTTCTTTTGTAGAAAAAGGAAGTGAACACCATCTTGGGTGACATCATCAAGCACATGACCCCTGACCGTGCATTTGAGTCGTTCTATCCTCAGGTATGGAAATCAAGTCTAGTCCTTATAGCCAACATTTCAAATTTTGTCGTATTACAATTTCCAGTTTGTTTTATGTGCCGGTACAATTTGCCTAATTATCGATCAGGCCGTCTCAGAATTTTTCAGAGCACATGAAAAGGAAATTGTCATTCTTTTTGAAATTCCTTCTTACCCTTAAATTTTGGTCACTGCTATTGACTGAAATTTTAACAGCTTTTAGCATTTCCATTTAGACCATTTTAATTCATGTAAATCTTACACCTGGATTTTTGTGCGTACTAAGAAATGGTCGCACAGAAAAAGGAGATAAATTGCAGAATTTAAGTACAGTAAAACAGGGGTTAAAACTTCAATTAAAATTCAATTGGACCCTTCCCCCAAACTGAACTATATCAGTAAACAAAAGTTGGTTTCATTTATCCTCATGAATATTCATTCATGGTTTGTATTTGTTGGTTTGATTTCAGTTACAGTCAGTGATGTCCAAAGTCTTGGCCCATATCAAGGATTTCTCTGCATTGCTGTCAATGGTAAGTTGACTTTCCTTCTGACCTTTTCTCTCTCTGGTTGGAAATGAAATTTTACAGCATGCATAGCTTGTGAAGATCAGGTCATGAATAAGGGCCCTAAAAATTAGAAAACTACCTAAAATGCGATAGAACTACTCACTTGAGCACTTGAGAGTAGGTTAGAGCCCTGCTGTTGTAAACTTTCTGACTGAAATTGACATCTTGCATATATTGGCCAGTGTGAGACACAATATTTATAGAAAGCAAGGGATTTTTAGCTCAAGTCGGAGAGTGTCGGAAATTATCTTTATGAGATTGTTGCATTATTTGAGAATTGCCCGACCATTAGTATTCTTCCGAAATGTTGTGTACCAGAACCTGTAGTAAACTGTTGACTTTGCATCATGCATCGAGCATTACTCAATTGGAGTATGGGTCACTGGGTAACTACATATGGTTTAGCAGATGTTGTAAGTGCCTCACAGCATCATTCAGGTCCCAAAGCTTTCTGGACTTGACTTTAATCGACATGTTGTGGTCGGTTCAAAGTTTAGGAAAGCAGTTACTTATCTGCTTTGAAGAGTAAGGTGGTAGCTTTGTAACCAAGGAATTGGAATTAAATTTCTCTCAAGTTGTTGTTTCTTTTCCTCTGTGCCCAGGACAAGTTCATGCCAATGGTGGATATGTTCCAGAAGGACGTGGTAAAGGTGGAGCTTTGCCGGTCCATCATAGAGGCATTCTGCCGTAACCAAGAGAAAGTGACAAATGATCCAGTCATCATCAACGCTCTCATGTTTGTCTGCAAGACCATGCACGACTCCCTCAAGTAAGTGCAGAGCTCTTGTGGGTCATGTGACTCTTTTTTTTCTGAAAGTCTTATAAAAGTCTTCTAAGCGGTTTTTAGCAACTATCAGGCTTTTTTTCCGTCGTATTGCAATGAGGCTCTTCAAGCCAGCATCTGCATCGCCTGTCACTTGCACCAAATGACTAAATGAGAATATTTCTGCCTGAATTGGATGCTGGTCCACCATCGGGAGGGTGGGTGGAGAAGTGTGAAAAAACAAAAATGAAAGAAAGTTATCCACACTACGGCAGAGTTCTATGATTAAATAAAGGACCGTCGTTCAAACATTCCTGTGGGTCATGTGCCCATCTTCAACAGACAGCAGTGTACATTCTTTGAAAGGTTATTTGTGTTATTTGAAATGTTCATTGAGGTTTCTGAACAAGACTTGAACAGAAAAACCAGACTGCATTCCTCTGTTTTACAATATCTTTCTCATCCTTGTTGATTGTATTTCATTTCTCCCATCAGTGCCCTGTCTTTGGAAGACGATGTCCGAGAAATTGGCCGACTGATTGCCGGCTTCGTCAGAAAAGTAAGAATTTGTTTTTGTTTGAGAATATATCGAGCCAGTGTTTAAACTAGGAAAATAAATGAAAATTGCCAAATAATGGATGTTGGAGACAGCGTCAAGGAAACGTGAAGGAACAATAGGTCTTTCTCATTTGACGCCGTCTTTGTAGGAAACTCAGAGCTGCTTTTTCAGCTCCATCAAGTGCCTTTGTGCACAGTTTGTGCAAATGTTCCATACACGCATGCATGTTGATCCAAATATCGTCAAAGCACAGCGTAAATGAAACGTGTCACGAAAAATACAAAACTTGTGCACGCGGCAGCCTGTAGGAAGTGATGTCATTTGAAACAGACTTATTGAGAATTTGTTTCATGATGTTTTTTCTCGACAGATTTCATTCGGCCGAGATTTTGAGCAACAATTGAGCTTCTACGTCGAGGCTCGTGCCAACTTCAGCAATATTGACAGTGTGCTGGTCGCATTGGTACAGGTAAGATTGCACCAGACTCTCCACGCATAGGAACTGAATAGCAAGCACAGCTCCGGAGGAAAAGGGCATATGGTCTAACATTATCTTCATGCACCTTCCTCCTGAAAAAACTTGCTTATGGCTTGATGAGAGACAACATACGGGGGCCTGGACACAAGCATTTTAAATTCTGAAGGTGTCAGGGTTGAGTCCTTCAGTCATTGTTTTAATTGTCCAACCAACAACTGAAGAACTGTGCAGTACAAGAACAGCTCTTAGCAGAGGAAAAACCATGTGCTCGCCTCATGCAAGGTGCCAAAATGCCACAAGATTGGTAATTTTCAATATTCAGATGGCAGCTTCCACCGTTTTCCTCCTGCTTACTACAAGCAAATGACAATTGTTTCATGCAGATGCCTTGTACCTGAATTGTTAAACAAAACTGGCAGTTATTTGCATGGGGTAGAAAAATCTATTGCCCTGTTAGTTTAACGGGAAAGAAAAAGGTTACAGATTAACTGAAGTAGTGGATATGGATGAAGGCTTCCTAGGCCTGTCCCTGAAGAGAAATAGAGAAATTGGAAGGGAAATTCTGACAGTATTTCTTGTCTGTACTCTGTCTTTCATTTAGTGCGTAAATCAGTTGGCATCAGAAACAAGAACTGTCATGAAAGGAAACCACTCCAGGAAAACTGCTGCGTTTGTCAGAGTGAGTAGACCAATTCTTTCAAGTCTTCTTTACTATCAGTGCAAGTGGAATATATTTGAAAGTCTGGAGACCTGTAGACTTATTCATTAACCCTAACCCCCTAGGGTGTGTGGAAAATCATATTAAACTTGGAGGATTGAGGACTGTTAGGGTTAACCAGAATTACGCTAGTGGGGCCAGACTAGTGCATTTTAGTGACTCTTTGACCAATTTCATTTCTTTGAGAAATTAATGTCATTCCATAGGGACTCTTCTGAAACACACGTTGCATCGTATTCAAATTGAAGATGGTGCTGTGGGATTACTTACAACAGTTCTATTGTTTTATGCTCACCTCGCTCAGCCACGCATTTGCATGAATTGCACAAATGATTTTCAGTTGAATGCGTACAGAGTCTTTGTCATAAGCTTTCTTTTTCGATGTGTAAAGCATACTTTTGGAAGACGTTTAGGCTTCAGTCCAAATGGGTCATCATCTGCAGTGATGCTATTTTCGTTGTCACCTGTTGGACATATTCTCGTTCTTGTGATTTCCCCGCAGGCTTGCGCAGCGTATTGCTTCATTACCATCCCTTCCATCGTCGACATCTTCCATCGGCTGAACCTCTACCTCCTGTCTGGTCAGGTTGCCATGCTCAACCTGGCCCTGACACAAGGTGAGGGACAATTTCTCTCCTATTGGCCTGATGTAAGAATCACTTAGGGCGCTCTGATCTTGTGAACGGTGTACAGGGCATGCAGCTGATTGCCTGCTGAACGAATTTAGTCAAATGAAACTAATCACAGAAGTTTTAGAGCATAACATGACGAGAAACAGGTAAGGGAGTTTTGGTTTGTGATTGAATTTTTGAATAGGGGATCTGAGGTTTGAATCCAGTTGCTCTTTTTGTGTTGTGTCCTTAAGCAAGCCATTTTACCTTGACTTGCTTCGCACCACAAGGGGGTGTAAATTGGTTCCAACGTTAGCCAGGTGGTAATCCACTGAGTTATGAAATCCCATCCCAAAGGGAAATAGAATATATTCCAAACTGTTTTGTGCCAAAGACACAGATAACAGACACAGACAAATAAAAAGACTCTACCCTTTCGTTTTATCATCAAAATGTTGGTGTGTCATCTTTGAGATTTGGGTTCAAATCATACCTGGACTGCCATTTGAACCAGGTTTGCACTGCACACCCATTTTGTTTTTTTTCAGGGTTTTTGGGTCAATTGTGAATCATTTCTCAGGGTTTCCCCAGGTATGAATGCTAGGGGTACCGTGGTTGTATAGAGGGTTTTCACATGGCATAACATCACAGGTAAAGGATTTCAGGAAGCGTACCGTGGAGGCGTGAGCATTTTGGAATCTGTATGTTTCTGTTGGTAATTTCATGTACGCCAGAATATTGAAAGACTTCAAAGGTACACGCCTTGCACATCTTTGGAAATTGAATGCTGATCATCAAAAATCATGTGACTGAAAATCCTTCGTAAATACAAGGAAATGTTAGGGCAATATTACAAAATGGGTTATTGTATTCGAAATTGTTAACCAGTGGTTGTCAAGGGGGACCTCTTGAGTAAAAAAAAAAGTATACTCCTCTAACATTTTGTTTGTTGACAGCCGATGCTTTCTTCAAGGGCGCCATCAGTCTCATACCGGACGTTCCCAAGACCATGGTCATCGACAGCAAGTCTCGTTCCACAGAGCCATTCCTCCTGAATTACATCAATAACTTCCTGTCCACTCTGCTTGTTGTTCCCGTGAGTAGCAAATATCATCAAGTCTAATGAGGTTTTCCTCTGAGGTTTTCGTCTCTCCGTCTGCTGAACATATTTTGACAAGTTGTGTTTATTCAGATGCAGTTTTGTGTTAACAATCCATTCTCAACATTTTCTTTCATTTAAAACATTTTAGATAAAATCAGAGTATAATTATTCTAAATAATTCAGCATATTTTTTAAAAAAAGGAAACCTAGATTGATTTCTTCATTTCTTGGACATGGCTAAATATTTTGGAAATTGGCAGCCATCGTTTATTAATTGCTGATGTCCGCTTTCTTATGACATCAAGAAATCCAATTTTCTGTCACAGATGACTGAGCACGAAGCAGTTCAATCAGCCGTGTCAGAACTGGTCTTACATCAGATTCACCGCAGTCTAACTCCGACAGTTTTCTTACCTAAAAAAAAAAGAAGGAAATCCAGTGTGTCCTTAGCAAAATATTTGTTTAGTGATTTTAACATTTGGGTGCTTATGCCTGTCTGGACCTAACCCCCTTGTCCTTCGACATGTCCCCCATTCGTTTTAACACAAGATTCAGCTCTGGTTCTCATCGCTCCCAATGCATTCCTGATAACATCTCTCTGTCTTCTTAAGGTCGCCACAGCAGCAACGATTCTGGCACGTGGATCATTAATATCTTGGGGTAGCGACTTGTAAACTTGGTTCTTAAGATGCCCCCACAAAAAGAAATCACAGGGGAGGAGGTCAGGGGCCTTGGGGGCCACTCAATCTCATGGTTGATCACAATTACTCTTGTGTTAACCAATTCCTGCCAGGGATTCCAGATCCGGGCATGTATGCTTTGTATGCGTGGCCGGGGTCTCCAAACTCGGACAAAAGGAACAAGGCCTTGTAACAAAAGACCGTAATCGCTGGGAATTACTGACGTTTTTTCACTCTCAAAAGTGGAGATAATCCAGCCTTGTTTTGAAACAATATACCAGGGTTTGGGGAATTAAGAGCGAGGGGATTACCACCGTGGTTAAACATCTTTCATAGTCTTTCCCTCACAATGATCTGACGAGGAGCTAGAGCTCCATCCTTGACCCACCCTAAGCGGCGAAACATTCCACCCTGGTGTTCAAAGTGTGACTGTAACTGCGGTACAATTTTGTCGTTGATAATCTCAAGGTAAAGTTCACCATTGAGATTGTCATCACAGAAACAGAGTCCAACGATAATGCCATCTCCACACTGACCTATCCAAAGAGAAATCTTCTCTCAGTTCATTTTCACATCAAAACTGAAGTTGGGTGGGGTATGCTTCGGAGCGTATTCACAGACATTCTTATTTACTTGGCCATTCATGAAAACACTGCTCCATCCCCAATCACAAGGTGCTCCCAGAATCTGGGATGGCTGTCCAGTAACCACTGTCAAAATCTTGGTCGTCTGGGTAGATCTGAATCAAGGAGGCCATGTCGCCACTCTGTTACCACAAACACACGCTGCCTAGTTGTAAGCTGCATTTTGCTGGTCTGAGAAATGAACAACCTTTCCAACTTCTAAGGAGTGTGCGATGAAATAACATGCTGAGGATTGCATAAATTGGAGGCGCAACAAAACCCTGCATTGGGCAGACAAAGTTCTTTACCAAAACATCTATCTGGTGCAAGACCAGTTCTGCCATGGTTGATTGAACTGCTTCGTGCTCATCAATGACAGTAAATTGGATGTCTTGGTATCATAAGAAAGAGGACATCATTAGTTAATAAAGGGTGGTTGCCAATTTCCAAAGTATTTAACCATGTCCAAGATATTAACAAATTAATCTTGGTTTCCTGTTTTTAAACAACACACTGTATAAAAGTATCACATAGTATCACGTGTACATTGAAGGATTATTTCTTTCCTCAGTTTAATGTTCAGAACAAAACACTTCTGTTTATTTGCTTCTTAACTTTTGCAGCAATAAATAAAAGTTAATCATTCCAACAATTGATTTTATCAAGCTTCATCCATATCAAAATGAAACCAATATTTTTAGAATGCTATATGTAGAGTGTAGTGTGTTGTGAGTTCTGAGTTTTTGTTCCAAAAATGTAGTTTTTTTTCATCATACACTTCAGGAACAAACCCATAAAGTGGAATTTTTCAACAGAGAGAGACGATATGCCCATTTCAATCTTGAAAGGTTTGTTGTGTCATCAAACATGAGTACTGACTCCAAGTATGAAACGTCTGTCATTTCAGGACAACCCCGAGCACGGAGTGCTGTATTTGGTTCGTGGTCTGCTTAATGTGGTACAGGATTACGTGTGGGATACCGGCAACGACACCAAGGCGTTGGTGTTCTTGAATGTCCTAAGCCTGCTGTCGGCAAGTTGTCAAGACCAGTACATATACCATGTCAAGAACGGTGAGGGATGGCTTGCCATTATGTTGCCGTATTTGTTTTGTTTGAATCCCGAATTTGCTTTTGATTAAGGCTTTTACCACCTACTGAGCTTGTGAATTTTTGTGCAAGCCCTGTTTATATATTTCTCATATTCAACCATAAACGCTAATAAATTGGGTGAGATCAAAACAGTATTTTAAAGTATTAATTAAAAAACTCAAGTATTCACAAACTTGCAATTCAAAAACAAACGCTTCAAGCTTCAAACATATTAAAGTTAGCAACTTCAAAATACACAGTTATCAATTGGAAGCTCGGGACAGTTGTCCTCAGACATACTGATTACGCAATATTGATAGATGTTGGTAGACGCTTAAAATAAACATTTTTATTTCTGTTTTCAATGCCATTATGTCTGTTAATTTGTGGTATTGTTGCTGCTGTGATGAACGCTGCCTATGTCACAGTTGCTGCCGTGATATGTTGTATTTCCACTGCCACTGCTGATGTTGTGTGCCCAGTCGCTGCTGCAGTTGTCGATGCTTAATGGCATGGCCCTTAATGGAAGTGCTGTTGTTTGCATCCTGTTTCCACTGTTGTTGCTACAACCATCACTGGTATCGTGCTGTGTGTGTTATCACTGTTGCAATCGATGCTTCTTGTATTGCCGCTGTGCTAATTTCGTTACTGCTGCTGTAATGCTATTGCTGTTTTCCCTTCCACACACATATATATTGTTCTTATCTGCTGCTCCATCTAAGCTTTTCCTGCTGTTGGCTCTGTTGAGGCAGTTTCTGTCTCCGCTGCTTGAGTTGTCACAGGTATTAACTGGTGCACAGGTATTAACTGGTGCACATCATTCATTGAAGCAGTGTCTTTTCCTCTGTTGCTGCAATTTCCGGACCTTCTGTTGTTAAGTTGTTTCTGTTTTGCTGCTTTTCTTAAAACATGCCAGTGCTGCTGGTCTTGTCTTTAAATTCAACCTGTCACTCAAAGAAGGAGTCCTTTTTTTTTAGGAACCTCTCTAATAACTGCCTTCTCTTTTTAATCAAGTTTCTCGTTTCTCGACTTTCAGTTGACTCCAATGACGTCTTATACGGAAGTGATAAGAAGTTCTTAGCCGAGGTGTCTGGCCTGTGCGGCACACTCATCACATCTATTCTGGAACACTGCAAATCCCTGGCGCAGTCCGAGGTAGGTGTTGGTTGTGGGGTGTAAAGTGTCACACTTTCAGACTCCAGCTTTAGCTCCCTTTCATCAAATCTCAGCGATGTCTGTCATGTGGATCTCTTCTTTCGACCAGGATTCTTTGGTTGCCCTCGGGAGAGAAGAAACGACGAGTTTGCACTCACCGCTTCTGCGCCGAACTGCCACTCTTATAGAAGAGGTCCATTCCACTCGGTGTGCCTGCAAACATTCCCTCAGTCTAACCTCCACCGTGCAAAGTTTCAAATCTTATGTATCTTCAGTTTAAGCTTTCTATATTCAGGAGACCAGAGCCAAAGATTGCATCGAAGCTGCTGACAGAACTAACATTTTGAAATACCTGTTTGATTGATACCCACGTAATTTGTTCTGGTTATTGGTTCTGAGGCTTCTTACACATTGTTCCTTCTTGTTTGTCTAGAATGGACAGAAGAGGCAATCCCATCTGGCTATGGACTTCTTCAATCGCATCTTGGTTCATGGCGACATCGCGCAGCAAGAGATAGCCTCCCTGGCTCTCAATCTGTGGAATCTGGCTCAGAAACATGGCCATGCCGACACCAAGCAGATGGTGGGTGCTGGGTGAGGGGTGGGTGGGTGCAGGGTGGGTGAGTTTGGATGGGGCTGAGTTGGGTTGAATTGGGGTAGGATGGTATTGATTGGTCCGTTGGGTGGGTACACGGGCGTTGCTAGAGGAGGTGATGTCGGTGGGTGTCACCCCATCCCCCATTGGTTAGTTTTGTTGGCAAAATTAAGGTCTGTTGGCAAAATAAAAAACAAAGAACAGAGCAAGTTGAAAGGAAGGAGGATACAGTACACTGCGTGACAGTCCGTCGGCAAATTTCATGTGGTGCCCCCCCATTCAAAATGGTCTAGCAACACCCGTAGATGGGTGGGGTTGAAAATTGGAAAGGAAGTATTTTAGTGTGAGTAAAGTATGTTTATTTTGTTGAGTTGGGTTGGGGAAGGATGTGTAGTGTATTTGAGTGAGCTGGTTGGGGGCTAGGTTGGATGGAGTGGGAAGGGGTTTGTGTGACCATGCTTAGATTGACTTTGAGCTGGGTTGAAGTGGGTTTGGTTGGGGTGTATTGTGTTTGGTGGGTCGGGTCATATTGTGGTTCAGATGTGTTTGAGATGGCTACAGATGAGTCAAGCAGAGAAGGAAGGGGTCAAATTTGGTTAGGCAGTGACGGGGTGGGTTAGCACGTCCTTTAGGAATTTTTGCTAAGCTAGGTTAGTTCTGATTGGCATAGCTTTAAGCTGGGCAAGCAGTGGTGTAACTAGCGTGAAATGTCTGGAAGGGGGGATCCAGGGGTGCGATTTTGTTTCTCAGAAGCCCACTGAGAGCAGATATCAGCTGCAGTTTGTATGCAGAATTTGAGAATTCAAAGGTATCAGGGACGGATTGGCGCATCCCCCCCCAACATCCCTTTGTTGCTACACTGCTGTGATTTGAGCTTGTAAGTAAGTATACTAATGGATAAAGGGACTCCTAAAAGTGGACAGATTCGGAGGATATTGTTTATTTTGTTTCCTATTGATTACGTATGTCAGTGTGCATTTGAGATCTTATTCATGCAGTTGGAGACAAGGTTTAGGAATGGAATTGAACTTGTTTATCTAGCCTGTTCACATGCAAGAAAGAAAATTTGAAATGTTGCACAGCTTAAAATCTCTTGTGTTTTCCTCCAAGGTGCGGATGCTAGAGTATGTGAAATGCAAAGGTAATCAGGCTGGAGGGAAAGCCTACAGAGATCTCGCTGCATCCATGCCACTTCAGTCCAGGACATAAAAAGTCAGGCTGGAAAGAGAGTCTACAGTTATATTTTTAATTATGTGATAAGTAGAATTTGTACATCTCACAACTCAAAAAAAAAATCAAGCTTGTGACAGAGACTCATTGAGGTTTTGTTCATACATCAACGAGGAATGACTGTTTCTTTGTGTTGTTATTTTTTTATTTCATTTATCCAAAATGGATGGATAAAATATTGACAATAAGAACAGTGAATAGTATAGAACATTAGACACCAAATCTATAAGGACAATAACATACTAATCAAACGGTAACAGGAATCAGGCTTTAAAAAGTCATATTTTGTATGTTTAGCAGGCACAGTGTGTAGAAAGAATCACTTTGTATAATACTCAATTTATTTCACCCCCCAAAAAAAAACTTTGTGGCTGGACTGTAAGGTATAAGCCAGGCAGTTCCAGGCGGGACAGTTTAGGGAGGGTCAGTGATTTGACACTCATTACTCTGCCTCGGTGTTGTTCATGTAGTCATCCAGTCTGAAACCAAGTCACTGACCTGTGACTGGTCTTGTGAAATGACTCTTGACTGGTTTTCTTCAGGTGGGCATTGTGAAAAGGCTTGTGATGGCTCCAACTACAACGCTGCAAAGGCCTCTGTGCAGAAATGGTCTGAGGCAATGGCACGGCATCTTCAGTCCTAAGACAAGATGCATGCGTGCACTCTGGCTTAGCAAGCATGGTTCTGAAGTGCACACAACTGTATTTTCGTTTGAATGAGCACAGATTCAAAGTCTCTCTGCAGGGCTCATAGCTCATTGGTGGTGTCCAGGCATCCGTTATTTCTCCTGGTGTCTTGTTGGAGGAGTTACACCCATAAGTACCCCCAGCAATTAATTGAGATGGCACAGTGACCATGTGGCGAAGGTGCACGTACAGTGAATGACCCATTGACCGATTGGCTGTTTCAAACATGTTTTGTGCATGTCCTCAGATCTAAGAATGCCTCACCTGTTTGCATGATAACCATCTCAGTGTTTGCTTCTAGTTGTGGTTTCCGAAGTATTCTTTAAAATCGCCTGAATGTTAGCGTCCAGTAAAGTCCATTGAGCTTTGGCAACCCAAAGAACTCTTTCTTGAAATGAGGGATTTTATGTTTTAAGACCAGATTTAGCCATATGCTTTGAAAATTGCACTCTTAACTCTCACATCTTCTACTCTGAGCTTTTAAAAGCTTTCGGAGCTGTCTGGCATGTTATTCAAGCGTGTCTCGTATTCTCCAGTGGATTTAATTTCAAAGGGTGTACCACTTCGCCCGCAGTCGCTCAACATGTTGCCAGTTAAGTCGCTTGTGATCTTCTTAAGACTTACAGGTTGAGATGATAGATCTCCATCTTCATTTGAGAACATCACGGAATCTTATGGGAAATGTATAGTTCTCTGAAACAGCGAAGATAATTTATCCAAATGTAATCTTGTAATCTGAAAAAAGTGTATACATTGGTTTTGTATTTAATCCTTTGAGCTGAAGCATGTCTCCATAAAGTGGAGTATAAGCACAAGAAATGTGAAAATCGTTTACATTAGGGATAATTCTCTAAATGTCAAAGATTTAAGTTGATCGGATTCAGTTTCAGACCATTTGGGGGAGGCGAATCAAACCTGTTTATTAAAGACTGGATGAAGTGATGCTCTTTCACGTGTGTCCCAAGAGACAGATTGTGGATGATTTGCCAAGCTGCCCCCTTCCTCTCCTGTTTAGCCACGCCCAGTGAGGAGGTGCTGTGCGTGAGAAGAATCTTCCAGGACTGGGATGGAGATTCACCGAAACGATTGAGAGATACCAATTTCTCTGTATGGAATCCAGCCGCAACATCAATAAGTGGAAAGACAAAGTCTTCGATGTTATTTTCCCATCTGACACATGTATGAACAATAAGAATTGGAATTGTTTTACTAGTTCATATTACCATTATTTATGCAGGAATTGAAATCTTTATGCCAAACCTTTTTTTTTTGTCTTAAGGATTATTCTGAAGTTGTATTGCAGAGTAATTCATTTGATTTAGTTGTTTATTTCTGCAATATTGCATTCCAGAACGGCAACATCTGACAAAGAACCTTCCTCAACCGTATTTTATTATTAAAGCATTTTGAAGATCTCCTATGGACACGTGCTTTTAATTTGTGGCTGTTTTAGGACAGTGTGTAAAGTAGCTGAAAAATATTGAAGAATTTGGCACCTTTAGAGAATTCTGGAAAATTGGCTCCAGGCCCCGTGAAACTCCGACATGATGCGGAGAAAAATGTAAACGTGTGGAGACAAGTTGAAGAATGACAGCAGATTGTGCCAGGATAGAAAAGGAAACAGTTTTTTGCATGGAAAAAAGTAAGCCGCGTCCTCTGATGCACTTTTGTAGTAACTGATCGCACCGTTGTCAGAAGTTATTTGGGGGTGCTGATCCTCTTCCGCTGAAATGCGAGCGGTCCATGTTCTTGTCATAGCCCTTCAAATTTGAATAAATAGAATACGAGATCTGGAGATGTATAGTTTACTCGTAAACAGAACATTGACGCATCCCATGCGTCAGGTTCGTGACTGGAAATTTTGTGATATTATGAATATGTACCACCACACTCTTGTCTCCTAGATGATGTGGTAAATAAGATTGCTGTATTTCTGATAGATGAAGATCTTCCAGATGCATCCGAATCCTCTTCACGTTGCACGCATGCACCGCAGCGGAGGACGAGCACTCCACCGTTCGTGACGGGCAGAAAAATCGGGGAAATTGACCGGAACCTCTCGAGTTGTTCCGATCGTCAAGAGCTGGGCCGCATTCCAAACCAGCTGCGTTGCATCCCAACATTCATCTGGTCTCCTCGCGTCTGGTTTTGTTTTCTCCGGCTTGACGCGACAAATGCTCGCCTGGTAACCGTTCGGCTTTTTGTGAGTGCAAGGGTTGTTCTAAAACCAATTTCCTTGGGGGGGGGCCCTTCGCGCGTGACGTCACCTTTAAACAATCGCCACTGCTCTTTCATATTTTCATTTTTGCGGGGGGGGTAGCTCGAAGTCTGCTTCCGAATCAGACATACACAAATATCGTAAGTTACACTCAACTTTATATTTGTTCAGTTATAGGTAATTCCGGAAATAAGGGGTCCAAAAGTGTAACATTTTGGTGTCCCTGTTACATCTGACCTTTGTTATTTGACATGGAAATATCACCAGAATTGATTCCAAACTAACACTATTTGTTTGGCAGGTAATTTGCATTAATTTATCACTCTTGGAAATTAGAAAAAGTGTTCTGAGCTTACAAAATCATGTGTCAGATGTGACAGGGACACGAACAAAAATAGACCCTTAATTTCTTGAATTACCCTTATAATTATGACGACAAATGCGCAGCTACAAAGCAAAGAATTTACGGACTACACCGCTGACAGGTGACCTCTGTTTTTGTCGACTTCGGTATCTGGAAGGTGGTGACTCCCTTGCTAAAGGGGAGAATAAACATCTGTGCGAGACGTAAATGCAACAAAAATAACCCATAATTGCAAGGAAATCCATGTGGATAATAACAAAAAATAGTGTTCGTATTTTCATTTTTCGAGAGTAAATAATTCGGCATATGTCAGTTTCAGATCCACTGATTTGACAACTGACTGGAACCGTGATTTTTTTTTCTCATAATTAATCCTCTTCGAAGACGAACAGAGCATGCTGTTCGGAACGTCGAGTGTTCACCATCGGTTCCTCTCAGAACCACGCACTCATAAAAGAAATTGTTCCTTGTACATGGTGCAATCGCAAGCCTAGCCTAATATAGTTCATCCTGTAACAAACACGACTTTAATACTATGTAGCCCTATAATCGAAATACATTGACAATTCACTCTTTGACAGAACGGAAAATGGTAGTGCTGTATACGTACTTTGCCAGATATCGCTTACTCTTCGATGAAAAATTGTCCTCCACGGAACCAGAACAACATTGACGGGGTGGCCAAACATGTCGAACAATCTAGTATCTTCTGGTATTTGCATTATTAAGTTCGGAGGCGACCAACTACATGTACATAATCCAGTGACAGGTGTGGGAGTGCAGCTCGATTCGCAACTTCACTTTTTTGCGACCATTGTGGTGAATTCCTTCCCGAGTTTCATAACTGAGTTTGTATTGTTTCTTACAACCATACAAGAGTTAGTTTTCTCTGCAAACCGTTTGCCGATCGTGGGATAATTACTTTATTAGATGGTCTTAGAACTCTGGACATTGATGGGCTACAATTTAAAGGTTGGAAACAATCTTCGATTTCTTTTCCACTTTGTTCAATTGGACTGTCGCATTCTGGCACTTGAAATACATTGGGTGATTGAAAAAGACTTTTGAAGCATGGCTCAATTTTTGAATGCGACTACAAATGACGCGAGAAGTGTGATGAAATTGAAACATTTCCCAGGGATGTAGATGGTCACATTGTCAGTTACATTTACATGTAGCCTACACGGTTTGCGTGCGAGGTGAAGTGGGGCATCCGTGTTATATGAATAAAATCGATCTAGAAAAATCCTAGTGTACAGAATAGAGATTGCGTTGGAATGGTCTTAAATGTATATGACGTGAAGTGAAATGGTGTTTTACATGAATGAAATTTATCTACTAAACGCCAAATTGTCGCAAAATGTTTAATTTTGTTCAAACGAATAAGATCACACGATTTTGGGTGGCACACCCTGAGAGCCGTTTTTTAAACGTTGGCCTATGTACTACCCTTGCCTGGTATTACGTAATCAGCGGGCTTTTCGATGAGTCACTAGAAAAGCCATCCTTGAATAATTATGGGAAACAGACCAAAAACATCAGCACAAGGTAATTTTGTTTTCAAGTTGAATTAGAACTCATTGAGCAACCCTCTCCTTATTATGTCAGGAATGTATCATCGGGCTCTTTATAGGAGCACATGTGACATGTAATCCATTCAAGCTTCCTGACACAGAAAACTAATCGCAAATAACGTTTGTCCCTGGTTTGTCGGAGATGGATGCTTTAGGGAGGATCCGCCATGGACCTAAATATAAAACTTGCATTAATTTTCATTTCTTTTACTTTCTTTCTACGTTAATAATTAATAACAACAACAACAACAATTACTGCGAGGTCCCTATACGTTGTCCCGGATTGTAGAGTTCGAATAGATATGTTTTGAGCCGGGTTTTTAATTGATCAATTGATTCTGCATATTTGACGGCATCTGACAAATTGTTCCATGACTGAGCAGCAGCTGCCTGATTGAAAAGACCAGGATCCGTAATATTTAGTTTTAACAGGAAGTATAACAGTGAAATATCTATGGGTGTAAAGCAGGTTTCTAACTGCTGTTTAAGGTACCCTTAAACTAAGCTTTGAAGGAATACGAGGGCTAAATTGTGGATACATTGGTAAGTAGAAACCAAAATTTTAAAAACAATTCCAGCCTGTATTGTTCGCCAGTGCAAGTCATGAAGAATAGGTGTAATGGACTGTCTTGTGCGAGTTTTAGAGACAAGTCTACAGCGGCAAAGTTTTGTGAGCATTGCAATCAACGCAATTTGACTATCAGGAAGCCCAAATAGTAAGCTGTTGCAATAGTCTAAACGAGACGTAATTGCACCGTGGGTTCAAAAGCAATCGCAACAAAATTTATTGTTTGCTACAGAAAAGGAGATCTAATATAGGAGTAATATGGGGGTCACTGATTCCCCCCACTCCTCGCTGCTAGTTGAACCACGCGTATTCTATGCTCTCCATCGCTTTTCTTCAAATATGAATGATTGATTTTAACAAGAAATCCGACAATGTACGTTAAAATATACAGTACAAGCAAGGCCCAGTGTACTCTGTGCATTATATTTGTGATGACAAACAAGATTTTCACGGATCGAATGTTTAAACCAATCCTTCGAAGTATGGCTCAATTTTCGAGTGCGACAACCCGCAACGCAAGAAGTGTTGATTAAAATACCCTTGCCTAGCCTAGGCATGGCCTTTGGAAAAGACTATTACGTAAATCATGAAACGCAGACGAAATACTGGTCCACACTAAGCGTCTCACAAATTGATTTTCTTTTTCAAATTAGAACTAGGACAACCCGCTCCTAACTATGTAAGTTCAAGTATCGTTCGGCCTGGTGGGAACACACGCCATCATAAATTGAAGTAGTCCATTTCGGCCTGATTGTGTACAAGAAACATGTAAAGACCGATGAATTCGATAAAAATAGATATTACAGGAAAGTATGTCATCACGGACCTTTAAGAATTAAAACTGACATCATTTTGTTTTCTCGATGCTTTATTGGAATCAATGACAATAATGTCATGTCGACGCCACCACACCACTATCCAACAACTTGCCTCATGAGGTTCTTTGATGTTTTTGAGGACTGTATTCATGAATATGTCATTTTATTTGCCACCGTGAGCTATGCCAGGATTTTCCAGGGGGGCACTCGTCAGCAGCGAACTGACTAATCAATAAAGATGGAAGGGGATTAATTCTGAGGTATTTCAAGCAAAATTTCATTTCCACTCTTTTTTTCGTGTTTTTTGTTTTGTTTTGTTTGTTCGTTTTTGTTGTTTTTTTGGGGGGGAGGTTGTTTTTTTGGGTTATTGGTTCGTTTTTATTTGTTTGTTTGTTTGTTTGTTTTTTGGGGTGTTTGTTTGTTTGTTTGTTTGTTTGTTTGTTTGTTTTTGGGGGGTTTGTTTGTTCATTTGTTTTATATCTTTTCCTCTTTTTAATCCTTTTTACCCCGTGGAAAGCAAAGGTGTTGTGCCCAATTCGATTGTCACCACAGACTACATGGTATCTTCATTTCTTTCTTGGATGGTTAAAACCCGTTGTTCCTTGTTTGACTTGATTCTGAGTCAGAAAATAATGGTGAATTTCGCCGGAAAGCCTCCAACATTATCACAAATAAATTTGCAAAGTAATAAAACGCAAAGATAATCAATTGTACAATTTATTTCATTGACCGTCAACAGACCCATCCAGTAGGCCTAGGTGATCAGTGAAAACAAAGCTACCACAATGGTACGTTGGAACGAGATAGTGTGTCAGGTAGTCCATTTTCACGAATGATTTCACTGACACTGGGCCATAAACCAGTTAGTGGTTACAGCTGCGGGTCCCAGGTGTAAGCAAATGAGTGCATATATCGAATTTTGTTGGGTTGACCTTTTCTAAGGTCACTGTTTGCATGACGTCCATACGCAGAGTAATGCTGCAGCTGTAGGCCTATACGTTTGCATTGCTGCGTGCTGCAGACGGCCCGTCTCATAAATTATGACAATGTAGCGTGGCTGCTGCTACTGTCGATGATGCGGTCGATTGGCGCTGCTCTTCGTGCAGTACACCTCTGCATCCAACATGGCGGCCCAGCATGTCATCAAGTGCATACACACCGCATCCTTGCTGCCTTGTCTATCCGTGTGTTTCGGCTTGTTCTGGTCTCTCGCCCTGGTCTCGACATCGTCGGAGGAAATCACCAAAATCAAGGTGCCCAATACGGAGCTGGTGGTCTCCGAGACAGAGAAGCCCTATTGCACCTTCTTCAACAACCGCAAGCCGGAGTTTCAGCCGAATCTTAAGAACTGCACCTGGTACCAGGACAACTGCTGTTGCCGCCAGGTCGAAATCGAGGTGGCTTTCGGCAAAGTCAAACCCCTAAAAGGGGCCACACTACCCTGCCAGAGGTACATCAATTACCTGATCTGCTACATCTGTGCGCCGACCCAGTACGAGTTCTACCTCCGGCAGAGGCTCACGGTGTGTGAGGAGTTCTGCGATCTTATCTTCGACCGTTGTAAAGACGCTATACTCAAGGGCTCCAAAATCGGGGAGCTGTACAAGAACGGGACGAATTTCTGCCGCAGTCGGCGCTTTGAAGTCGCGCCGTACTCCTCGGGAAAGTGCTTCTACTTCAACGAGACCATGGATACATCCTCCACCGGGGCTTTCGTGGCATCGTCAGCTGCATCTGTCCTCCTCTGGGTTGGCATGATGGTTGTCAAGGTACTGACAAAAGTATGAGATGCACGCCCGTGGGATTTCTTCACACCGACACTTGGAAAAGTAAGAGTTGAATAAACTTTTCAGAGAAAAAAAACTTGGGAGAAGACCCTGAATGGCAACTCATTCGTGTGGTTTTTTTTTGGGGGGGGTTGTTTTTTTTAAATAATCTTAACGGATAAATCAGAGCCATGCTAAAGTTAACTCTTCCCTTTACACAGGATTGAGACAATCTTGATTACGAAAGCATGTGATTTTTTTAGGAGAGAGCAGAGTGTCGTGGGAAACAATGAGCCTCAAGCTGGACCAAGAGAGGTCGCAATTTTTTTAGCAACGGGGGTTCCTTTGGTCGGAACTGAACTTAGCTGGTTCACAAACAGCTGTTAAATGCACGTGTCACGGTCACATCACTACCAACAAAATAAAGACTTCTGACCAACAGGACTCTTTACAACCCATGGAGGGTGCTTCTGCTCGAGGTGGATACCACAGAGGGGGAGGCAGTGCACACCAGTAAGCTACCGATAAGTGTTTGGCTGGCTCTGACATTGTAACAAGATCGTGACTTGCGTAACCGAGGAAATAACGATTCCAATCCGAAGCAATAATGAGAAAATCCCTTTTATCAAGGAGAGTCGACGCTCATGTAAAAGCTACTCACCACTTGAGTGCGGCTTAAAACAAAAGAGTGAGCAGCAAATGAAGTTGAGCCATGCACGATAATTTTTCTTAAATCCTCAAAATGACCGAATGTCGCAACACTTCCAACTTTAACCAAATCCTTTTGTACAAGGAATCACAGAGCTGAATTTCAGAGCCCCAAAACTATTGTGATAACAGCTGCGCCCAAAAGAAGAAATTCAATGCAGTTTGTATTTCCTACGAAGTGAATTTCACTCCACTTAGGCCTATCTTTAGGTTCATTTCTGTATGAAAAGTGAGTTTAGCCATTCCTAGTCTCTGAAATAATTATATGTAATTTGAGGGATAACAATTAGCTCGTAATCACTTAGGGACTAGATCACCAAACCGCAGTCCATGCACCAGCAGTTGAGTTCATCATAGCTTAAGGTATATGAGGTAACAGTTCATTTCTGGTATGTGCATTCGAAGGCTTCTCACCTGTTCAGTCTAGCACACAGCCTCTCTCTTTCTACACATCACTGGCGAAACATTCCTTGAAGAAATTAGACTCGATTTTTATGCAAATAAAAGTGTATACATTTTTACTAAGGACTTGAAATGTAGCATATAGTATGGATATTGCAGAGCATTTTTTTTCCCACGTAGAGTAAAATTGAAATAAGAACGTCAACTTTGCAATCAGTACTTTCCGTGCATGAGGTGGTCCGCAGAAAGCTAGTAAAATGCACGAACAACGCATAAAGTGATATCATAAGCTGCAATGATTAAGCAACACGATGACATACGTGTTTGACTGTTCATTCAACATTCTGTAAGAAGGAATAGTTAATTTCAGAGTATCTTTGAGTGTCTTTTTACTATACTGGTAGTCGTTAAGCGAGATGTTTAGGCGGTTGCATCAAGCACCGCGTCGTAATAATTGATGTTTGAAAATGGTATTGCCTTCGCTTCCGTTGTTACAAACACGCATCACATCAACACAGATGGTGTATATTTCATTCCTTTATGATGTTGGTGTTTTGGAGAGGTTTGTCAAAGAGACCAAAATAATTACACTTCAGTTTTTGCCCAAGAGTATATTTAAAACGCAGGATTTGATCAGATTCCCTCATAAATTGTTGAAAAGGCGACAAAACACATTCATAATACCGCATTCATCCTGCAGAGCCTCAAGTAGGCTACATCAGACATCATATGAAGCTCAGTAAAGTGGCTCAGTAAAAAGCTCAGTGAAGTAGAATTGCTGACACAGCATAGAAAGAACTCGTTGGTATGGAAGCATCGGCTCTAAAGAGAGCTGCTCATGAGAGACCTCTACGGCCACTTTTGCTTTTCATTAACGCCGACAAGGAAGAATTGTTATTAAAAAGGTGTATAATGATGATGTCAATAACGAAAGTGAATCATTATCGGCAGTAGATAGAAATCCACATCTGTGGATCTTCCTATTGCACAACGCTTGTTTAGTTGATTAAAATTTAATCCTGTTGCGGCATTTAAGCTTACGAAGGGATCATTTCGGCGGGGCTACTTTCAATTTTGAGTGTTTGGCCATGTAATGAAACTAGTGACATATCCCTGGGAACCCTCACCCTGTTTAAAGCGCTATAATGGTAGAACGGTACTACCATCTTTCTTGGGGAAGGGAGTGATCTCTTACTCAGTTTTAGACAAGTTTTCAGCTAGCTGCTTGAACCCAAGGCCTAGATATACGCAATGACTATACATGTATATTAATTTTGTTTTACGTTGGGATTGCCAAAACAATAAACAGGATGGGCTTTGACATGAGCTCATCATCACGTGCTCATGAGGTGAATGGATAAAAATGCTTCTCCGAGATTGTACATTGTGTTACAGGGTAAATATTTTGTCACTTTATAGCATATCGTAACGTGTAATGGAAATGGTTTTTGAAATAAACAAACGGACAATTCGGTATTGGTTGTTAAATTTAGACCGACAATTCCTGGTTGGGTTTTGAAGTTTGGACGAGTTGTCTGAGTCTTGAGTTTGAGGACCGAGGGTTCAACGTCTGCCCAGTGCATGCGCACACAAAGCATTGGCATGATCCCCTTGAGTATCCATGGAGTATTTGAATAAAAAATCACTTCCCCCGTGTACACACTTAACTCCTGGCCCCTTTAACAACTTTCCAATTATCCCAGGCTTTTCGATGGCTTTGGTTTGTTGTCATTCCCGTGAACGGCACGAGAAATATGCACTTGGCTCCCAAACCCTACAGCGGGATTATTCAAAGCCATTAAAAACACGGGAAGGAAACGTCAAACAGCAACACATCTGACATGGAGTTAATTGAAACGAATTGATAGACAGATTTCGAATGAATAAAAAGCAAGGCCATTACGGTTGAACTTGACCTTCGTGTAACGTATTAAGCTTAATTGGATTAATTCCCATGAGGGGTTGTGTAATATGCAGTCAGACACATCTCCAAGTTATCTAAGGGGTGACTTTGGGTAGGCCAGAGTAATATTGGCATCAAGTTATAAAATTGAGAGCAGTTCCAGAAAATTTTCATCTGCTTCCTAAGAATTCGGGCGTAGCCAGCACTTAAAACAATTTCTCAGTAAAACCCTGTAAACCGTACTATCGAAAAGAACGGATATACGTAATACTGAATATTGCCGACACGTTGAGCCTTAATTGAATATACATGTATTTAGTTTTACTTGTGGTAACTTCGGCCAACACCAGTGGCTATACTAAGGATTAAAAATGGATTTGGAGTAAGCTCCGACTTGCAACCCCGTGCCCCCACATCCTCACCCCACCAATCTGGAGAACAGTACAGCAAACCCCAGTGCATGGCGCCAGAATAAGTCTAACAATTAGTGGAAGACAGTTACGTTCATCATGAGCTGATCCTTAGAAAATCTGGCAGATAGTATGTCAACTTTGAGTCCCGCTTGAAGTCGGCTCGAGACTGATGTAAACTTGAAGAAAGATATATATCTACCCATACGTCTAAATGCACCAATACAGTTGACATTCTCAGATCAGATTATCAACTACGAATCCCAACCTCAAAATTCGACTTAGCAATTCGGCTAGCGTCCAGTAGCGCACTATTTTCAGTGAACCGAATATACATCCGAAGAATCGAACCTTAGCTTTCGGAAATAGAAGCACGAAACCGCCACTTATCTTGCAGGCACGTTCATTTCTAAGCCCAATTAATTAAGGCATGCATCCCACTACGTATAGTACTTACGATGAAAACTGCGATAAAAGCTGCAGGAAAATTGGTCAAAACTAGATGATACCGTGTGATTGGACTGACGTGTGTATTGCTTGATTAGCTTCGATGTAAATCCATCTTAGCATCTGTCTATGTATACTGACGTTAGGTAACCAATCACAGTGGCCGAGGAAATCAAATGAGACAATGTACATGGAAAGGCTTTTAATTACGCTAATGACAGTCAGCTGATGCATCACTATTAAGACAGAGCATTTTAATGTCTGACTGCAGTCTCCACAACGAAAGGATGGGTCCTTTGACCTTTTGAAAACATTATTCCATGTTTCCTTACCCTAAGAGGCTGTCTTCAAAATGCAGTATCATCGTTTTAGTTTCAATTCGGAGATAACTCGGGAAATGAAGGTGTGGTTGCCAGCAGCGTGTCTGCTTATCTGCACTTGAACCAACTGTGTGAGTATAACCTAAAGGAAGTTTCCTCATTTTAAATTAAGATGAGGATTAAGGGGCTGCTGGAAAGGGGAATGTAACGGGCTAGAAAATTTGAAAGAAAGAAACATTCCCAATCGATAACATCTCACCGATGCCTCTCTTACCCTAATTTATCTACCTCAAAGAGACAAAAAGTCAGGCAGTCTACTGACGACAGACAGGGCATACTGTCCGAACCGTTGAGTACCCTCCGGTTCTTTTCGGAACCACACATACAAAGGAGATAGTCGCCATGGTGCTACCGCAACCCTAGTACTTAACTTGCCACCTTCACTGTGAAAAATCTTTCATGCGGGAAAAAAATTGCTTTGCATCTGGTTCATGCTGGGGATCGAACCCGGTTTCGAAGTGGTAGTTGGGTTGCATAATTTGGTTGCTGGATTGGGCTTCCATCCCCCTTTGGCCTTATTTTTCACTGTTCACGGATTGCCATCTGGAAACAAGAGAAGGGTTGCCTCCATAGTCTCATAGCTGCAAAGCAACAGTTCATTCACCCGCATCTGTCATTCCTTTTTGCCTGAGGTTAAAAATATTCGATGCTCTGTGGCAATTTCCCAAGTGCTGTTTTGACAATGAATATCAAAAGGAATAAATCATTCGGACATTTCTTGAAAGTCCAGCGATTTCCTTTTTTCAAACATTTGCCAGGAGATGCGAGGAAGGACAGAAAATAAGAACTAGATTCTTCGGATACTCGAACAACAAAGTAAACAAACAAGGAACCGCGATGGATGGTTGGGTAGAGAAACCTCTTAACTGCATCTCTTGACGCTTGATTTACAGAAGAAGTCACGAATTCAATGGTTATGCAAACTAGATCACGATTCTAAAGATCGGCCCTCGTTCACAAGGGATATGTTGGTAAAATGAATGAATTTGCCAAGAGGAAGCCCGTATCTTAGATTTAGGAGATCTATTTGTGCTTACTACACTCCACACTCTGTACATCATGCACTTCCTTGGAGTTCGGCAACCCCCCCCCGGGAGTGGCGATTTCGACTCTTATCCACGATAATCCCTATATTTGTGAGGTCACTGTTTTATAATTGTGAATTTGTGATTCTGACAAAAGCAAACATAAAACTGGCGCTTCGTAATTAAGCAAATTTGTAAAACAGTCCCAAAATAATTCAGCATAATACTCCTTCAATCGGCATTGTACAGTGCGTCCATGCTTTGTCATTTGCGTCAGTATTCGTTGTGTTTAGCTTAATCTCAGTGGCAATTAGCACAAATGCTAAACATGTTTATAGTATTGATGAAAAGTGTTGAGCTCTTGCACATTGACGCTCAGAAATTGGAACACGTAGTGTTTACCTTCTAATCTGTAGACACGGAGCTTTGGTAAAGATTTCGTCCCGCGAGAGTTACACAATGCGAACATTTGAGAATTTGCGTTAATGCAAAAGGAAGGGCTAGGTCGACTTGAGCAGTGAGAAGTCGGGGATCGCGCATGCGCGGGTGAATTGGAGTGATGCTGATACGCGATGGACAAAACGAGCAGCGATGATGCGGCTAAGACAGCACAGAAGATAACAGGACACAAAGGATGAAGCATCCCGCATCACTTTGCTCCTCCGCGTTTTCTGGATGCTACTCACCTTAGTTTACCGGATGCAACTTTCTTGAATTGGTTCCATCATGTAAGTTTGATTATTTTGTTTCAAAGCCATTTAATCCTGATCAAAATAAAATGGTTAGTTAAGTGATCATAAAGGCCGAAGCGAAATATCGTCCATCTTTTCTTCATTCAAACTTCTTCGCCTCTAATTTTGGTTTCGCATGAGAACTTACAACGTAAAAAGGCGCTGAGAGTTTAATTACGTCTAACCAATTTTTGTACCTTAAGATGTTTCACCCATGACATGTTTAGACATCCACATTAAAATACGTTTAGGAATGTATTAAATGTGAAGCAGATTTCACAAAGATAAACGTGTATCATGAAAAAACGTTTAGCATTTAAACACTTTCCGAAACTCAGTTTATTGCATAAAATATCTAAACACGTCGTAGACTCAACGTGTTTCAAATTCCGTTTTTATGGTGTAGTTGTAAAGACTTGTCAATTTTGCTTCGCAATACAGCTGCAGTGTTAATGTGATGTCCTTGGTATCCATTCCGATAAAAAGGGATCGGGTATTCTCCATATCAAATGCAAAATAAGACTGGACAGGTTTTTCACAGTTAAATCGATGAAGAACGAAACACTTCAATTTTTGCAGTTAAAGATGCATGAGCTTCCATTTTAGACCAGGCGGTAGCTGTCTGTACCCAACTCGTAAGTTGTACCTTTATTTGAATAAAGACTGAAGCCCGGCTTTCGTATAACGTGCGAAACCTAAGACAGATTTAGTCTGGTAGCCCTTTGCGTGCATAATTATTGTACATGGAAACGATACCGAGGTGGTAACATCACCTCTGCAATGTTTGCATTAGCTGGTGTTAATCTCACAGTAATCTCACTACACAGTTCTCGTTCACTGATATCCACCAAACTGCTTAGCATAGCTCTTCCTTGAGAGGGAAAGAAATTAAAATTTTAGGTAAATTGAAACGGGAGTTCAAAAAATCATTGCCAAAATATCAGTGTACAGATACAACTGTAAACTTCTGTTGGACATCAGATTCTGGACAGACAGTTCTGAAGGGAGGAAAAGAAACATTAAAAATGTTAAAAAACAATTAAAAATGTGTTTGTACCACTGACCTGTCCTGGTGTGTTCAAGGAACTAACAATGACACCCAAAGAATAAATAGACATTTCTGCTTTAATACGGGCGATTCACAATAGAGCGCCTACAGTACGCTTCGTACTGCCGAAATTGCATCGCAACTTGCGTTACTGCTATCTTGTAAAACAACCATTTAAGTAAATTTGTGCCAGAAATGGGGGATGCGGGTGGGGGATGGGGAATTGTGGGGATGACTTGCCCAGTCATGGAAATTTGAAAAGCGTGATGGAAGTGCTGACATCATATGACACTAAATTGGGGAGGGGGGGTCATAATACAGACCTATCTGTGATATGTATTACATTCCGGCAGAATCTTATATCGGGATGGCATATTTATGGCTTTTTGTATTGTTCTCCCTTTTGACTGCACTTTGATGGTTAGGAAATTCGAAAAATTCTTCACATTTTTTTCTCACCACGAAAAAGTGGGAGATGATTCGATAGATCGTCCTCCGGTCAAAATGTGGGTGTGTGTGTGTGGGGGTATATACCCTTTCCCCGGGATTAACGCTCAGATCTGACCTAAACCAGTAATTTTATCAGATAGTTTGCGTGAGTCTTGGATCCCACGTTTGGACGAATTCAACGACTTTTAGAGCTTTTTTAATTAAGGGAAAATGTGCCTCGGTCGTTATTATTTACGACACTCGCACAAGCACGTTGCATGCTATATACCATGCCTGCTATATAATATATACCATGCCGTTGCGACTTACATTTTCGATATACCAAGTTGCCCGTGTTTTGTGTTCTCTGAATGTACACATATAGAGTTTAACCAAGGGGGTCTGATTGACTTTTACTAGTTAAACTCCATCTGCCAGGCTAATTACGGTCACTTTACGGGCAGATCAATTTTCCGGATCCAGTGGTTGGCTTCGGCAGCCTGAGTGTTTTCACATCTGACCAGAGAAACATGAGCCGAGCGGTCGCGCAACACGACCTGTAAAACCACCTGTCTTGAGAGATCTAAACGATTTTTGTTTCACAGTGCCCAGGAAGATTGTGGAGGAATTGCTCCAAGCTCGGACCAAGGAGAAAGCTGTGGGACATTCAGCAGCTTCCTGAAGATTGAACAGAACAGACGCCAATGCAGGCCGGTTTGCTGAATTTAATGGCTTATGGTTGATGTAACCCCGGAGAGAGACAGTTTGAGTTAGTTCAGTTATACGCCTACAACTGCAGGCGGGCGGGGTACAATTGACTCTCTCTTGCGAAAGAGAAACTGGGCCTATATTCACCGCAAAAAGATGGTGGCAGCGTGGGACATTTTTCTCTGTGTGCTGTATAGTCTCATTGCTGTGGCCATCATCTCAGGCAATGTGTTCTGCCTGGCCATTCTCCGGGGAGTCAACAGCATCCAGAAGCCGACCAAGTTCATGATCGCCTCCTTGTCGGTGGCCGACCTCTGCTTCGGGGTCTTCGTGGTCGTACCGGTGATCGGGGCCCTGGCGGCGGGCGGCCTGCCGAGCAATCGCGCCAGCTTCTGCACGTTCTTCGCCTTCGCCAACATCTTCTTCCCTCGAGCTGGCATTGCCTGCATCTTGGTCATCAACTTGGATCGCTTCGTGGCCATCTCCCGGCCGCTTCACTACCACGATTTGGTGACCACGCGCCGGGCCTACCTAGCCCTGGGCACCGTTTGGCTCCTGTCCTTTACGCTCACCTGCCTCTTCGGGTTTCTCCCGGGGAGTTCCACGGTCTACCACGGCCAGTTCCACATGTGCTTCTTCGCTCGCGAGGCCGCACCCGGCGGAAGCAGCTCGTTCGTCGTGGCCATTGTTCTGATTGTGGTCAGCGTCGCCATCCCCATCGTGGTCAGCACAGCATTATACGTCTTCATCCTCAAGATTGCCCGAGGCCACGTCCAGCGAACCAGTTCGGCTTGTCGCAGCGTCGACTTGGCCATGCTGAGCGGCTCGCAGTCCCCGCAACAAACGCCCAACCCGGCCCCGAAGCCCAACACCAAGGCTGCCAATACCTTCTTCATTGTGACAGCCGGCTTCGTGGTAGCCTGGCTGCCATTCCTGGCCATTCTCTTGCACGAGGGTCTTAAGAATGACATCGTGCCCCGTTGGTTGGCTGACCTCTCTCAGGTAGCCGTCTTCACCAGCAGCTGCTGGAACTTCATTATCTTCTACGTCAGAAATACTGGGTTCCGTAAGAGGGCGCGCGAGCTACTCAGGCTGCGCGAATAAACGAAGGCTATAGAGGGATTTCACGTTAGCGCCGTCTGCGCATATCTGCATCGAAACCGAGGCTCTCTGTGTTGAACTTCCTCGCGTGCGCCCGCGGAGTCCACACAGTACATGGACTATCCAGTTCGTAAGTGTTACGCCACTTCAGTCTAAACCACGCCCACTGTACAAGATCAATTTGTCAATTGTCGCTATTTTTCTTTGGATTTTACGTGTCGAGTGTTCCTGAAAGACTCTTCCACAAACATTTTCAGCCGGAAAAGTCTGAATTTAACATACCTTTATGTATTAGGTGTCTTGACTCCTTACTTTCAAGCGTCTGACCGTATTAAAAATTGCAGCTGACACATACAGCCTCGTTTTCAAACGCGGAAGTGCGCAGATTGACGCTAAAAGCGTCGCATTGGGATCCCTCTATACCCCGAACTTCGGTTTGTCAATGGCTTCACAATCACCGCAGCCTTTCTCACTCAAAACAGCAAACTGCAAACCTCGTACCTGTGGACATACACGTTTACTCAATACTCATGGTCTCAAACATATCCGATGATCATGGAACTGGAGCGTGAAGCCGCTGTCCGGGATAAAGCCGAGGTTCGGTGCTATCACCATGGCGGTGCCTGAATTAGATACGGCTCTGAGATACGGCTGAAAACCCTAATTTGAGCTGGGTTTGGGGACCTGTCACAGCTGGTCGGTTTTCCCCTAAGAGCTCAGCTGTCACATGCCCGATCGGAAACTTAGCATGCATGTGAAGACATAAGTACAAAGCAAAGTTTCAATTTAATACATGTACAACAGTTTTGATATTTTGGCCAATTGAAGTCTATTGCCTCACGCGCGTGTTGGCTCTTGTGCAATAGCTGAGCACATTGATGGAAAAGTTTGAAGTTCTGGCTGACTCGACAAAAAATATTTGCGTTGCTCATATGTGACATACACGATTTTTTTTTATAAATTTCAAACGACCGCAAGATGTTACCAAAAAGTTTTATTTCTCAGCGCGTATTAGAGAAAATGTTGGACGGGCGGATTCTACTCCCTCTGGCTCTTTTCGGATTATATAATTAACTTTACAGTTACAGTGAAGTCGTGCTTGCTTGCTCATATTTCACATAACGGTGAATATATATTAGGCAAAAAGATTCACCAACGACAATGATTGGCTACATCGTGTTTAATTAACGGTAAGCAAAGGCCAAAAATGACCAGCTCATGCACGCATCCAGGATCAGATTTCCGAAAACAGTGAGAATAGCATGCAAAATAGACCTACACTTATTTACAAGGGAGATTGTGGGAAGGCAACACAAACCCTTAACACCCGATTTTCAGAGGTGGCCTTTCAGATTTCTACGGTTACCTGATAACTCAACGACGACGGAAAAAAGTCCGCTTTCTGAGTAACTTGAACGACTGTGTGGAAGCACTGACGTGCGAGGCAACAGCGAATTTCAGGGGTCACTTGTTATGAGGACGTGGCTATGGGTTAGCTTATCAGACCAGTTTGACGGCCCAGCTTTTGCTGAGGCGCTGCCCTATTCTCTCGCGTATCCCATTTCATTTGGTAATACCAAACCGACGTGTTTATCAGTGTAAGTCAGCCAATGGAAATCCTCAGAGCTCTTGATACAGCCCCAAGATTAATCAAGATTTGGGACCAATAACTGTGAATTAGTGAGAGATAAAAAGGCTGATGCGGGCGAGTGCAGGTTCGAGGAGGGGGGTTGGTACTTTACGCGGTCAGTGAACTGGGAACATCTCGTGCACTTTGGGTGCAAATTCAAAACTACTCTCCGTAGGTGTTCGACCCAGTAGCTACGAATGTTTGACACTAATTCTGAGAGAATAGAATTGTTGGCGGGTTGTAGCTTTTGTTTTAATTGCCGTTAATGGTGTCCCGTTGTGGCATTGTTTTGCTATTAATGGTTGATATAAAAGTAACTGTCGTATAGTTTGCATGTTGTTCGTACTTTGTTGATGACGATGTGGATGATGATTTTTAGATTAGTTACGATGATAATTGTATGTTGCTGTTGGCAATGATGGCTGCTTTCAGTGTTCGTCAGTCTTTTTAAGTATATTCACCACGGTTTTCATCAAGGGCGGATCCAGGCGGGCCTATTGGGCCTTCGTCCCGCCCCAAAAATTTGCCCCCCTAAAAATTAAAAACAAAACCAAACAATGAAACTATATTATACGACGATTTTTGGCTCCTTTTTATTTATCTTTCTTCCCAAACCGTGTAAACTCCCAGTAGCCCTATCCCCCAAAGGTCGTAAAAGGCTATATGAAAAAATTCCCCGAAATTCATAAGCCCCCCCCCAAAAAAAAGGTTCTGGATCTGCCCTTGATTTCCATTGTGCAAGTACAATTTCGCAATCCAGCGGTCACCAAATGTGTGTCACATCCCAAATTGTGCTCAGGTGGTCTAGTTTCTTAACTCTCTCTCCTATCGCTGATTAATAAGGCACCGGGCCACACCGAAGCAAATTTTGATAGTAACACACGGGCTTTTTGTGTTATGCAGTAACAATGTTTCGCCTGAATCATTAGCAGGTCGTTAGGGCCCTCCGAGCTGCCGACTAATTGGTGCGGGTCGTAATACTATTTACTCATTTAACCGTTTGAATTTTGAACCAGTTCAGCTGGCCCGTTTTGATGGCCGCAAATTGGGATTATGAAACTTTTAAACAGACAACAGGATAGCCGGCCTATGGATTGATGACACATCGCTTTGTCATTCATTGGCACTTTTCTGCGGCGCTTCAAATCAGTCTCCTGCACCTGGATCTTAAAGAAGAAAGCCCCGGGAGAACTATGAGTGACCTCAGAGATACACAAGCCAATAAACAGGGGCCTTGAGGTCCAAATTCAGACACTGCGAACATCTAACAAAAGAAACACAGTGCACTTACAATGAGAGACCATTGTTATTGCGCCGGGCTTCTTTTGTTAGCTGTTCACAATGAGAATACGGGCAGTCTAGGTTCAAAGAACAGGAGTGTGTTTTGCCAGCCATGATAGTGGTTTTTTAACAAATACGCAATGAAAAGAAAACACTTTTGTGTGCCGAAGGTTGTTGGTATCAACTTTATTCTAGGTGTACAACAAACCATTGGTTTTACGGTAAACAATTTGCAAATTGGTCTTTCGGTCTGGATAAGACTATTGTATCAAAGATCTATTTCATTCATGTGTAATACAATTCCACTATAGACCCTGCCATTACTGAAGAATGTTTTAAAAAGTATGTAGGTAACGCGCAGTTGTGAATGTAACAAATTCCCAAAAGCTGTTGCGTCGAAGTTGCAAACATGTTTCTGCTGAGGTCGCAAAAACACACCTCCATCGGTAAAGGTAATGATTCGTAACCCCATCTTTCGAATGTCTGTCAATATAAACCACTCTTCTAGTCTCACTGATATCGCTTTGCAGCTTTGATACATGTTGCCAAGTTTTGGTTCTAAAATACGAGTGTCAGTTGTACTCTGTAGTTGTACTATGGGTTTAAAAAATACGTAAAGTTTCTCCAATTTCAGTTAATTGTGATGTGATGGGAGCCCAGATGGATTATATTTACTTAATGTTGCTTTAATTGGCTTTAGTCTTAGAGGCAAGATAATGACTAAGGCCCCGATGTTATTATTATGTTTGTAAAATTCTGCAAAGTGCTACGTTTGCAATGTGACTGTGTGTAATTGTCAATACAGCATTCTCGCAGTGATGAATAAATTCATTGTTTAGGAGACTTTTTGAATATGGCACAAAACTCGATAGTCGTTTTTGTGTGTTGCTATTGAGTGAACTCAGGGCCAAACCTTTTGACTACTCTGTAGTTCATCTTTAAAGGCATACAACAATTTCCCCTTTTCCTCACAAATTTACAGCACAAACAATTAAACAAACCACATCTGGGGCCAAACATAAATGTCTTTTTGTGGTAACCCCAGGTAGCAAATTTCTCACTTCCAACCTTTTATTGTCATTTGTGGCCTAAATTTGAAATGGGGTTTATAATGATGAAAAGAAACAACTACCGTTGACTTTTACTACTTACAACCTTAAGAAATAGTTTTAACTGTTGACTGTTTTAACAGCATTAAAGAAACTTCAATAAATGGAACCTAAACTAAACAAGCCAGATATAAGAAATCCACTGCAATATTTAGATTAAAAGTGACAAAACTGTATGTCGTTTATCTCAAGAAATTACCGTCACATAATTTTGTGTTGGCAGAACCAATTAAGTGTAACCAGGCTGACAATATCGACCAAAAGGTCGATGTGGGTATACATCTGGGACGATAAATAACTTGCTATTACTTTAAAGTTTTACAACAGAGGCACCAGGGATGTGCGCTTTATGTGTAAGGGTTTGGGTGCGTAGTGGGTCCCGGATAAGGAGGGACAGATGCAGCTGGGTATGCTGGTTGGCCTGGGTAACTGGGTGGAGCTGGGTAGCCAGTGGGTGCAGCTGGGTAGTCAGTGGGTGCCGCTGGGGATGCGTTTTGGGCAGCTATGAAAGAAGAATGCAGATATAAACGCCAGGCTTCATTAACCTGCTATACTGAATTTATTAAAGCCAATGCTCTTGAAGCCAATTTCTTGAAGCCAAGAAATCAATAATGTGTGCACACTCATGTACTATACTTCTGGCTAAACAGATATCAATCCCTAAGCCAATGATACTTAGATTCTGACTCCTTCAATCCTGTGATGTCGCCAAACCTTGCAGGATAATTTTAAAGAATCGGGGGAGGGGGTTTGAGGAAAGTAGAAACTTGTACTGAGACAATGAGGTACTCACATGAGTATGCAGGTGGCGGTGGAGTTGGAGATATGTGCTGTGTAAATAAATAAATGGTAAAAACAAGTTTTTTTCAGTATGAGGGGTATGATGTGGAAAACCAACTTCTTGCACATGCTATTCAGAGTCAAAGTTTGAGTTACAGTGAATAGGAGCAGCCGAGCAGGTTCATAAAAAACGATTATGAACTGTTAGTTCAAACACATCATCACTGCGATAACTGTAACTTTCTAGCTGATCACTTGGGACCGACCTACAATGGTTGGTCACTTAGACAGCCTCCAAAATATTATACAGGGGGGAGCCCCCCAGATATCAATTACACAATGCTTGTAATGTTGTAGTATTAGGAATCAGTCATTTGGTCTCTGGCCTGCCCACGTGCAGGTTGTATTGTGCACACCGGTCTCTCGCAAACAGTTCTCGATCCGGTTCGTAAGTGACTTCGTCACGAAGGCGGACGCAGGCTCCCATTGGACGATCGCTGAAGCTGCGCGTTAACTTCCAGTTCCATGGTTCACGTAAACGGTGATCAATGCATGTAACTCTATGTGCAAGGCATGAGCGGTGGGCGTGGTTTAAACTGAAGTTACGTCACACTTTTTATATGAAGCGGATTCCGTTAAGTCAACTTACGTGTACCACATGCACCACAGTAGCAGGATTAGGCCTACTGGTGGCGTGGGCCAGTATGTGTTCCCGCTCTGCCTTCCGGTGAGCCACGTTAGCTTTCATCTGTCAGTTCAGTAATGTACAAAAGACAAAATGAAGATTATCGCAAGTTTTGCACAAAAAACCACACCCCCGAACAGTGTGAAAACGAGGAACCTTTTGTTGCTAACGATGTTCAATTCTTGCTACTTCCTTTCAGCAGAACACTACGTTGCTCTTGGATTAGATAAGTTCGTGTTTCAAAATACTGCTTCATAAGAATCGCTCGATCTCACAAATTTCTTTGAAAAAGAAGGTTCAGAAGGAAATCAAGCAAAATAAAACTTAAATGAATAACAAAGCGAAAGTGTGAAATAAATGATGGCAATTAATTTCTTGTGACAATTAGGCCCTACTCACATTTACTTTGACATACTGTAAATCATACCTTTGTTAGTTTTTAGCCTTTTCAATAAACTACACATGTACACACATACGGCTGATTATTTAAGCATCTAAAGAGTATTTTCGTTTTGAAGACATTAATTTTTCATCGAAAAAGTTTACCAAAAATCTTTCCCAAAGTCACAGTGTTGCAATCAGTGGCGGCGCCAGACCATGGTTACTGTGGGTGCCAGTGTTGGGCATGGCAGAATCGCGTGGGTGCAAATAAAAATACTTATTTTGGCCCGCACCTACGTTGAATTTGGTATGCGACAAAATTTGTGTGGATGCGTAAGTGGGTCAAGCGCCCTTTCAGTGCATTTGCACCTACATGACACCATGCATGTAGCGCTACCAATGGTTACAATGCATCCCGAAGAATACTGGCAAAAATGATCTAATTTTTTAAAATTGATTACACAATCAATCTGAGAGAAAACAGAGAACCGACCACTGTACTTTGTCACTTCAGGTTGAATTTATTTAAGGATTTTGGGGCAAATTGTTATTTGTGAGTTCAACGCAATCATTTCGCAACATAGTGCACAGTATTCAAACATTGAAGCTAACAAGATTTCTACATCAGTTGAAGCATTATATCTTACTTCGAACTCTGTTTATCATTTTCTAACAGTGTGTGAATTATCATCAAGGAAAGCAGATTTTTTTATATTTTACCTCCAGACGAGCAGCCCTGGCGACGTTTCCACGCATTGCCGCATGGGCAGCCTTATTGTGTAGACGAGCTTCACGCACTTCTGCACGGGCTTCACGCTACGAGCAAACATAAATAAACAAATAAAATCTGGCAGACGGTGATGCGCGTGGACTTCGTAAGTCAAATAACGTCAAATTTTAAAAATTGTCTCTAACAGAAGTGACGTCCAGGTTATTGTGTGTTCATGGCAGTTACGTTATTAAATGTTCAAATTGATTTTAATAAAGTAAAGAAATAGTATTTCGGTGTCGTTAGTTTGTTTATTATTTATTTATGTATTTGGTAAAGCACTGGCAAAGCATTGACCTTGGAGGGGAGTTAACTCTGAGGCACACTTTTCAGCCCTCTTCCCTTTGTCGTTTCTCTCACAGTTTCTTCCCTTTTTTTCCTTTTCATTTTTTTAATTTCATATATTTTCCTTGCCCCCTGGAACGCCCATGCCTGTGCAAACATGCTAAACCCTATACGATTGTCTGCGACACATTAAGCTTCGAGGTTTTAACATACAAACCAAATATTTTTATCGGAAATTTACCTCAAAAAATTTTGCCAATTTTTTTCGGTGCACGGCATCACCATTTCCTCAGTACAGATATTCAACATGTCAGCTTGACAGAAAGAACATTGTGTTGTGCACAGTATAGCATACAATGCAATCAAAGCATCCTCCTATCCTAGGTGGGGAATGCTGGTGTGACTTTCAGAGTGACCAAATTCCCATTCATATCCATCCCACAAGCAGCAGTACATATTCAGCTCAACCCCTGAAGTCGGATGAAATGAATAAATACTCGACACATGCTGTAAAAGGATACGGCCTAATTTCACATTTCTTGTGATAAAAAAGTAGGCTCTTCTTTCAGGGCAACATGCCAAGAATACAGTAGCTTATTTGGGGTGAAATTGCTGAGGGGGCATCTGGAGGAAACTTTTCTATTTAAGGGGACACTAAAAGCAATCACTGCGGCCTGACAGGCTGTGTGCACTTCGAAATTTCTAATGGGGGAAACCACTGAATGATGCGATCTAGAATTCGTCTAAGCACTGGAATATGTACACGATAAAATTAAGGCACAGTGGTATGCATGCCTACTTCATCTGGGAGATGAACCGTTTAGAACTTGAATTGAGATGTTCTCTTACCCTAGCGTGTCTGTTACTTGCCATCCCACCACATCCAGACATGACGACTGCTGAGTGACACAACAAAATGGCTAACGACGCAAAATGTACGACAAAACTCAGCTACCACGTTAAACAACAGTACGTGTAAGCACGTACGAGCCTGTAGGTATGCGTGTAGAGGATCGCTGCCACCGCACGTGATTTTATAGCGCTGGGCTAAATATATCATGTCACATGCATACAAGTCACTCAAAAGGCTGAATAAAGTTCAAAGTGCAGGAAGCAAAACCATAAAGGAAACAGCTAAAACCGAATGAATAACAAATCTATAGTGCTGCCCCCCAAAAAAACCTTTTGTGTTGAACTCACTACTGGTACAAACTGTAAACTGGCAATTATTATTTTTTCAGCAGATAAATACAACGATCTCATTGAACGAGAAAACAACACAATTTATTTGATGGCTTATGATGGACTTGGTCCAGAAGGCTCGAAACACTGCCGCCGTGCCGGGCATTCAATGCATTTTGTCATGGCAATGGTCTTGTGACGTCATGTAAGCCATGTGTAAATAATTGCATCAGCAACGACCATCGACGTCAGTGGTGGACTTTGCATGCAGCAAGTAGGCCTAATGTGGATTGCACAGGTCGTGGTGGATTTTGATGGATTTAGTCCAGCGCCTAGTAAAAGACACTAAGGAGTTAAGGTTTTTCATACAGCATTCGACTGTGTAAGACTATCTTCTTAATTAGAAAAGACAACTGGTTCACCCTCATTTATGGGTAATTATAGGCAGGATACCCACTGTTCACAGAACATTTCTTACTTCAATAAAACGACAAATTTTGGAAATATCAATTTAAAGAGATATTTGGCAGCATTAATACAAAAAAGCGCTTTGTTCCGTCAACATAGCGCAAGATATAACTATGAACGTTTTAGCACGCACAAAATCAATTAATAGTACATGTACATGTATCAACGATCGCTTGACCATAATAATTTAGCGAACTATGGACACTAGTTACATGTACATGTAGTATAACTTAAAAGAAGAGTAGAGACCTATTTCAGAAACCTCAAAATCACAAATTTTACCTTTGTGTAAATGTAATGGGGAAAATGTGAAGTTTGAGGAAATATCTGCAGCCAGTCATGGGTGAACCACCTGCAAGCTTTGACCACACATAAAGCTAGTTCGCCTATCATGTGAATGAACAGCAGTCTTGAATTTAGGGCAGTGTCATGCGCACTAAACATGCTTACGCTGGGCATGGAGGAAGGCGCTCGGCAACAAGATCTGGACTTGCGCGATATTAATGCCACTCTAAGAATTCCTCCTCCAAAGTGAAGAACGCTCCGGAAGCCACTGAAGTGAAGCCAGTCCTGAGGGGACTTCGAGGAAGAACAACACAAGCTCCTAAAAAAGAGATCGGAATTGTAGGATACATCCCCTCGCAGTGACTTGAGTTGAGTCAGTTACGAACTGGGAATTGAATCCCAACGAAGTGCGATTCAGGTCGAGTTATCCAACCTGCCTTAACCCTAACCCTCCTGAATCCTTCACCTGTTGGAGGATTGAGGAGGGTTAGGGTTAAATGTATATAGCATTACAATCCATCTGCGTAGAAGAGGTTGTTACGATGAATTTATTCCAATTATGAAGACATGCAATTTAGTTCTCGTTTAAAAATAAAAAGGAATATGCGTTAAAACATAATTATTCTCCAAAGTTTGAATATAGCAAAATATAGGTAATATCTCACATATAATGAATCGTAGAAAAGAAAACAGGAACCAATATTTTCATACAAAGTATAATGTATACTGTGTTCGAAATTTGATTTAAAATAAATCTTCATTTTAAACAGGTACAATATAAACAAAGTGCCTTGATTTTATATTAACAACTATGTTGCAATATACCGTATACATGTACAATGGAACAGCGTTATAACCAAAGATCGTACAGCGCCGCGAAGGATCTTTGGTTATAACAAGGTTCTTGGGACTTTATGTATAGATTGCCTTGCTAAAACGGGTCATTAGCAGTAACAGAAAAACAAAGGCTTGCAACCTAAGATCTTCCTTGTTATAACTATAATTTTGTATTAATATCAGTGTTCTCCTAACCTGTGTTGGACTGCACATATAAGCACCTAAGTATTACGTGTATAATTGTACCATAAGCACGTATTCCAAATGGCTAGGCAAAGCAATTTTCTTAGACATGCCAAGGATGTTCTCTAATTACCATGAAAACGGAACCAATTCCGTAATGCGTGCTGCACTGTGGCTCACTTTGTCAATTACACCCATTAAATAATTTACTTCTTGTGTATCGTGTTGTTTTTTGGGTGGAGGGGAAGTTTTTGCTATCAAACCAAGCTCTGCCCTTTTTAACTCAAACAAATTACACTGCAGGGTACGGTGCGTTGGAAACGTCACAAGTTGAGGGCCAAACTAATGATGGAAATGTTGAACTGAACTTGCACAGGGCACAGAAAAAAACGAGTCCACGTTTTACAAAGATATTTACATGAAACACAGGAGTCAGAAGACTCATAAAAAAAAGACACCAGAAGTACAGTTATAGTACAATACCGTAGATAAACACATTCTCCATAAAACGGAGAAATCAATAAGCTTTGAACTCCTCCTAAGTTACCAATGAAAATAAGAGTAGCTCGGTTCTGTGAACTATAATCAGCGTACACATTAGTGTGCCTGATGTGTTTTTAGCCAAAAAAACACATTAAAAGAAACAGAAATTAAGTGCAGCATCATCAAGTGGCTGACCTGGGGTTACCAAAACCCCTCTAGCTGGACACAACATGGCTTCTACACGTGAGTGCAACGAACATGTGGTCATGTATGTGTCCAACCACATTTGCCTGATGCTATTGGCTGATTGGGCAGGATAAAGATGTCCAGACAAAATAACATTGAAAAAAAAGAAAAATCTTGCTTTCTTTTCTCCTTTTAATTCTATGAATTTACAAGTTTCACTGTATTAAATAAAAATGACTTAAACTTACTTTAAAAACATTTCCAAAATTATATTTTGTTCAATAATTTTGTCAATCAACTTCATTCTAGAAAGGTACAGTACTGGTCACACTGCATGATGTATGCATAAATATTTCTTCCAGTTAAATGCAGTTATAATAACCGACTTCAAAACTGTGACTGAAGTTTAAGTTGATCATTTTGTCAAAGTATATTGTGCTTACATGTATCTCTGTGTCCAAGTCACATGTGCCGTGAATTGCAAAAGATCCAACTGCACACCAAAAGGCTTAAATAACAATCCAGCAATGCACTCGGCACGAAGCAGCCACTGTGTGTCCACACTTCGACACTGTACTACCATACCCATCAATCAAGTACAGGTAATAACAGCTCCCCTTCTAGGCACTGCAATTTCCGGACTGAAAGATCGTGCACCATACTCAAAATGTTTTGACTGGATACAGCGCCCTCATACAACTCCATTGCTTATTTTTGAATTGCTTACGAGTTATTTTTTTCATGAAATCATTCAATTATAAAACCTTGGACAGATTCTTTTCTTATTTTATATTTTCACAGAGGTGTATTTAATACAAAACACTTGTGGGCTGGTATAAGTCGGTCACTTGTGCACGTCCATGTCCCCCTTGGACCTATGAGTGACCAAAAGAGGGTCCAGTTTTCCTCCACCTCGACTCAGAAGATGGGACCCTCCTTTGGTTAATCAAAGCCCCTCAATGGGTGCATAGGCGCACACTGAGGGAACTGTCCCTTAAGTGCTAAAACATCATATCCCATGTCACAAAAGCCAGTAACTGTTAACTGCACACTGACACACAAATACCATGAACGTGTACGTGTACTTTTTTTCCCGTAGCTCTTACAGCCCCAAAATCTCCAATTCTCCAGTTAGGGTTAAGGACGAACTGATGGTTGACGTTACTTCCCCGTTCCAGAAGTTCACAAATTGGTTCTTCGGGCCTGACAAGACCGTATCAAGGCAAACATATATCAATACGTCTTTCCTGTGGTGATGAATCTGTGTTTTGTTGAGACTTTGACAAGTTTAGGGTATGACATAAATCACAGCCTGCATCCAACTGCTTGAATTCCTTTGATATGGTTTAAACTATTTGTTTCTTTAAAAAAACAAACTAAATTCAAGTCAGAGTATTTCTTAAGAGATGTACATAAAAATGATGAGTGAAGTATTTAAGAAGTAAAATGTATTTAATGAGAGGAATAAATGCCATTATGGGCTCTTTTTCACTTGACTGTGAAATGAATGATAATTCATTTGTCTGTGTAATGAACAGAACTTAAAACAGAATAAATAAAAAATGAATTAAACCTTGAAAAACGGAATGAAAGTAAAAAAGTATTTCAGTATTGCCAAAGAGAAGGTAGTTGTTAACTGAAATGTGTGGTGAAAAGCAAAAGTGCTTGACAGATCAGGGAAAACACGACGTGTACATGTGTTTCTAATGTACTGTAGGAATGTCTTGGTTCCAGTTGATGAAATGAACTGGGGTTTTATTTGCAAACTAGGCCTGATTATTCAGCCTTTTTTCAAAATTATATTCGGACAGTTCTCCCATCAACAAACGCTGGTGACACAAGTAACAAAAGAAATAGATCTACTTAGCAGGAACAGTGCAGTCGTCCTGGGAAACTGACTTTTACTGTAGACATTAATGCTACAAGAAAAGTGAGTAGCTAGGAAAAGATACCTGTGAGTTAAACTGGGTAGATGACCTGTTTTTTTAACGGAATTTACAAAACAAGGGGTACCTGGTGTACCGACTCTTGTTGGGTAGGCTAAAGAATTGACCCCGCTAGCTCGAAGTTTAGCTAAAAGTGTGGCTAGGTGTTGCCAGTGTCTTGCACATGGCTGCACGCTTCACTGGTAGGGATTACGGTATGCCGTGGGTGCTGAGTAAGGAGAGGCAGATGCAGCTGGGTATGCTGGCTGGCCTGGGTAACTGGGTGGAGCTGGGTAGCCAGTGGGTGCAGCCGGGTAGCCAGTGGTGGCTGCTGGGTAGCCAGTGGGTGCAGCCGGGTAGCCAGTGGTTGCTGCTGGGTAGCCAGTGGGTGCAGACGGGTAGCCAGTGGTGGCTGCCGGGTAGCCAGTTGGTGCTGCTGGGTAGCCAGTGGGTGCCGCTGGGTAGCCAGTGGGTGCCGCTGGGTAGCCAGTAGGTGCAGCTGGGTATGTGCTTGGAGCAGCTGTAAAAACACACAAATAAATAATAAAGATCTACATGTATCATTAAAATACATGACCCCAAACCTTCTGGTGCATGTTTTCGAGGAACCTCCAGAAATCCTCCAATATCTTCCACTGTGTAAGAAACCAATGATGCACTCTCTGACCTTAACTTACACATAGCATGGGTGTGTACAAGATAGCTAAGACAACGATGGACTTACCAGGGTATGCTGGCGGTGGCTGGGCCGGTGGTGGGGCAATAGTGCCAGTCGGATAATCCAGCTGTGGTGTTGGAGCAACATGCTGTTCAAAGAAATTAATAAGTATTATGAGGAGGTCTGGGAAAATGATGTGTTCAGAAGACAAAGATGTTTTCACTGGCTATTTAGTGTTTGGTACATTTGTCTAACGAGGGGCTAAATCTTATTATCAAGGACATCTATACATGTAGGTAAACCATCATTCAACAAACTCATCAAATGCACACCAGTCTGTGGATGGACTTCTTCAGTGGACTATTTCAAATCAGTCTATACCCCAGTACAAGAAGAGGTTGGTTGTAAAACTGCTTGTCTACACGTACATAAGGACCATCAGGTCTCTCAGTGAATAGAGTAGACTAGTCTCATAAAGCTCCATTGTCAGCCCAATCCATAATCCACATAACTCATGGCTGTGGATTGGTTGATATGACGTACAGGTAACTTTAACATTGTCTGATGTTGGTGAGTAGGTGCAAGGTACACCAGCAACGGACTACTTATCACCCAGAGGGTCTTGACTGACCCAAGATTTATTGACGCTAAGGCTGGCGTTTGCATGTATTGCTCTTGATATTTGGTGGCACAGTAAATGGTGCTTTTGCATTTAATACTCTCAGATCACATCGCACAAATGGAGAACGTTAACATTTTTACCACCTAAATATACTCTTAGTATGATTAGCAATATCCTCTGGGTAATATCTGCACTCCTCCTATTTGAGAGCTTGGGACTGTACTCATATCAACGGCATAGTCCATCACTTGTCCTTTATGCATTACGTTCCTTTGAGGCAACAAAATTACTCAGTATCTAAACAAGGGTGCCTTAGAACAAACCTACAAAAGTTTCAGCTCACTGAATACTGTGCATGTATGTGTACATGTAAGTTATTCCAAGAAAACACAATGTTCTAGAATTTTGATTTCTGATTGAAAGTTGCTGAGTCATTTTAAATTGCATCTGAATTCAGCGTCTGGGACACGTTCTCGCATTCAGTTGAATGCAGCTACATGATGTCATGCACTGAACCAACGAATGATAGTAACTACATGTGCGTGTTGTGAAAACACTTGCACACCTGGAATGGCCACTTTCCAAAAATGCATCTTTAGACGCATGAGTGGAAATGGCCTTCTTTAGTGTTCTTCAAAATGAAAGCTTTACAAAAAAAGTAATTTCACAAGGAGTTTAGTCTCATGAATATCTGTAAAAGCAAGTATGCTTTTAAAAATTTTCAACAATGATTTTGTCAGTTATTTTTTTGGGTAACTGCAAATGATGGACTGTACTTTAAACACACTCAAACACAGCCTAAGTGTCAAGCCGTCACAGATGTCAGATGCTCTATGGGACTTGTCAACTTACGTGCACCACCACAGTGGAAGGCAGGCCGGCCGAACAAGGCGGAGGGATGCAAGGGGAAGGGATGCAAGGAGGGGGACAGGTGTGGTAATGGCTGGTGGCACTGGCCAATGCGTGCTCCTGCACCGCGGTGTGGTGGGCCATGTTGGCTTTCATCTGCCAATGAAATGCACAACAGATGATCAATGTGCGTTGTAAGCCAAAGGGGAAAAACACAGCGGTGTTTCTGCTTACCCAACCCGACCAACAAAATCATGCAGAACCTATCATTTTTATGTGAAAAAAAGTAAATGTAATCAGTTTACCCACAGCCTCACTTTGTGTGAAGGCTGTCTGGTGCTTTATTTGTAGGCCACTTGAAAAAAGTACCTTGCTCTTGAGTAAGTTAAATGGTTTGTACGCACAATACTCGGCTTTCTGAATTCAGAAATTCGTCAACCATTCAGCCGACTACCGATGCATGAAAAAATAGAATATGCTGGATTAAATTAGAATCTCCCTGGCTGTCTGTCATAAATGATTGCTCACACACACAAACCAATATTTTGGCTTAAAGAAATTGGTAGAGGAAAAAAATCACCTGCACGTGTCAGCCCGATTGCTTTTTCAGTGAAATAAGAAATTTAGCTATTGTCATGATGTTGAAATTATTGCGAACTGAGAAACACGCACTGCACCAAATATTCTGAGCAAATATTCAGGTCTCTGAAATAATGAAAACATCAGCACGACATCCCTTTTTGGTTTCCGTTTTCTGAAAGTGCACTCTCAAATACTGAACATGACATCCATTTCTTAATTGAAGAAATTCTGAACCTTTCAATAAAGTGCCCTCTGAAAATCTGAACTGGTATTACTGTTCCACTGAGACTGTACGTTTGTCAATGAGGAAGCATATGGTATGCATGTACATATTCAGAAATTTATACAGGTAGCTTCGTGGCTATTTCATTAGCATGTGTGGGTAGGCAGACAACTGGCCCGCACTGTTTTTCATGGGCCACTGATTTGTTGGGCTGAAAGGGGCATCTGCCATTATAAAGCGGCTAGTACATGTGCATGTAAAGTACATGCATGCAGTTACCATGCTCCAGCACATGTTGAAAGCAAGTACCAGTACATGTGTGTAAATAACAGCAGAGCGAGTGCAATGGTTTCAACAATCACGCACTCATGCGGGCCATTCCTGTACATGATTTTGTTCGGCTCCTGCACTGCTGACTGCTTTCGGGTCAAGCGAGGTTCACACAATTACATGTACATTGCTATATGTAAATCAAACTTAAGCATCTAGGGGTGAAATGCACAGGTGCAAGGTATGTACATGTATGGATCAGCATAATGTACCAATGTACACTGTATTTATGCCAACATTCACAAACCACGATGAAGTTTAAAAAAGAGGTCTGATTCATCTCACACAATCTAGCAGGAAATTCTTTTGTACCCAAGAATCCGTTAGAAAATGTTTGGATTTTTGCCCGAGCCTGTGCTACAGGATTCCGGCTGTCTCTCATTGAAGGATTAAACAATTTTTATTGCTAGAGGAATGCCCATTAGCAACAATAAACAATCTTTTGCTTGATTGAATGATTGGTTTGGCATTCATGAGTTCTTCATTGATGGCGTAAACACACAGGTACATTGTAATATGATATACCGTAATATCCAGCTGAATGTGTCTTTTGTGAAGGAATGAGATTTTTTGTTGAAAACTATGCCAAGTATGCATGTTTTATCTAGAAAAAATAGCACGTCTTTATGCTTAAATCATTAAAGTTTCAAAGCATTTTTTTCCCCCAAGAGTCACTGTGTATTCAACGGCCCCAGAATGCACAACATACACGTATCATTCAATTAACAATAAAGCACAATTTCTAAACAGTGCGAATAATACATTTGTAAATCAGTTTATAATTATAGTTTTTTGCTAATTTCTGTATGTACACATATTGTGTCTGTTCTCAAAAGTAATTTCAAAATGATTGTGAATGGATGAATTGATCAAGGAGAAGCGTTTGGGGCATTTTACCTGGAGATGAGCAGCTCTTGCAACATTTCCGTGCATGGCCGCATGGGCAGCCTTATTTTGCAGATGAGCTTCGCGCATTTCTGCACGCGCTTCACGCTAAAAAGTCAACAAAATACCGGGAGAGAAAAGTTTACAAGTTAACCATATAAAGTAAATTCCTCAACATTATGTCTGCCATGATGTAGATACACGCACATTGACATCACATGTACTAAGGTTCAGTCCAGTCGATCACGGTCTTCGAGCAAGAAAGTACTTGATGCCTCTTGCACACAATGGTACACATGTATCCAATGATACATTTATGAGTTTCATGGGAGATCCAGTTTTAAAAAAAGGACCAACAAAAAAAAGCTCAGGGATGTAAGTATACAGGAAGAGTTTTTCCAAAAACAAGACGACAGTGTTGTATTTGAGTCCATCACAAGACCTGTCACAAGTCCCTCCACAAGACCAGTCATAAGTAACAGGGTGATTGACAATACATGTATGATATTTTTGTCACAAACCATTTGAACAGCTTGTGAATTGTCTTAAGGCTGATGGACTTGTGATGGACTTGTGATGGACTTGTGATGGACTTGTGATGGACTTGTGATGGACTTGTGATGGACTTGTGATGGACTTGTGATGGACTTGAACGCAACACTGCAAGACCACCAGACTGTTTGCTCTATACCACATATTTTCATATTTCTAAGGCCATGGCGTACGTGTATGCAACTGTTACTCTTGCAATAAAAAACAAAGAATTGTAAAATGCTACTGGTAAGAACTGCTTGCTGGCTAGTGACCTTAATATATGCAAATCAAAAAGTTAGACCTGTGGGCATGATTATTATTATTACTGGTTTATTTCCATCTCGTTTTGTAGCCAACAGGCTAAATCGTACGGTGGATACATATAATATTAGATTAACATTTATTATTAAAAAAACACACACATATTTCACATGTATTTATGAAAAAAAACAAATCTTACACTTAAGAGGAACAACAGGAAAAAATTTAAGATTTAAAATTTCACACCATCCATTTGCCAAACTCTACAGGCCTACTACATGAAAATCAAATGACAAATATTAATTACTAGATCATAGATGCAAGTAAATTACTCATTGAGTTTCGATCCTTGCAAAAATCAAATGAATTTTAATTACTTGTTTAAGGAATGGCACCAAATAAGAATGCCATAGTATCACTCACAAATTCCCTTAGCCTAGCTGTGTTAATCTAGGCCTAATACATGTAATAATATTAACAATAATATTAATGACAGTGAATGAGTGATGATAACGGTCTTTCTTGTCAACAGTTTTGAACTCAAATTCTTTCCTTACCATGGCGTGTTTGTGACTTGCCGCTCCACCGCACCCGTAGCCATACATGATGTGACTACTTAATGACAGAAAAATGACAGCAACACAGAAACCTGATGAAGCAAATTGAACCAATTTTGGTTAAGTTTCTTTCAACGGTACATGTATGCACGCACCTACTGTACATGTACACTATACATCTGACGCGTTTCCGTCGCGCGTATATTAAACGTAGGCTAGGCCTACCGGTATACCGACCATCCGGGAACGACAGAGGGCGCGTCAACAGACGATTAACAATTACACTCGCAGATCTCTGGGATAAACCCACATCAAATTAAGGTGTATTTTCTGTTTTATTTAAACTTTTTGGTGGTTTAATCAATCACCTCTTAAAAGATGATCATTCCTAAAATGGTGTTGATATTCCCATACTCTATCCAGTTTGACGTGAAAATACCCAGGTTGCGCATTAGTCCGATGTACGACCATGGTATGACGGAGGATTATTTGTCGGGCCCTGTTAACGGGTCTAGTTCCAAACTCTATTACATGTATAAAAAACTGAAGAGAAGTCGCACTTACGAACGTAACGGTCCACATGGCAATTCTAGGCCAATCATTATAACTGGCCAGCACCCTTACATTTCAAACGCAGGACAATACCACACAAACAAAAGTCAAATTTAAAAGAAAACATTAGATACTGTGCCCGTATACTGTGGATAATATTTTATTTTTCATTACTGTTACAATTTAGATTGATCGAATGTTGATGTCACTGTAAAATAATTAAGTTAAAAGCAAAAAGTGAATTGGGCATTAACTAAAAGTAATACAATTTGGCATGCAAGGCGAGATTTTTAAGCATTCAAATGAACGAAATTATCACTTTAGCAATAAATGTGGTTCAACTGAAGTCACCATTGTATTAGGTCATGTTTACACTCTACCATCCAACACTATTTGACCTTTGATCAAATAGGGAATGCAACATAAAAGAATTCACTAAAAGGAATGACACAACGTCATGTACTACATAATAAACTAATTTTTTGCTTTTGGGCCGTCTTCATTCGAAGCACTGAACAAAAAGAAGGTATGCTTGCAAGAAAACAGTTTTAGAATCAACCAAAAAAAGGACTCAAATGGGGTAACTATACAAATCAACACATGGCCGAAAAATTGTAATGTTCATTTTCGAGGTAAGGTAAACCTTTGTTTCTGGCAACAGTTAAATCACCTAAATTTATTTCCACTGAACTGCATGTGACTGCTTCCTGTGAGCAAAAACTAAAAATAACTTCTCCTGGAGACATTATAAAGTAGTATTTTTATGATTTGGTCTTATGTGAAAATTAATATTCTAATATATTCCCTGCGATCTGGGAGAAAGTAAAACAATTAAGAAGAAGCCATATCAAATAAAATAGAGATAAGATTTGAGATCTGTAAACAAAAAAATGACAGAATGACTTACACGTTTGGTGCTAAAATAAACTACACGTGTCTGTGTATTTTTTTTTGTGCATAAATGAACTGTGATCCATCCTTCCCAGGCTGCAGTAGGTCATTTTAATGTCCAACAATTTGTCTCCCTTGTGTTAATTTTCGTACTTCAAAATAATCCAAAGTAACATTTTTTTTTCTGCAGCAAGCTTTGGTAGTTGTGGGCATTGAGAGTTGTGGCATCTGCATTGTTCCAGAGTATATTGGTATTCTTTTCCACTGAGTGAAGAGCTTACAATTCTCTAGCCTGATTTTGGAATTCTGGGTCACAGATTAAATAGAACCACAGATTAATACCAAATCTGCGGTTTGAATATACACTTAAACAAGAAATCTGTCGGCAGAAACCACCACTTTGGCTTTTGAACAGGTTTGTGGTGAGATAATGAAACTCAACATGCTATTACAGGACTCTCTTGAGAGAGATGTATTCATTTGAGAAGGTTAATAAGTGATTCTGCCACTCAAAGCAATGTGTGCTCGGAAGATACATGTGTGTGCACTTGGTAACTCTAAAAAATGCCATGCATGTTTGCTTTTGTTTTTAGTAAAGAGAATCAGATGAAGTAAAAAGTGTAATATTATTGTTAGTAATGCAGACTTGAGAGTCTGTACATAAATGACACAGTTAAAAAAAACCTGTACAGGTTGACCAATGACTTGTGTGTGTGTGGAACAGCCACCCTGAAATTGCTTTGTGTTACTTTACGTCCATGAAAATGCACACACAAAGGTATACAAAAACCTTCAAGGCAGCTGGTGCAGCTGGAATAATTCAATATTTGGAAAGACAGTTTTCCCGTTATTGTTGCAACATACTAGAAGGGGATTTCTGGATAACTAAGCAATAACTATACATGCAGCAGCTTTTATAAAACACAATACGGCACCTTTTTGCCACTAAAAGCAAGATGTACATTCCACTACCTACTACCTCAAGTTCCAAGCAATGCATTTGTAAGGCTTTCAAGATATGCCTATGAAGGAGAAGTCCAGTTCTCGCATCAAAAGTTGGCATTATCTCTTTCTTTGCATTAAAATGCAATTCGTATGAAACTGATCACATAAATAAACATTCATATATTGGACTTGATCACGTAGTAGGCCAATTCCAAATTTCCGTGAGGCATGGTCATTTAGGATGACATGACACCACCACAGCTCCAACACATGGCACGCCTTGAGTATGCCATAACCTGTTCCATCCATTTTGGTCTGCAAACGGAAATTGCAACTTGTACGACCATAAAATGCTCCTACTGTTTACTCAAAATACAGCCTGCCTGTCTGTTCACAAGTTTAAACTGTTTTACAAGTCGAAACTCTGGCAGAAATGTGTAATCAGGGCAAACAGAACCAACATGACTGGCTCTGTTTACTTTGTTTTGTGCCACACTAGCTCACTGAATATTCAAGCATTTACATTGAATTATTTCTTTTGCAATTGCCTAAAGAGAAGCTCATTCATTTTTGGAATAAAAGAATTAGTATGTAATAATACTCTTTGTTCAGTTTTGTAAATTCAAATACTGACATGATTAGTTTGGCTTGTTTCTAAGAAGTATTTAAAATGAAGATGTGGCAAAACCAATATTTATATTTATACGCAAACAAGTACATTTAACAAATTATTCAGCATCATTATTCTCAACTTTTCAAAGCAGCATTTTTCAAAACTTTGTAGGAATCTTTGTAGGTAACTAATTTCTGGTTCCAATAATTAGCACAGTTTCTTTTATTACAAACCAGACAAAATCTTACCAATTCCCCAACTAAGAACGGCCACTGCTAATCTGAGAACTGATAAAATGATTCCATGTCAATTGTGCTCCAATGAAACCATTTCACAATTTTGATAGAAAGTGTGTGGGTAAAAGGTGCTGGGATTAAGGGCTAAGCATGTTTAGCCTCTTTATGGCAAAAGTGAAAAAGGCAGAAAACAATTTTATCAAGCGTATCATTAACTAACTGGCCTCAAGTTAACTACTTGAAGCATCAACTGTAACTTTTCTTTCTGGTCAACAGTAAAATACATAAAGAATTGGGTTGAAATAAGCCAGTTTAAAAATTCATGTTGGGAGCAAAATAAGAAAAACTGGGTCACATTCCATGGATCAGAATATAATCTGATGTACATGTAATTACTTTCACAACGATTCATTTCAAATAGAATTATAATAACCCTATATCCATTTTCATCAAAAATACACCAGCCTAATTTTTACTACACAAAATAGAAATTGAGAGGTTTCAAACCAGCAGGACATAACAATGGAAACAATACAATACAGCTGTGCATAAAAGGTGTTTCATAGCACCAATCATACTAAAATGCGATACCAACTGTCAGTCCAGTTGCATCAGTGACATGTTTCACAGAGGAAAAAAAGGGACAGCTGAGAGATGGTTTGATGCCACAAGATCTACACGACTGTAACAATGCTGCTGCCCTCTGGGAGCATGTCCTCCTCAAACAGTAAAAGAGAAAGTGAAAGAAAGGTCGAGGACACTTGATTATCGTCAGCTTTATAATTGAGATGTCCATTTTGGATCATACTTCCCAAATCCACTTTATATTAATAAGATACTCTGATATTACAGCCAGCTTGACTATTTTGCTGTAATCACAGATATAGACTCAATTCGAAAACAATGTGTCGTTTTGACAGGTACATGTAAGATGAAATGACTTTTTATCCACTTTTTGGCATCACCCAATGTAGCACAAGGATGCTTAATCTATAATTTGCCCGTGGCATTATTGTCGAACTCATTAATGTTGATTGACAAATTTTACTGGGATCGCTTCAATTCAAGATGACCAACTTCAAATGAAACTTTCAGTAGTTCACAACTTCACACGCGAAGTATACACAGCCAATTTTAATCAGAATGCGTACAAAGGTGTAGTTTAATCACCAAGGAATAGACCTCAGTGGGAACACCACCTGTACATGTTCTGCTGAAAACTAGCTGCCAAAAATTGTTATTTTTACTAACTCTTCGAATACAGCTCACCATGTTCAAATCAACTGCTTTGGGCATTTACTGAACAAAACAAAGTTTGGTGGACCATTTGGGTTCTTTTGATGTCCAACTTTTAAATACAAATAATGCCCTTCTAAATATGTGAGCTAATAATTAATCTTATGTGTAAATTAATACATTGACCTTCAACCTAAAGTCAAAGGTCAGAGCACCAGGTTTTAATTCATACACTACTTAGAAAGGTGTGTATCGTCCAGGGGAGTATATCGTATCTCATGAGACGACATACTTAAGAATGGAGACGACATGTATGTATCACCAAACAATGGATCCTTTACACCAGCAATTCTCAAGAAATCATGGTGTTTGGTTTTCCACGATTGTATGGCAGTGATGTTAGCTGAGCCGCCTAAACTTCCCAACTCAAGTTTTCACACCGTGTCAAATCGAGTGCTCCTTTAAAGTCTTCAGAACTGCATATGAATGAAGGGGCTGACAAACCCTTGTGGACAATCTGTTTGCTTCTTTTGAAACTTATTCAGTGTTCTTTAGTCCAATTTTTTTTGTAGCACAAATGCCCAAACTGTGGAGGTTGAAAACAAATCTATAAACATTTTGGAAATATTTTTGAATGTATGTTTGGGCAAGCTTACATGTGTACTTGGCAATAACCAATTCAAGCTTAAAATGCTAATTGCTCCGACCAAGAGCTGGTGGTATTCCAAAGCGACATTTCAATAAGGGACGAACTAGTTGTGGAAAATCACCCTTGGCCAGGCACTTTTTTGTTCAAACCTTTAAGTTGCGATATTCCCCTCTGCATCACTTTAGCTTTTGTTCTTATTGTCGTTGATGTAGATCACGATGCCAAAGTTCAGTCGGAGTTGTTCAAAGAAGACAAAGGTGAGAATGGTTTGTGGTGCCAGACGAACAAACGCTGGAATGAAACCCTTGTAGAACCCCATGGGCCCCAGCTTGGCCGTTGTCCACAGACAATCCATAAAGTTCTACTCAAAAATAAGTCAAGACAATGCCATTAAGATGGCACATTTACAAAAGCATATTGAAATGGGAAGCCAATGCAACATAAATTAAGCCTGTGATCTTAGCTTCATCCGAGTACTTGGACTCATACTTCTTGGTAAGAACCTGGGTACAAGGACAAGCAGCCACCTGAAAATGCTGAAGTGGAAAACACTCTTGGAGTCTGCATCTTTTCAGATAAACCCAACATTTCCCGTCTAATGTTGTGAGAATTACTTTTGTTTCCCACATCTCGCATCCCCAATTCACTCCGAGAATTCCGCTGAATGTGGGAGGCTACTCTTCATTATTATGGTGTAATCATTAATTTCCAAGCACTTGGGGACTCTGAAAAGGACTTAAGCTATCTGGTAACACAGTCCATTTAACTCTGTTCTGTAAGTTTGCTGTGACCACCAATTATAATATTCGCAGTTACCCTACAAAACACTTATATCACAAATAAGACATTGTGTGTCAAGGCAACAAATACAAAATAATTCCTTTGTTGTGAAATTTGAAAATAGTGGTCCATATTAGAAAGAGCAAACTGTTCCGAGAGTCACTGACTACGTAGAAGTTGGTGTGCACGTTTCTTGTACTTGTATAATAATACCAGAGTGAAAAAGCCAAGGCTAATTTAAAGTTATCATAAAGGCTTAAGGTCCTGGTTCTCTGCTGTACATTATAATGTCTCCAACACTGGTTGCCAGTGCTTTGACCAGCCTTTTCATAAAAAGGTTGGCCACATCAGATCAACTGGCTGTGGCTTAGTGTTACCAGCATATGCACACCTATGGGATTTTCTTCCACTGTCACACATTATTTCCAGCCAAAGCCAAGTAATTTGGACACAGTCTTAGACAAACTACGGATATCTGCAAAAGCAACTGAATGTGCCAGTGAATGGGTCTGTAGTTGAGTGACTCGTACCTTGTACTGGCCTGGAGGGGCATTCATTAATCTTGTCTTCATGACATCGGTAGGTTGTGTCAAGAGAGTGGCACAAAAACCCTGTCATGAAGAAACAACTCATCCGTTATGAAGGAAATTAAAAGTTGCTCAAAATCTGGAAGATTCAGGTCTCGGTTTTAGCACCTAAATCTCTAATTACTTAATTTTGAAATCTGTCATATTATCTATTGCTTTTATCTATTTTATCCTTACTTTCTATAGGAATAATTGACAATAGTTTTGAGATAAGAAACATTTGCCTTCATGAAGCCAGCTTTTAACTTCAAGGTCAACATACTGCATTAAATCCTTTATTACTCACAAACGGGGTCACATTATACAAATGCAGAGCTAGTCTCACACCCAGAAATGCATCTCAAGTCCTGTGTTTAAAAAGTACATATTGTGTCCTTGGGCAAAGGAACAATGCTTTCTTGCAATGACCTCTCCGTGGTCAGCTATCAGCGACACGCTGTATTGTGTCCTGTACCAAGGGAGGGCCTTTACTCAAATCTGTAAATGTCACTTGTGGTTTAGTTTAACCAATAAAAACGGCAGAGGAGAAAATTCTTCAGAGGGTACTCACGGCCATGATGCTGGCTGTGAAATGCGTGATGATGTTGTCTTTAAAGAAGGAAGTGGTTAGGAGAATTTGCTTGAACTGATCATACAGCGAAATCTGGAAAGGAAACCCAAAAATGGGAATTCTCAGTACCTGCATGTTGAGTTGCAACGGTGCTTCTTTCAGGAGAAAAATAAAAAGAAAAATGGCCAAAGCTGTCCACAGATGACAGACACCACAAAAGTCTTGTTTCCATGCTTTAAACCATTTGTGATCATCCCTGCCATTCAGGCTTTTTGATGACGTCTCCTTGAGGATCATTTTAACACTGTTGGAGGAAGGTTGTTTACACCAAGGCAAAAAAACAAACCCTCTAAACATTTTTGAAGGATATTTTTTAATTCAGACACCATATAATTTTATTATTTTTTTGTTCTTAATTTATGATCTACTTTCACGGTCCACAATTGCTGTTAAAATTCCCTAACCCACTGGATTCTGCCACCCTGCACCCTGCTTTGGCTATAGATGCTAGTCAGATTGTGGGAAAATTCATGAGGGTTCCCACCTAACATGCTTATCGAGTATGGATCAAACAGAACACGATCATGTTGTGCAGCGTTGTGGAAGCGTCTGTCACAAGTCCAGTCACAAGTTCTTTTCATAACAAAAACCACAAGTAGCGGGGGCTACTTTGAATGCTTTTTCCAGAGTTCATTTGAAAAGCTTGCGAGCTGAGACTGGGTGACTTGTAACGGGGCTTGCAGGCACTTGTGATGGACTAGATGACAACATGATTGCTTCGAAAGCCAGAGTTTAGAATCGGTCAAGAGCTGAATAGTTGCCAAGTCTCTGCTTTGGCTTTCAAACGAAACTCTCCTGAGCTCAACGCATTTGCAATGTGCAGCTCCATGAAACTGGCCCATGTAAACACACCTGGGAGGCAAAGTCCATTTATGAAACAGATCTGGTGGTGGAGGGGGAAATATTGTACGGAGGAATACCTGTCCAATGGTCATGAGGACGGCTCTGACTGTGGCCATCGATGCTCCATTAAACAAACTCCTGAAACCCTCTTAATGAGACAGAAAAACAAAAGAGGAATAAATATGAAAGGAAACACATTGGCAAGAACCATTCAAAGAGGCAGTTCAACCTCTCATGGGAGATATGGACGTTGAGTGATGGTTGAAAGGGACTGAAGTTTATAGGCTAGAAGATAGCGGATGGTAATAACATGAATCCCTAGAACATTCTGAAATCTCATCGATTTGTTCTACACTTTAAGGTATTCTGAGACCAAATTAATATGTCTAAATTGAACATATTCAAACCCTTCTAATATCACATTATTGGTCAGTACAGCTTAAAGGCGGTGGATTTTACAATTCATTCAATACTCAACCGCCATATCTAATTATCTATATTTGCACAATGCTTCCACTGTGTCTGTTACTCTTAGGCGGTTATTCTTATATGTAGCTGCCGTGTCAGTACTTACATGTACAATATAAATTATGCACCCAACTCTAGGGATGGCCTCAATTGCCCATCTGCTGTTCACATTTGCATGTTTCAATTACTTGTAAATATAAATGCCAGGTGATTGAAATGCACATTATGGATGGACGGCTGAATAATCTTTGAGTGTGTGCAAAATCATATTAAAATTGGAGGATTCAGGGCAGACGGGGTTAATGGCAATGTCTGATGATTCCACTATGCGTGGTTCAGCAAGATATCTGAATCGACCATATTAACGTGTCTCACATGCTACATGTACCTATATGTTTATTGAACAATTACTTTACGCAGCAGAAAAAAATACAATAACCCTAATCGAGTATGTCTACATGCATATCAATTTTAAACAAAGATAATTATTATGGACACAGGCAATTCAACTATCAAACAATGGACTGAAGCTCCAAAATATAATTTCAATACTGCATTTTAACAGTTAAATATTTAAAAAAGAGTTGACCTCTGAATACTTCAAATGTGTTGTATCGTGTCTTGGTGCCAATATGGCTGACAGGGAACTA